ACGTAACTGCCAGCAACGAGGCTTCCACCCGCACGAAGAATCAGAAGACGGCAACCCGATCTACGAGCATTGCTCACACGTCTTCCTCAATGCCAAACTCAAATACGAAGTCCTCGACCTCCGCTAAATACATCATCACCATCTTCTTATTTTCCCATTGAGAGCTTTTAACTTTGAAAGAAACACACATTACATACAATATACCTCAGAGATCAAATGTCTTCTCAGCCGTACATATATAATATGTGTATACCTCGTAAAGTCTAAACTTGGCTATAAGCTTAATTGAGTGATGATGATTGTGTTTATGATACTATTTGTTACTCTCAAACCAAACTGAGTACTTTTTAATTCGTATATGCATACCATTCAAATCCAAGTTTGCTAATAATGTTTCTTTATGATAGTTGTAGTTTAAAATTATGAAGTATTTAGTGTTAGGAGACTAGAATCAATAATAAGTCAACTTGGTCTCCTCTAAGAGACTGTAATCCTAAATTGTTTTAAAGATTTACCAAATCTATTTGTAAACCAACGAAATTCAATCTCTCTAGTTCTCTACTTTTTTCCTCTTTTCTCGCTCCCCTTTTCTACTCCGTCTAGGGTTTATCCTCTATCTATCCGCCGATTCTATACTTACACTTTATTCATTTTTTTTAATATATATTACAGTCTTTTCATCGGCTTATTTCAGTGAACTTTAATCATCCACCGGCACGAAGCGAAGAAGCGAACGATTTTGAAGCAGCCATGTCTTTGAGACCCAACGCTAGGACTGAGGTTCGCCGGAACCGCTACAAGGTGGCCGTGGACGCCGATGAAGGACGGAGGAGGAGAGAGGACAACATGGTCGAGATCCGTAAGAGCAAGCGTGAAGAGAGCTTGCAGAAGAAGCGTCGCGAAGGTCTTCAAGCCACGCAGCAGCCTCAATTCGCTCCTTCCGCCGTTTCTGCTGCTTCTACCGTCGAGAAAAAGGTGAAATTAGTGTGGATCTGGAGTCCGATTCTAGGGATTTGTGCTGGATTTTGAACTAATTTAGATCGTTTCCGATTTTGTATTCGTAGTTGGAGAGTTTGCCTTCGATGATTGGTGGTGTATGGTCAGAGGACAGAAACTTACAGCTCGAAGCGACTACTCAGTTCCGGAAACTGCTTTCTATTGGTAAATTTTGCTAATATCTGTATGGCGGTTTAAGCTTAGATTCGATTCCACAAGTTCTTGAGATGAATCTTTTGTGTGTGATTTACTTTGGTAGAGCGTAGTCCTCCAATCGAAGAGGTGATAGAAGCTGGTGTTGTGCCTCGGTTTGTGGAATTTCTCATGAGGGAGGATTATCCACAGCTCCAGGTTTTTGTGCATCCATCATGTATCTGTCACATCTTTGTACAATTATCGTCTGATACTTATATACTTTGTATGTGTGTCTCTGTGTGGCTACAGTTTGAAGCTGCTTGGGCATTGACGAACATTGCTTCTGGGACTTCAGAGAACACGAAGGTGGTCATTGAGCAAGGTGCTGTTCCGATCTTCGTTAGACTGTTGGTTTCTCAGAGTGATGATGTCCGTGAGCAGGTAAAATATGCGTCTGTGGTTTTCGCTCATTATAGAATCTCAGAGACTAAATATCTTCTTAAGTTTATGTTCGTTATCTGTTTATGTGTAAGGCTGTTTGGGCGTTAGGGAATGTTGCTGGTGACTCTCCACGATGCAGAGATCTTGTACTAAGTCAGGGAGCTTTGTTACCACTGCTCTCTCAGCTGAATGAGCATGCCAAACTCTCAATGCTGAGAAATGCTACTTGGACCCTTTCAAACTTCTGCAGGGGAAAGCCACAGCCTCCTTTTGACCAGGTTTGTCTCATATTTCAGTCTTATTCTCTGCCTGGGTTTACTTTTTGATTGAGGAAGATTTTGTAATATCTCTGATCTCTCAAGAACAGGTTAGTCCAGCACTTCCGGCCCTTGAGCGCCTGATTCATTCGACTGATGAGGAAGTGTTAACGGATGCCTGTTGGGCCCTCTCTTATCTCTCTGATGGCACAAATGACAAAATCCAATCTGTCATTGAGGCGGGTGTTGTTCCTCGACTTGTGGAGCTTCTCCAGTGAGTTTTTTTTATCCTGTGATTCACATTGCTTTTAGTTTTGGACAAGATGATGTGTTAAGTAATATCATTGAATTTTGGTTCCCTGTAGGCATCCATCACCATCTGTGCTTATTCCTGCGCTTCGTAGTATCGGAAACATTGTCACTGGTGATGATGCACAGACACAGGTATACTTGGTCTTCTATAGCTTTCTACTCATCAGATTAAATAACCTTAAGAATGTTAGAATGTTAGCTGTACCTCTGGAACGGGATCTATCCTTTCTTTCTAACTTATGTTTACCCTAGTATCGAGCATATTCTTTTACGTAGCCACCCTAGTACAAAGCTTCTCCCAGATTATGCACTTGATGTTTAATGCTCTCGAGAGACTCTCGAGCATTTCACCGTTTCTTGCATCATAGTTTGCTTTATTTTTTTATTGGTTCTGATCTGATGAGAATTTCTCCTGCAGTGTGTAATTAGCCACGGTGCACTCCTTAGCCTTTTGAGCCTTCTGACTCACAACCATAAGAAGAGCATTAAAAAGGAAGCTTGCTGGACAATCTCAAATATCACTGCTGGAAACAGGGACCAGATTCAGGTGAACTTTTACTGAAAGTTGATTTTATCAGTTTCAGAAGACTTTCGTTGTTTGAAGAAAGACTTTCTCTGTGTTTTTGTTGTCTAATTTAATTCGTTCTGTAATGCAGGCTGTATGTGAAGCTGGTTTGATTATCCCTCTTGTCAATTTGCTTCAAAACGCAGAGTTTGACATAAAGAAAGAAGCTGCATGGGCGATATCAAATGCCACTTCCGGTGGTTCTCCTGACCAAATCAAGTAAGATTATTTTATAGCAGCCCCTTCTTCTGTCGATTCTCGTTTCCGTTTTCAAAATCCTATGTAGCTATTGTTCAAATGATAACATTCTATCTTCCCTTGTTGCCTGGTTTAGGTACATGGTGGAACAGGGAGTCGTGAAACCACTGTGTGATCTTTTGGTGTGCCCGGATCCAAGGATTATCACCGTCTGTCTTGAAGGATTGGAGAACATTCTGAAAGTCGGGGAAGCTGAAAAGGCCACTGGCAACACCGGGGATGTGAACTTCTACGCGCAGCTAATTGATGATGCTGAAGGATTAGAGAAGATAGAGAATCTGCAGAGTCACGACAACAGCGAAATCTATGAGAAGGCAGTGAAGATTCTTGAAACGTACTGGTTGGAAGAGGAGGATGAGACTTTACCACCTGGTGATGGTTCCGCACAAGGCTTCCAGTTTGGAGGAAATGATGCAGTTGCACCGCCCGGAGGATTCAACTTCAAGTGAAGGTAAGGGAACTCATAACTCACTAATCTTGTCCAAATGTCTGAGCTTTTAAAGGCGTAGACTAGGAAGCAGAGATAAGTCTTGTCTTTGTGTCTTGCATGTTGTAAACCTGTGAGTGTGGTTTTGTTTAAACAGGAGCTGAGCATGAAGAGTTGAAGGAGGGTTAAAGAGTTTCGGGGCACTGGGTAAAGGAGTCTGAATTGAGTCTGGTCTTCTGTGTAAAAGTCAGAGGGTGCCTTTGTCTGTCCTGGTCTGGTCTGGTCAGGTCAGAGTCAGTGGTTGGGTGGGTTTGAGTCATGGGAATAAGCTTTGTTGGGGAGTTGGGTAGGAGTCATCAGAGGGTGAGATTTTTATAAGAAACTTAAAATGGGAAATTTGGGAAAGGGTTTAAAACTTTAAATAGTTAAGCGTGGTGAGAAGTCTGTGGGGTTTTGTTTTGTTTACATTTGTACTACACAACACTGCAAAGTCAAAAACATAAAAAGTTGGTCAAACTTTATTTGGTCTTATTTTGTGACAAAAAAAGCCCAATTGGTGCGTTTCTTTATTGTTAATATTTGCTTTTTTTAATCAACTTCATGTGCGGTCCAAGTCATTTTGGGCTATTGTTGTCTGCTTATGCACGCTTATCTATTTTTATTTGTGATTTTCACCCATAAATCGATGTTATTAATGCTTATCGTCAACCTCAAGTAGGGTTTAGTGTTATAAAATAATGAAATCAAATGTTTTGTGGAAAGTCTGTCGTTATAGGCATATATAGCCTTGTACAAGCAAAAAAAAAATATCTAAGAAAGCTGTTAAAATATACTGTATGAAATACGAATATAACCTAGAAAGGAATTAAAATATATGAAAGCTGTTAAATATCATACAAGAATAATTAATTTACAATAGAGTAATGTTTAGACAGAATATATAAAAGACAGTAGATAAAAATGCATGCATCTCTCTAAGCCCTAATTTGGCAAATAATGTTGGCCTAGAAATCGAACAACTGTAAAATTTTGTAATAAGCAAAGTCCAGTAATTTGTGTGCGAGCTTTGAAAACATTCAAATTTCGTACCAAGATACCAAAAAACCCCCTTCCCACGACAATTCGATTTGTTACTTGATTAAGCTACGAGTTGTAAAAATTTAATTTTCCCTCTTCTTTTTTTCAGTTTATTTCTTGTTTGTCTTTTTGGCGGGTGGTTGGAGTGTAATAAAATACCGCGCTCAAGGGTAATAAAGTAAACATAAAATCGAAATCTAGGGTTTTTAGTCCCCGCCTCCTCCTACATTATAAAATGCCTCTCTGTTTGTTTTATCCGTTACTCGTCTGCGGCGTCTTTCTCTCTCTCTCTGCCTTATCATCATCATCACACACTCTCTCTACGCTTCAGTCTTTCTAGCAGAGATTTCTGATCATCCCCCGCCATTTCTATCAGTTCTGTTTCTCTGATTCTTCAGCCAAGCTAGAGAGGTTTCCACTCTCCTCAAAGTGAACCAATGTGAGTTTTCCGATCGCTTGATCCTTCTTTTTTCTCTTCGATCGCGTGTTTTTCACTAAAGACTAAACTTTGTCTGTTTCTTTTTGATCGTAGATGTCAACGACCGAAGAAACGAAAGCGACGAAGCTCGAATCAGCGGGAGATTCGTCCGATGTAGACAACGGAAACTGTAGCAGTAGCGGAAGCGGAGGCGATACGAAGAAGACATGCGTTGATTGCGGAACTAGCCGGACCCCACTTTGGCGCGGTGGCCCAGCTGGTCCTAAAGTAAGATCATCATCATCTCTTCCTCGTATAATTTTGAAACCCTAAAAATCCAAACTTTGAAGTCCCTCTTTTAGTAGATCTACTCAAATGGGTACTTTAATTCACTCAAGTGTGGCTTGATCTTGTATTCTTAGCTCTGTTTGCAACTTGTTCCAGCATCTAGTAGTGTGATCATGTTCATAGAAGAAGAACATAGCTAGTTGATCTATATGTTTTGTTTTAGATTGTTTGGTTCTGTGTCTGGAGTCTTAATACCAAATGATCAGCTTAATTGCTTTGATGATCATCTGAGTCTTTAGCTTTAGATCTGCCTGATGATATCAATTGTGTTCTCTGGTCTGATCAAAGGTTGTGCCTTTTGCAGTCATTGTGCAATGCGTGTGGGATCAAGAGCAGGAAGAAGAGGCAAGCAGCTCTTGGACCTAGACAAGAAGAGAAAAAGATCAAGAACAAAACTAATAACGATCTAGCTCTGGAGAGTGTGAAGATCGGAAGAGAGGATCCAGAAAATGTCAAGAACAGGATCAAGACAACAGATCCTGAGGAGGATGACAAGAACAGTAGCGGTAACAAGAAGGATGTGAAAAGGGTTAGTAGATTTTTGGATTTCGGGTTTAAAGTTCCGGCGATGAAGAGATCTTCGGTGGAGAAGAAGAGGCTATGGAAGAAACTTGGGGAAGAGGAACGAGCCGCGGTACTCCTTATGACTCTTTCTTGTGGTTGAGTTTTGTGTTTTTGTCTGAGTGGTTGAGAGATTTAGGGAGAAATAAGTTAGTGAGGAAATGATCAAGAGAGATTTATATAAAAATATATATGTAATTTGGTCGGAATTGTATTCTAGGCCAAGCTAATGTTATAATGCTATTACTAATTAATTAATTATTTGTTTTCATTCTAATATAAGTTCATTCGTGAGTGATTTCTACTAAGGTGTGTGTTTATTTTAAGCCTTAGTTGTATTCTTTACAAAAATGTTTTAAAACTGATAACATTGGTTCCATATGTTTTTACTCTTAATAGTAGTATGATATTTAAGGTTGTTTAAACCATTAATAATTTGTTTGAATGATGACGGAGCATGAACTAATGAGCTTGCCGTCAAAATATAAAGAGAAAACTAATGGACTTAACATTATTTAATTAGAATGTTAAATATTCACGAGTTAGAAAGGGAACAAATTGAATTTGAAAATCTGTAACATATTTCAAAATTCCCTAAAAAAATCCAGCTGGTCGCTCTTATCTCTCGTACACTCGATGTGACCCCACCTCGACGCGCTCTCAAAGCGCGTGATATAGAAACGGGCCAGCTATAAAACAGCTCACTCTTGGGCTTTTGTTTGTGAAAAAAAATAAAAAGAGTCGGTGATGGAGACAACCCAATCCACGCGCCTCTCTCTTCTCATTTTCATGCGATTCTTTTTTCCGATTTTCATGTCCCACTTTGTTTTTCAATTTTTAAATTTACAGTACAATAAAAGGTTATGAAGCAATGACAGTGAAGGATTTTTTTTTACATGCATCTTCACCATAAGCCGATTATCTAAAGGTCTCTTGTTTGATAAAACTGAGGAGTAAAGCTTCGATGTAGTCGATATCAAAGCTATTTAATGGAAAGAAACCACCCAATAATAGGCATTGGTCATACAATGAACTAACTCTAATTAATTCATCAAACCTTTAACCTGGTTTGACTTCTAATTAGGTAAACAAACGAGGATGAAAAGAAAAACCAAAATTAAACATCGACTAAACAACTTACATCGGATACGATCGTGTAGGCCCAAAATCATTTATATCAGTTTTGGGCTTTTCCGAATCACGAAGAGAAATGTAGGACCCTAGAGAGCGTCGAGTGGTTTATTCAGCATTAGTGGCATTAGTGCACTAGTCACTACCTTTGTATGTGTGTGGGGCTCATTTTCCTTCTCTACATCCATCCTTCCATAACAAATACCGAAATACTCATTTCATATATATTCTTCAAATCTACGTAACTACTAGGTTCTTCTTCATTTTGTAGTCATAACAAATGCTCATTTCATACGATAGGTAGAATTATTCTTAGAAAATGATGATTTGGTTTTGTCCTTTCTTACTAAACTATAGTATGAAATAGTTTGATGAGATTATAATATAATGCAGGCTAAGAAAACCCATTTATTTATTTTTATTACTGTAAACTGAAAATAAAAACTACATTCATAATGATACAAATCGTTAAAAAAGAAAAGCTAGAAGTACAAATATATTTCTACTTGTACAAGCAAAAAAGTAGTAAAAACATAGGAGAATCAATTATTCACCGTCTTAAAATTTGTAGCGTGTAGATCTCTCATGCACAGAGAAGATAGGCTTCTTCTCTGCAAAAATCTATAGCCTGGTCTGCAAATGCAAAGATCTGAGGATTTCTTGTTGTTACAATAACCTCTATTAACCGGTATCATTTAAACTAAAAGCAACCGAAATAAAGAGATAAAATTAAGACAAAAGAAACTCCGTAAGAGAATCCGATCTTCGCGTCGGATCCGGACATTATAGATTGTGGTGGAGGGTTGTAGTAGTAAAACGGAAAATACGGAACGATGGGGTTCGGCGGCGACGTATAAGGGTAGTTTCCTCCACTTTTCGGCGGCGGGTAGTAGTAGCCACCACCGCCTGAGGAAGACGGCGGTGGATGGTAAGAGCCAGATTGAGGAGGTGGGTAGTAGTAGTAAGGACCACCACCACTACCGCCGGAGCTAGGAGGTGGAGGAGAGGCGGTGGTGGTTGGAGGCGGCAGAGATGGAGTCGGCGGAGGAGGAGAAGGGTTTGGCTGACAAGGGTTGTCGCAAGAAGTGCACATTGTACAGTCTACGGTCTGAGATATTGCTAACGTCACGGTAACGTGAGTGAAGAAAAGGAGGTGAAAAAGAAAAAGAAAAAGATGGAATGTTCTAAACGCTTCCATTGTCGGGATGAATCTGGAGTTTGTGTCTGGTGAGAGAGTCTGAAAGTGGAAATGAAGCAAATTTGAGGGAGAAGGAAGAAAGAAAGAAGACAAAGAAGAGAAGGAGCCACAAGTGTTGGAGTGAAGCAGAGGAACGTGTTGATTGTATCCAGTAAACCCTTTAATTTCCCACCATTTGTTTTTTATTTCTTACATATTTTTACGTAAAACTTTATAGATATAAATGCGTCAGAAAGGAATCTTATATCACATTTTCACATATATAAACGTGTAAAGTTTTTTTTTTTAAGTTGTGGACTCTCCACTGTTGAAATGATCTTGAAATAGTTGACCAAATATATAAAGGAAAGATGTAAAAAGTTATTGAAGAGAAAGGTTAACACATTTTGTTAATTTGGAAATACGGTAAGACAAACAATCTTTACCACATTTACCAAATATTATTAATCTGAAAGGAAAATTATTTGTGTGTCTATATTCTGTACTTTGACGGAAGCCATATAATCCAATAGCATTACGTATTCCGCGTGGTTTACGGTACCAAATATATTATACATGAAATACATTGATCTAGGTTCTGCAAAATGATGATCTTTCAGTAGATTCCATCACTAGTTTATAGTTTTAAAAATCAGTTTTTTGTCCATAGAGTAAGAAACAACAAATTGCTCTTATTCAATCAAGAAATAAACAAATTCTGCTCTAAAAGATAACTTAATATTTCGATTGTTTTTTCTGTTTTGCACGGTTGTTTTTTACTTTTTGAACTAGTAAAATCTTTTTCCATATGATGAGCGGAGTTGACTGCAGAGAAGACACGTGGAAGAAGAGGGACGGTTGGATGAAAGAAGAAAATAGGATCCGATGAGAAGGCGGAAGAAAAGAAGGGAGCACGTGCATGTCGGCTCGTTTACCAATTACCAGTACAATGTAAAGTAAGTAAAGTGCCTTTTCATATTGTTCGGATCTCTCTACTCTCTTCTCTCTTTAATGTTTATAAAGAAACGCAACTACGATTTATTCTTCTTTCCCTTTTGACTGGGGCATCATCTCTTATCTTCCTATATTTCTCAAGATAATCTCATTTCTCCTTCTATTTTCTTGTATTTTCTGAATATTTATTTTTAATTCGAAAAACAAATAAAGTACAAAGTTATCCTCATAAAATTTTCAATATTACATATCCGACCAGCTGATATCCAGACCCAATGGATAAGATCCATCTGAAATCGGATATCCCAGATCTAAACCAAAATCGCATTTCTGAGATTTTCACGATCTCTTTGTTATATCAAGCGAGATTCAAAGAAAATGAATTTGAAAACGAAATTTTAATTTATCTCTATCTTCCCTTCACCAAATCGGGAGTTTCTGGGCACAATTATCGCCTTTTATGCTCTTGATTCGTCATTTTGTTGATTTTGCATTTTTGCTTGATTTTTTTCCGTTTCTGGGTAATACTGGTATAACTAGGTAAAACTAATCGTAATACTAGTATAACTAGGTAAAACTAAATGTAATACTGGTATAACTACGTAAAACTATATTCGTATTACCAAGTAAAATTAAATGCCAAACCCAGAAAACTTCCGCAAGAACCCTAGATATCCGAAATCAATAGGATTTGATTCACAAAACTTTAAAACGACAAGAAACTCAAAATAGATAAGAAGTTTCTCGAATCTAATGCACAAAAACTATGAGAAAAGAGAAAAGAGAACCAAGAAATGAAAAAACCCTAGAACTTTTTTTTTTTTTGCAAAAAAAAGATTTTTGGGGATTTTTGAATTAATATATTCGTCAATAATGGTGGAAAACATACGAGAACCACATGCGCCGCTTTTTACTCGCACATGCGCCGTCTTTTCTCACATGGGCGCCGCCAAATTTGCACATAGTTATACCCAATATACTAGTTATACCAAATTTGTAAATAGTTGTACTTTCGACGTTTTCGATTATAATTAGTATTACCCGATTTTAAATTTTGATTTTCTAGTTTTACATTTGATTTTAGTTAATTAACATATGATTACTATTGTTTATCCATTTTTAATATGTAAAAATTGATTTATGTAACTTTTTCATTCTAAAAATGTTATTCTTAACAAAGTGACCTTAAAAGTATAAGGTAATGTTGTGTAAAATATTTTATAAGAAATCATTTTGCTATATTTTTGTAATTGGCTACTAAATACATGTTTATAACATTTTTTGTTAAGTTTACAAGCAATAATATGTTTATTTACTAATGTGTGATGTTTCAGCAATAAGCTATATATATGCAATTTTTGTATTTGATCATATGTAAAAATATAAAAACAGATCACTAATACTAGTATCAACCATTATACTCCATTTATTATCTATTCAAAGTCCTAATCGATTTAGGAAATTATGGTAAAAATACACAATATGTATTGCAAAACAATGATTTAAAGATGCATTTCATTCAGTAATACTAGTTTTACTAGTTATATCTCATTATCAGTAATACTAGTTATACTAGTAATCCTATCGCGAAAATCCAAAATCAGATATTTCGAAAAATCTAAATCAGATGATTTTGGGTTCAATTCTTTAATTTACTTTCGTTTGTAATGAGTGATGAAGAACTTGATGATGGAAGAAACGAAGTTGATTCGAGTTCATAGTGAAAACGAATGAAGAGAAGATCGAAGAGAAAATTTGAGGAGATTTCAGAGAACCAGATCTGGGAAGAAGAAAGCCAAACGCCAATCGCTTTATTTTTGCGTTCTGTTTTAAAATTACGTTTTTTTATTATTAATTTAATTTTTATATTTTTAATATTTAAAATAAAAAAGAAAGGTTATTTTCGGTATTACAAGTTTAAGGATATTGAAGATTAACTTGGGACAAATGTGATTAGCTTTAGAGATTGAGGGACAGACGAGATGATGCCTCGTGTTATACTCGTGTATCTTTCAAGATTTGTGTCACAAATGTGTGTAAGTTTTTGCTAGAAAGGTTTATTGGAATAAGTTGAATGAAAATAGGAATTGAATATGGAAGTAAATACGCTTGAGAAAAAACAAGTTGAAGGGTAGTGGCCAGTGGGGCATGGTAAGAGAGAATGGGTGAAGGTTCTGAGTAGTATCAATGATACAGTATCATTTATAGCACAGTGCCCGAGGAAGGATCTTACTATTACTATTGCTCATGTGACTTTTAATTGCTTTGCATACCCATCACTCATCCCCTATTAGTACTTTTACTTTGCCTTTTTAAATGATGCTAATAGTGTAACTAAAATCTCATCAATACAAATATGTTCAATCTTCCGGTTTAAATAAGCTTCACATCTGACGAATAATAATTTACACAAATGAAGTCAAAAGGAACACACACAAAGAACAGTTACTATCAATAGAAAGTGAAGAGTAACTGTTTCCCTTTGCATAAGATATTTGATTAAATTTAACGTTCTAGTATACGAATGCATTTACATATCTTAACCAAATTGTTATTAAGATATCACATTTTATCATCATTATTATTTTGAAAACGGATAACAAACGAACTAATTATTTTTGAGACGAAACTCCTATATTCTATGGATATGATGCATTTTGCTAGCTAAAGAAACGTGTCGTGAGGATAATTAAAAGTATACCAATTTAGGGAGAGACCGAGTAGTAGGAATCAGAGAGAGATACGACGCCGGATCCGGAGGTAACCAAACTTGCCAGCTCCAGGTGACGAACCTTCGAATATCAGTGGCAAATACCCTGTCGCAGCTTTGTATCTCTGCTGAATCTGTTACATTCAAATTTCACCACCAATTTATACATATACAAAAACAAGGGCTTGAAGTAAATATTGGAATCTAGATTGTGTATACATACATCGAGAATTTGTTGGCTGCTGCGCAATGAGTTACGGCCTATGACGCAGACTGTTCCGCCGGAGCCACCACCGGTGATTTTGGCTCCGTATAAAGTTCCGTCGTCGGTTTTAGACTTGTTATGCTGCATCCCTTGTACTAACTGGACCAGCCGGTTGGTGCCATCGGATCCTAGTCCACACGCGCTGTAGCTATAGTGACACTGAAACAAACAAGGATAGCCAAAAGAGCATCAACATGTTAAATATTCCATCATGATCAACAAACTTAATCTGTGACATTAATAACTTGGCGACAAGTCTTGGTCTGGACGAAATACACTAGTTTTGAAGTGCTACCTGATAAAGAAGACCCCCAAGAGCAGTAAGCTGCTCATCCGATGTTGCAGAAGTCAAAAGCGCTTTAAAAGTCTACAAAAATAAGCATTTCACAGTAAGTATGGATTATAGACTAAAAACATAGATATTAACCAAACCAGAGAATTGTTAATGGAGGATGTAAAGACGGACCTTGACACGGAAGTTTTCGTAGATAGGGTGTCTGGCAGGAGCTCTAACACTGTAAGAACGCTTTTGATCAATGACTGTGACCGGATCATCATGGTCTGCGTATTCCTCAATGAATTTCTGACCCACCATGAAATCTGGAAGCTTATCCGCATAGCGGGCTTCATATCTGCAACATAACCAGAGCAGTGTGGATTAGCTAGCTGATGATATTATTGATATGCAACTTGTGTTCTCAGTTTCTCACCTGTGAGGCGACAGATTGCACAGATAGTCTAATGAAGCTTCGGTCTCAAGTAGATCGATCCCTTCATCCTCTAGTTCTTCCGGGTTGCCTCCATTAGCACTTGACGTTGACTGTGACAGAATCGAAGACGCCACTGACTTTATCATCTTTCTCCCCATGTAGGCGCCAACTCTGACCGACCCGTAGTCTGCGCCTCCAACGCTGCAAGAGATAAAAGCCAATTATTCAACAGAAATGAGACTTGAAAGCTCATAGTGAACTTGCAATATTTTGAGTTAAATTAAGTTGTTACGTCTAGTGAAGTTTAAAAATATCAAGTGTGTGAATGATTGAGAGGAAAACAGAGACGATATTGATAGAGAAAAACCCATTTACCTGTGTCGAATTCCAGAATCAATACCCCAAAATCTGACATGGTTGGGAATCTCAACTAGCCCAACTACTTCTGCAGGCTACATGTTTTTTTTTTTTTGAAATAGGTTAAAAACAAAAGGAGTAGATCATATCTTGTTATGTCCGGAAAGAAAAGGAGATATCATATGTGCTACAAATAATAGTGATCTTATAAGTCTAGCTTAGGCATTACGAAGACCTACTTGGCAGATCATGGCCAAGAGTTTGTTGGCTTCCCCACAGGAGGAAGTCATCTGATCCATAACACCACATGGAGCTCCAACAATGTGATTCTCCACCTAAAAGACAAGAGGAAAGAATTAGAAAAGGAGCACATTTCACAAAGTCGGGGAATCAGCTATAGTATATGATGCTGGACATAGAACCTTTTGGCAGAGGATAGCAAGATCTCGGGGGCCGATAGTCAGTCCTGCACATTTGTAGGAATAGAGAAAACAAAGATGCCAAGAATCAAAACTTCTGTGTTTCTATTATTCTATATGACTCTCATTTATGAGACAATAAGAAAAGTGAATTACCATGAGCAGCAGCTATTGCTGACATGCTCGCCACCTCCACAGCAGCAGATGAAGATACACCTTTACCTTCAGGCACTGCAGAAGACACCTAAGAAAACAAATAACCACTCAGTTCTCAAATTCATCTTATATGCATAACACCAAGAACTAAATGATGGACGCAAGTCTAAAAGATAACTGTTTGCCAGAACTATAACTGAGAGGCATCACAGCTCTAGCCTTATAAACAAGTGCTAACTTCCTTTACCGTTTTGATAGCTTCACTCCTAGAATATGTATCAACTAAAGTATGTGCATCAGAAAAAGTAACAGGCCAACAATTTGATCGACAGATAGAAGTACATTCAAATTTCAGAATCGCAAAGAAGCAAACATGAATCAGGAGGGATTCTAACAAAAGGATGAAGAAGAGCGCACCAGCAAGCTGATGCTATCCTCAAAACGCACACCAAGTTCTGTCATCAGCACCAAGATTGTCCCAGCAACATATGCTGCCCACCTGGATTACATTATTTATTGTTAACAGAGAAAAAAATCAATGAAGTAGTCCAAACAAAAGAGGAGAGACTCACTTCTGTGCTGGATCCTGAGCAAAGAACTTCCTTGCTTTTTCATAAGAAATTGGTTTATCTCCATCCATAAAATCAGACATATCCATGTCAAACGTAGGGGCACGATTGCTGATCTCTGATCCATACGAGACCTATAAACACACAAAGTTCAGGAAATCTCAGCACGACCACACAGAAAAGTCTTCAGCTAGGGTTATCCACAATGTTGAAAGAAGAAGCTCATAATGTCCATATGAAAACTTCAGCAAGTAATCTTACAATTTGCAGAACTGGTGTTGCTACTTGTCCTTTAGCTTGCTGCCTGGCTTGTGTATGTTTCCACAGTCTCTGCTTGCCAGGACGGTTTCTTTGCAAAGCTACATGGCAAGCTTCCCTTATTGGCATCTGAATTTGTGGGAATAGAGATAAGGAAGTTAGGTAGTCAATCAAACAGAATGACGTTTTGTGCTAGAGGGTCATAGATAAATGCTTAATTGCTCAATAGATTCCAAGAGAAAAATAGGAAATTAAGACTCAAGTGACCAGAAAAACGAATACTAGAGATTTTTTACCTGCAAGACAAGGCTTCCTGAGTAGTCAGCAATTCCACCCATCACATCTAACCTTCCAGGTGCTCTGGCAACAAAGATTTCTTCCTGCACCAATTAAAAGAAATGATGATTCCAAGAACAACGCGTAATAAAACCATTCTTTTGCAAGGTACCAGCCATGATCTCAGGAAATTATGATTTTCTATATCCTCTTATTAGAATGCTTACTGGAGCTACAAAAAGAAGTCGAGGAAAAACAAAATATAAGCTACCTCCCAATTGAAGAGCCCACCAGCAGCTTTACGCTCACGCATGGTTTTCTTCTCCACACTATTTTCAGAATCATGAACAGCATCTAGCTTGGCTAAACTCTTAAGGAAAGCCCATGTATCAGAAAGACCTTGGACATCACCTTCAAGGATATCAAAATCATCGGTGCACCTGCAAAATAAGAGAAGATACAGTATAAGGAAAAAAAAGAAGAAGAAGAAGAAATATATATTATAGCTAGACAGCAAAAATACTCACGACTCCACCAATGAGTTGTTTTCGTTCGCTTGAACTGTAGGCGATGATCCAGCAGATTGACCTAGTTCATTTTCAGCCCTTGAATACCACTCCGGAATAGCAATGTCCCTTCCAGGGACTCTCTGTAGCTGATATCCCAGGATTATCGCATCACGTAATCTTCTTGCACCACTTAACTGTAAAACACACAGAAGAGCCAACTGAACATCTTCAGCATAATTTTCGTTAAAGAAGGATTCTTCTGACAAGATACCAAAGAATCCCAAGCACAAGATACCTAGTGATATCACGATGATTCAAATTAAAATATTTAGATATGAAGTTTACCTTATCAGATGCGCAATGTCTTCCAATGGCTGTCTCCTGTAAAATGTGAGCTGCAATCTATCATTGCACCAGCGTGCAAAAAGAAAAGTTAGTTTACATTCTCAGAATCTTACAGCTTAAGAGATAAATGAAAACAAGATGGAGCCATCTACCTCACCACCATTGATGCCACCCTCGTAGCAAGGTTTCAAGCTAACTGCACGTTCAAGATATGGCTTCCATTGGCCCATTAATAGGTCTCTCCTGATCATCTCAACACCACATTGATAAAACTGCCCAACAATTTTTGACCAGAATATGTGAACATACGGTCCAAATATTTAAACTGAAGAACTGATGCAATTAAGGACTAGAAATTCAGAATGAAAAGAGGAATTGATTACCTCGAGCATATTTCTCAGGAAAGGTTCTTCATTGAAATAGTCTCTGCGTACAAAGACAAACGGCACCTTGAAAGAAAGGGCTTCACTGACAGTGCCATAACCAATTTTCCCTGAACCCATGGAAACAGTTGTTACAGAAACACCACTAGCTGTGTAATCTAACTGACTAAAATTCTTAATCAGGTTAGATACTGACCAAGCATACAGTCAGATGCAGCTATAATATCAGGTGTATAAGCATCCTTAGCAAGCTTTACAAAATTTGGTGGAAGCTCCTGGGTCTCAGATGCGCCACAAACCTGAACAACACATTCATAAGATCAGTCACCAGCACAGTTTTTTCAACTTGAGAGTGTACATAAACAAACGCAGGGTAAATGTAATTAAATACCAGACACAGCCAGCCAGTTGGTAATGACTCTTCCTTCAAATTCCACCCTGAAGGCTGCACATGAGAAAGACAGCTGCAATGAGAATTAGGTCTTTCACGCAGTCCAAAATAAAGAGTAACAGACATGAACAATAAGCATGTCTATGATCAATGAACAACAATGTCAATTACTCACTAAATATAAAACCAGAGCGTTGGTTTGGAGAAATAAATAAAAATTCACGAAACTATCAAATGGAAAAGAACAAACAGCCAAACCTGTCCACCAAAATTGAGTATAACAACATTCACATCTTCAGCAATCCCGAGTTCTTTCCTCACCTGAACCAAAAGGGTCAACAGATGTTATTTGGAATATTTTTACTGGCTGAAGTCAAGATAAATGAAATGTTGTTGACCAACCTCCTTTCGAGATTTATGAAGTCTTCTCACGACTAATGGCACATCGATGACATCACGAAAAGCAGGCACTGCGAGATCACAAGGAAAATAAAGATTACACTTGGAAGAAATGGAAGAAAAGTTAAAAAAAGGGATGGTAACTAGAAATGATGCATACTTGGACAGTATCCTGGAAGGCGAATTAGGAACTCGCAGTGAGAATAATCTTCAGCTATCTATGTCAGGGACGGAAAAGTATTATTTACAGCTTGGTAAATTCAGTACTAAATACAATTTACACGCCAATAAAAACTGATCAGCTCCTAGTAGAGCCAATAAAAGATAGTTTAGAAAGAATTCTACCTGCCAAACGATGGAGCGATGGTGATATCCAGCAGCCATCACATACTCAGCATAGATAAAATCCCAGCTAAAAGTAACACAAACAAACCAAAAGTAAATAAAATGTTAGAGACAGGGTTACAAAAAAATGGATGGAAATGCTAACAAAAATGGTCACCTGAAATTGGTGACACAGACAGAACGTATCCCAGCATCAGCCGCTGCACGGCACGCGACCGGGACGACATCAGACACCTGTTTTTAACAAATGGTTAAATTTCTCTAACTAAAGTAAATGATGAAGTACAAAGCAAAAGTCCTGAGGAAGTAACAGTAACACTATGAAGAAAAAAAAATTACCACGAAATCGGCTTTGACAGAATGAAGCCACTCCACTTCTGTTTCCAATATTGCAGCTCGAGGAACCACAGCTGTTTCTACATACTAAACCACACCATCATCCAAATGTCATCAAAGTCAAAAAAGCAACATTCAAGGATCATTGAAGTGATAAAAAATCAGTAAACCTTTTCTAACGAGGCAAGACGATCGACTGTCAATGCATCAGCTTGCACAGCTCCACAATCCAACAGAACCTAAATATCGCCAGAAACAACGAATTAGGATCCCTTGTTTACTTTAAAAGGTCAAGCAAGTGATCATCACCAGAAGAAGAAGAGAGAAAGAGAGAGTGTGTAACAAACCTTTCGAATAAAGAGCCTCGGGGACTTAATTTCGGATGTGAAGACAAAATCAGGCGCGCCGGTGACGACGTGAACATCGTGCCCCGCCGCGATCAGGTGACGAACAACCTGAAATGCCATGAATTAGCTGGATTAACCACGATCGAACGATGGAGGATGATTTAACAGATGAAACCGAAGCAGAGAGTGAGAGAAGACCTCGACGACGCGAGTGGCGTGACCGAAGCCATGTCCAGTGACGTAGTAAGCGAAGACCAAGTGCTTGCTCGAAGCAGAGACGCCTTCGTTCTCATCAATTCTCATTTTCTTCGACGGAAACTAGTCTCTCCGGCGATCTCTGAGAGTCTGGTAATTGACTGATTCGAAGGAAGAAGAAGAGGGCCTAAATCTCCAATTATAATGGGGAGGTTTTGCAATTTTGTTCTCAAAATCTGAACCCAACCGAAATTAATTTTGTCTTCTTCCTCAATACCTCATTTATTATTATTTTTTTTTATCAAAATTGCGAAGATTACGTAAACGATCTCGCAATTCGAGAAGAGGGATAAAAATACAAATGTCTTGTCTGTGTCACTGTGTGTGTCCTAACTTCTCAGTATTATCATAAATAGATGTAATTCCAACTACGTTTCAACTAAAAATTGCAGTGTTCAAAACTTGGATTGCATAAATTATAAAAAGGTAATACAGTATGTTTTCTTATCTTAAACAGGGAAATAAGAAAAGGGAAGAAAAACAATCTAAAAATGTATAGGATTTGCCGATTTGGACGTGTAACTACAATTGATCTTATCCTCAAATACTGATATGATCATCGTCATTGTAACGTGATTCAATCCAAAGCCAATCCTCATAAAACATTTCCATCGTTGTAATATCTTAATGTTTGATATTTATAACCGTAGTACAAATATCACCGTAGTACAAATCTGAATTTCATGTTAAAAAAGTAAAAAAAAATGCATTTTTCAACACAGAAAAAAAAACTATCTGTAGCGGTAGCAATAGGTTAGCATTTTAATTTGTACCAAGTTGCACGAGTTGCGGTTGCAGATAAGGTCACCATTTAATTTATCTCCTTCACCTTTCTGACGAGGCAGATGATTTCTGTGACAACCAAGAAACGTAAATCACTTGTGAAGTCAACATAGTATTATCCATGATTTATTTATTTCTAAAATAATGCACCCGCCCTGCTATTTGGCCGAATATTTGGAGTCATCATCTCTCCTCTCCATCCATCTCTTATGACAATCACAAATCTTCCGACTTAATCTCTTTTATCCCTCTCCTTGTGCATTGACGAAAATACCCTTAATGAATTATGAAAAATTAATTCAAAATTGAAAAAACAAAAACAAGTTTGGCATTTTGGTTGAATTGGCGTTTGGCATCGGGATTTCAGAACCCGCGTTTGCTTTCTCTCTCTCCTCTTTCCTCCCGCCTTTACTCTCTCTCTTAGGCCTGCGAATTCGGTTAACCGGTCGGGTTCGGGTCGGTTAAATCGGGTTTCGGTTATTCGGGTTTGGAAGTCTGTTAACCGTTCGGGTATTTGATCGGGTTCGGGTCGGTTCGGGTTTGAATTTTCGGGTTCGGGTTGGTTTTCGGGTTCAACTTAAAACCCGACAAAAACCCGAACTTTTTTCGGTTTCGGATAATTCTCGGGTTTTCGGGTTTTTTATACCCGAACCCGATCCACAAACCCGAAAATCAAAAAACACAATTGGTTTTGTGAGAAAGAAGAAGGAACCAAAGTGTCAACTTGAAAATACATCATGACAAACATGCAAATCACAAAGTTTCAACTTTAACATCTAACATCTGAAGTAAAAACTCATATGACAAAACAAGTACTTAAAGTTTGATTCAAAAGAGTGAAAAAGGAAAGAGAAGACAAAAGTGCACTTGAGTTTTAGGTGAAGAAGAGAAACAATGCGATGTTGTTTGAACAAACCTTACGCATCAATCATCATCATTTTCTTGCAAGTCTTGGGCTCTTTTGTCTTGAAACTCTACAAAAGACAATCAAATGTAAATGTTAAGTATGTTAACACACAAAATACAAACAAATAATGTCAAGCAATGCTTACCTTTTTCAAGCTCATCTAGCTCTTCAATGGCAGCCAACATTTGTTCATTTGTGACCATAGTTTTTTCAGATAATCGAATTTCTGCTTTGATCCATTGCTCTGTACACATCAGAACCTCAATCGTGTAGTGAGTAAGACAACTCCTATATGGATCTACGACCCTTCCACTAGTGCTAAAAGCACTTTCTGATGCCACAGATGACACTTGCATTGCAAGGAGATCCTTGGCCATTTCACATAAGACTGGAAATCTCCCTTGATTATGTTTCCAGTAATCAAGTATCTCGTACTCAGTCCCTAGCATAATAATTGGATTCTCGCATGGCTCCTTTAAATATATATCCAATTCATCCCTTGGATCAGCAAATCCTGTGCCTTGGACCATCTCCTTGTACACAAAATCCATCCTCTCATAACTGAATTTCTCATAATTCAACTCCATTCTGTTTGTTGCTTGGTCTTGGCCACTGGAAACAGATGCTTGAGCAGACTGACTCGGATTTGATGTAGTCGGCACAGTACTAGTCACTCCTTCAGCACGAGCCTTGTACTCTTTAAACATCAAGCCAAGAAAATCATAAACTGAATCGTACAATGCTACGGCATCTTCAGTATCTATCCCATGCAATCTCTCAAAGCACAACTTAGCAAAATTCATTTTCTGTCTAGGATCGAATATACTAGCTACAATCAACATCTTGTTGAGCTTTTTCATCCCTTCCCAATACTTACGAAACTTCTCTAACATTTCAGTAGCTTTCTCCTTCAGTTGAAGATCTGAGCTATTAGCCTTTAACTTCAGATTACTCTCTATTGTCACGATTTCACAATAGCACTTGCATGAATTGACCACAGTAGAAGCAGAGACAACCAAAGTACTATCGTAGAACATGACCAAGAAACCAGCTAACCTATTCACTGCTTCCCAATCCATACTTACAGGAGGTCCAGTCCGTTTAATCCCATTCACATGCTCCCCAAAGTAGTCAAGGTAGAGCAAATCTTGTGTCCTCATCTTCTCAAAAGCTAACCTAAACTGCATTGCTCTTGTCAACATCAGAAAAGTTGAGTTCCACCTTGTCGTCACATCCAATGGTAAACTCCCACGAGTCATCTTGCCTGAGTCAACTTTAGACTCAAAAGCATGCAGCCTATGAGGAGATGCTCTCACATACACAATTGCATTTCGGATAGCATCCACATTCTCACCTAAGTCAGCTAAACCCTCATTTGCAATCAGATTGATTATATGAGCACAACATCTCATATGTAAGAACTTTCCACCCAATACAAACGCTTCATCAGATCCTAGACTAAAATCTCTACGAAACATCTTCAAAGCAGCGGTATTAGCATTAGCATTGTCTACCGTAATGCAGAACACTTTCTCTATTCCCCAATCAGCTAAACATTCTAGCAAAACAGTGTTAATGGTGTCAGCTTTATGATCGCAGATATTCTTGAAGCCTATGATCAGTTTCTTCAAGTGCCAATTACGATCAATTACATGAAGTGTAATAGCCATGTAACTAGCGCCTGAGAAAATGAAAAGAAAATAATGCAACGTAAGAATAATTGTCAAGAGATAAATATGCTATGTAAAGATTCACGTAAACAAAGAACAATAACATTATTAGCACCTGAAATAATGCAATGTAATGAATAAAAACAATTCAGCTATGAATCAATTATACTATACCTGTAACTTGAGCAACCCAAATATCAGTTGTTAGAGAGACTCTGAACTTGTTAGCAGCGATCCAGTTCTTCAATTCTTCTTTCTTGCGGATATACATCTTCACTATATCCGTAGTAGCAGTTTTCCTGCATTTAGGCTTGTACAGTTGCGCCTTATACAAAAAAAATAAGTAAAACTCAGTTAGATTCACAGTGATACAAAGACAGAACTACAACAGAACTAAGACAATAGAACAATATAATTTATACCTTTTTGCAGAAGTGTTTCCAAGCAATACCCTCAATGAAAGATAGTGGCAACTGTCCTAATACAAGCATCTCATTGGTGGCTTCTCTGATAACGGACTCAGGCACTTTGAATGGCTTTAAACCTCCATCATCATCTATAACAGTCTGTTTTGGACCTAGTGCTATGTACTCCTTGCAAATTTTTAGATGATACTTGAGGCTTGAAGTGCCTACTTCATAAAGTTTAACAAATCCATGTAAGACATAAGAAAATGACTAAAGTAAGTAATTAAATTAAAACTGACTAAGTAAGTATGAAACTAATACCTGATTTTGACGAACAAGCGAAAGTTTTTTGGCAATATGAGCAAACACATTTTTCTTTGTTAATACCAATCTTGTCGAAATGATCCCATACTTCAAACCTTGTGCTCTTTGTCTTTTTTACTTTTGGTTGAGATGTTGCTCCACTTGCTGTTTCTGGTTCCTTTCTTTTATGTTGAGTTTCTGCAGTCACATGATCTTCTTCATTATCTTCTGCAGTTTGGTTATTGTTCTTTGAACTTTCAAGGTTTGAACTAGAATCCATCTAAAACAAAAATAACCATCAAAAAAAAAATACAGTTAGAACTTAGAACTTAGAACAGAGACTTTTCTGTTGCAATGAAACACTCACTAAGTGTTTCATGACAGCAATGACAACTCAATTTCTTAATAACATGAAGAAATCAGTTTCTGTTTGTGGTGAACAACAAAACACAAAAACAAGGAAGTATCATCAAAATATTTCTGCAACTACGAACACATTACGGAGAAGAGTTTCAAACAAACGACATAATAGTATTAAACATATGAGCAGAGCCTAATTCTTAAATTGAAAGCTCAAGCATTCAATTAAACCAAACAGTTACTAGTAATTATCAAAAACTAAAGTCACCATAACCATTAACAAAATCGCACTCGAACAAACAGACCCGAAATCTAAGAAAGCTAAGAAAGCCAAAGAGACTAAGACAAAGAATCAAAGACAAAATCGCATTCGAAGAAACATAACCGAAATCAAAACAAATCGAAATTAACAGACCCCAAATTAGGCCACAAAATCATAGCTCTGGTGTAGAGCGACCATGAGAAGCTTCAAAATTAAGATTACCTGTGATTGATGTGTCGAAACTTCTGGTGGAGAGTCGGGAGCCGATGAGAAGCTTCAAGGTTTGTGTTTGTGGTGTTTTCCAGATTGTGAGAAAGATTTGGGACTTTAGTCATTTAGGGTTTTCAATTTTTGCTGGAAATCGGAACCGACAAGCTGTGTTTGAGTTGAACAAGAGATGTTGTCGTTTTAGGTTTTTAGTTATGTAAATATGTGGTTATTTGCCAAAACAATCGGTTTGCGGTTATTAATTCGGTTATCGGGTTAAACCGAACCGAACCCGAAACCGAACTCAAATCTACATCGAAACCGATCGGTTATTTAGTCAAAACCGAACCCGGCTCGGGTCGGTTTTCTCAGGTCGGAACCGGGTACGGGTTTCGGTTACGGGCTAAATTCTCAGGCCTACTCTCTCTCCTCTCGAGTCTCCCGCTCCTCTCTCCTCGGGCTCTCCTCCATCTTCCAAATCGAGCTCTCTGAAGCTTATCCCGGTCGTCCCAAGCTCCTTCTTTTCCCTGTCAATCATAATCTCGTTGCTTCGGTACCGTAGTCGGCGTAATTCGCAGCCGCAGGGAGAAAAAAACAACTCAGGTATGTTCAGTTGTTCATAGTTGGAATTCGTCATTTTCTCTTGAATAACTCGAATAAATCAGACAATTAGGTGTTTAGCAATGCTTTTTTGTTCGATTAGTACTCTGCATTAGCAAAGAACGTAATGCAGGGCTTGAATCGAAGCGAACCGTAAGTAGAAGAGTGAGCTAGTTTTGGGAATCTCCGCCGATAGTACAACTGAGTATAACTCGTATAACTAATTGTGATAGTATAACTAGGTAAACTAAGTATAACTACGATGAATTTGCAGCTTCAAAAATCATATCTTGTGTTTTACTCTTTTATATCACAGTTTTTGGATAATTAAAAGTTATATTTGGCAAATAATTGCATTGATTTATCAGAATTGGTTTAGCCCAAAATCGTGAAACTTGGTAGAACTGGTATAACTATGTGATGTAAAAATGCATAACTGTGTAAAACTAGTAATACTGATAAAGTTTTGACTTTGTTTTGGTAGGATATGATGGGTGACGACGTCAGCTTACATTTCAAATGCAAAGGTATCTTGTACAGTTTATTGGTGAAGACATCAACGAACGAGATAACACTATTGATGGTAAAAGCTTTGATATGCAAGAAGTTTGGGTGGGATGAAAAAATGGTGGAATTGAAATTGAGATACATTCCCCTGATTGTGAGATGCGACGAATACACGACCGTAGCTTCTGATGACGATCTCAGGTGCTATCTAAGTTCAGTTGATCCCCAAGGCTGTAGATGTATGTTGCATGTAGAGGTCACGGCTTCCTCAACACAGCCCACAGCGCAAGTATCTAGAGCAGAGAAGGAAAGTTCTGTTGGTGTGAACTATAATGATGATGAAATTGGAGGTAATGCCGTGGCTCTATATGTAGGCAACAACGTCGAAGCAGAACAAGAAGAGGAGGCAGAACAAGAAGAGGAGGAGAATGCAAGCATGAAGAGGAGGAGAATGCAGAGCATGAAGAGGAAGGAGAAAAAGAAGCTCAGGAGATGGATGAGGATGATGTTACAGGCGAATATAGGCACAACGAATATGATGAACCACCTGTTGTACTAGCTAGTCAGTATACAGAGCCATGGGAAGATGGTTTGAATGTCAGATTACTTCAAGAGTTTCCAAATAAGAAGGCAGTGCAGAGAATGGTGGATAAAGCTGCATTTGAGAACTCTTTTGGTTTTGTGCTAGTGAAATCAGATAAGGAACGATATGTGGTGAAATGTCAAGATAAAAGGTGTGAGTGGAAATTACGAGCTGCAAAGGTACTAAATACACGGTTTTGTTTCTCAATTAGAACGCACCACAAGATGCATACATGCTCCCGGGCTAGTCAGAGTACAGTAAAGAAGAGGAAAGGCACTCCAGATTTAGTTGCATGTTTATTGCATGGAGATTATCCAGGATCAATGGAGACACCAAATCCTGGAACTATCCAGAAGCTTGTTCAGACCAGATTTGGTGTGAAGATATCCTACTCCACGGCGTTGAGAGGGAAAAATCGTCATGCTTATGATCTGCGTGGTGATCCAGGAGAGAGCTACAAGAAATTGTATTGTTATTTGCATATGCTAGAGAAGGTGAACGAAGGTACAAAGACAAGTGTGAAATTGGATGAAGCCGGAAAATTCTGTACCTATTCATTGCTTTGGGAGCTACCATTGAAGGGTTTCAATGTATGAGGAAGGTGATAACTGTGGATGCAACGCATCTGAAGAATGGGTATCGTGGTGTGCTAGTCTTTGCTTCAGCTCAAGATCCTAATAGGCACAACTATCCCCTGGCGTTTGGTGTACTTGATAGTGAGAACAATGATAGCTGGAATTGGTTTTTCGAGTTGCTGAAATCTGTTATACCAGACTCGTCCGAATTGGTGTTTATGACTGACAGAAATGAGAGCCTCATCAATGCCGTAGCTTATGTGTATCCAAGGGCTCATCATGGGTATTGTGTATGGCATTTGTCTCAAAATGTGAAGGATCATGCCTTTAATGTCAACAAAGGCGTGGTTTCATTTTATTTCAGGGAGATGAGCAGGCATTACACGGTGGCTGCGTTTGAGGCGGCTTACAGTTCATTTGAAGCGAGATTTCCTTCTGCAGCTGCGTATCTAGTAAAGACTACGAACAATAGGAAGGAAACTTGGGCAAGGGTTCATTTTCCGGGAGTAAGGTACAACCTAGACACAAGCAACTGTGTGGAGTCTTTAAACAGTACTTTTAGGCCTGCAAGGAGATACGCCTTGATACCCATGCTTGATGCGATTATTGCACAAATTTCTAAATGGTTTAATGAACATCGGAAGGAGGCCGCTGCTGGATCAGAAGCGCATAAGTTGGTACCTCTGGTGGAAAACCTAATGCACGATATGTGGAAGGAGGCTGAGAAATTACATGCGACGGAGTTAAACAGTTTCGAGCTTCTTTATGATGTAGTAGCTAAGAAATCCGACGGCACCGCTGACCCAGAGAGTAAGAATTACAGTGTGGACTTAATCAGGAAAAGTTGCAGTTGCAGGGTGTTTGATTTTGAGAAGATTCCTTGTGTCCACGCACTAGCCGCTTTCATGGAATTCAACACCAGCAATGTAGATAGTTCTCGATATCCTATGCAATTGATTGAGCTGGTCTCACATTATTACTTGATCGAGGTGTGGCAATTGGCGTATTGGAGGACGATTTTTCTCGTGCCTCATGAATCGGAATGGAAGGTCCCTGAAGACGTGAAGGCAAAGAAAATCATACCGTTGCAACCTATCCCGAAAAAGGGAAGAAAGAGAACGAAGAGACTTTTTGGTCCCGGAGAATACCGGCGTCCAAGGACAGCAAACAAAAGGCGGAAAAGACAAGGAATCGTGTGGGGGGACCTAGAGAAAGGTTCTCAGCCAAGTCCAGATCCGGAAGTTGTGTAAAACTGGTTTTTGTTTCAGGTCCAGATCCGGAACCTATGTACTTTGTATTAATTAGTTTGTTTCAGGTTTGGATAACTATGTAAAACTGGTTTTTTGTTGTGTAAAACTATGTACTTTGTATTACTTAGCTTGTTTCAGGTTTCACAATCATATGTAAAACTGGTTTTTTGTTGGGTAAAACTATGTACTTTGTATTACTTAGCTTGTTTCAGGTTTCACAATCATATGTAAAACTGGTTTTTTGTTGGGTAAAACTATGTACTTTGTATTACTTAGCTTGTTTAGGTTTACAATCATATGTAAAACTGGTTTATATGAAAAGAGAATAGTTATAACTTCTGTAAATCCACAACTTTTAAATATAATTTGTGTCTCTGGGAAAAAATAACACAATTAGAAGAAAATAGTTTGTTTGCAAGTATTGGACACTATGTCAACCATATACTTCTAAGGTCACTTTGCTAAGAACAAGCAATTCCGGATGCGAGATTCGCAGAAATCAATTGTGTGGACATATTAATGGATAAAGTGATAAACATCATATGTTAATCCGTTAAAATCTTCTGTAAAACTAGAAAAAATACATACAAGGTTAAGTAATACTGATTTAATATAAAAACCAGCCAAAGTACAACTATTTGCAGTGGTGGTACAACTAGAACCTTGGTATAACTAAGTGTATTTTTCTGAATGAAAAACGGCGCTAATTTTGTATGAAAGACGGCGCGACGGCGCCACGCACGTGTTTCGTGTGTGGTTCAGGAAAAGAAAAAAATTTACGAAAAATTTATACAAATATAAAAGGACCTTATTTTCTCTCTCTTCTCATTTTTCCATTTTCGTTCTCTCTCCTCTTGTCCTCTCTCCTCCCGACGCTCCTCCCCTTCTTCCTTCGAACCCTAGATCTGAGCCCGAGTCTCCGAGACCAGATCTGCAAATTCTCAATAATTTCTCTTCCTATTCCGATTCGCTCTTCCTTGTATATCCGACTTAAGTAAGTACAACTAATTTCTCTTCTTCTTCCGATTCGCTCTTTCTTGCATATTCGGGTTTCGTTTTAGTAGTTGTAGCGAATCTGAGATCGATGGGCGAATCTGGGCTCGATTGTATTTGGGTTTTAGTAGCTGTAACGAATCTGGGATGGAATTTCAGTCTTACTAATTTTAGTGCTTTCTCCTTTTGTTCTTTTGAATTTCGGAGTTATGTGGGGATCACCAGACAAAGCTACGATGAAGGCAATGATGAGGGAGATGGACTACATCACTCTCGTCGCTGATGGTCAACGTGGGATCCCAAAGGAATGTCCATGTGGTGCACGCATCGTTCACGAGATTTCGAAAATCGAAGGAGACTTGGGAAACAGATACTTTACATGCTCGGCATATAAGGTAAGAGTTATGAGTTATACGAGGATTTCACTCCAGATTATTTGAGCTTTATGAGTGTCTGAGTTCTGAGTTCTCATTCGTGATGATATATGCAGAATGACCGCTTCCACTGGCGCATCCCTTGGTTTCACGGAGTTGAGGAAGAGTTCGACAAGTTAAGGGAAGAGATAGAGGAGCAGAAGGATAAACAGAGTCAAAAACTGTCGGATCTTGAAGCACAAGTGAAGCGAATGAGTGAGGAGCTGAAAAAACACCGTGGAATGCTTGAAAAACTGAAGGACTTAGTTGACCATGTGGTGAAGACCATCTTTGACGGATGGTAGTTCATTGGAGTAATAAACATCGATAACCTATTTCTTATTTCAAGTGTGTTCTCAAAACTTCTTTGTCAGTGTGTTTGTTTCATGAGACATAAACCTATGTAAGATTATTATCTATTATCATCATCGTCATCATTATCTATTTTTTTGTTGTACTAGTAATACAAACTGAAACAACTTAGTTTTACTTAGTTTTACTAGTAATACAAAATGAAACAACTTAGTTTTACTTAGTTTTACTAGTAATACAAAGTTGAAAACACTCAGTTTGACATAGTTTTACTAGTAATACAAAGTAAAACATTTAGTTTGACATAGTTTTACTAGTAATACAAAATAAAAAACATTTAGTTTGACAACATTCAGTTTGACATAGTTTGACATAGAAGACACAAAACAAACTTAATCATTGTAATACAAAAACTCCCAGTTTGACATAGAAGACACAAAACAAACTTAGTTCTTCTCATCCTCTCTCGAAACCTCTCCCTTTTTCGCCTTCTTCTTTTCCATCTCAGCCTTCTTCTTTTCTTTCTCAGCCTTCACTTCTGCCTTCTTCCTTTCTTTCTCAGCCTTTTCTTCTGCCTTCTTCCTTTCTTTCTCAGCCTTTTCTTCTGCCTTCTTCCTTTCCTTCTCTAGCTTTTCTTCTGCATTCTTCCTTTCCTTCTCTACCTTTTCTGCTGCCTTCTTCTCTATCTTCCCAGCTACCCTTGTAGACACCCTCGGCTGGTTAGCCTCCTCCAAGAGCTTCTCCCGCTTCTGCCTTTTACCCTCGTCCCGCTTCTCGTTCATTCCATCTCGATCCCGTTTTAGATGGACTTTCAGCTTAGGGCGATGAGAAATTGGTCGTTTAGGAGAAGCGACCACACTGCCGAGACTTTCACCTCCTTCTTTCTCCACATTGCCTTCAGGAGAAGCGACCACACTGTCGAGACTTTCACCTCCTTCTTTCTCCTATAATCCAACAAAGAAAAAATATTAAAAATAATATTAAGCAAAAATATACTAAAAGAATTGCAACTATTACCTTTTCGGGCTCGCTTTCTTTCTCTTTGCCAGAGACATCATCAACTTCCTTTTCCTGCGATTTATCTCTGCCATCTTCTTCCTCCATGGCTTCTTCTCGACTTTCATCGGCCATGGCTTCTTCTCGACTTTCCATGGCTTCTTCTCTACTTTCATCGGCCATGGCTCCCTCCATGGCTTCTTCTCGAGTTTCATCGGCATGTGGCGGTTCTTCCTCTCCCTTGTCCTGCAAAGGGTCTCTGACCTGTGGCGGTTCTTCTAAACCCTTGTCCTGCGAAAGGGTCTCTGACCTGTGGCGGGTCTCGAAGTCCCTCTGCCACGTCTTCGAGATCCCTGTCACCACTTTCATTACCGTCTCTCTCTTTTGAACCCTACAATAAAAAATAGTTATACTCAGTTTCACCAAGTGTTACTTTTGTTCTAAAATCTGAAAACACATAGTTTGTTACCTGTGAGATGTCATGGCAAATGTTGTCATCCTCCATCCTCATATGAGCAGTTTGCTCATTCACATAAGCTTCAATCGGAGCTATCCTTACCTCCAACCGATCAACTTTCTTCTCAATTGTCGTCATACGCTCTTCCATCTCCTTCTTCATGCTCTGGATAAGCTCTATCAATTCTGAGGATGGCGTGTTAACAGCTTCCGGGTTCACCGCTTCGGTGTTCACCGCTTCATGGTTCTGAGGAGGAGCTTCTGCTAATCTTGCCACATCTTCGTCGTACATATCCTTCAAAAATACGACCTGCGATCGCTTTGCGAGCTTCATCCAACTCTCGACAACGACACAATGCTCATCAACGTCGTCCTCAGGTTCTGTGATTCTTTCCAGAAGACGCTTCTCACTAGCGTTTGCAGTTAGGATATTATCAATGTCCTGCAAATACAATAAACGAGTAAAGATTACTAGGTTAATAATTTACAGTAAAATTTATAGGCTTATATGCAAAAGTATAACTGACCTTAGTTGTACCAAGTTGTGCACTTATTCTCTCGAAAGGAATTCCTTTCATGTCGCATTTTTTGAACATTGACTTGCACATCTTCGGACATTCCTCATCTGCGCCTGGAAAAGGTTGTAGAAATCGTTCACCTAACTGTGGAATAGCCTCGAAAGCTAAGAACTACACAGAGAACAATGAGGTACAGTTAGAAAGCATTAGACTTAAAATATTAAAAGTAAAAGACAATTCGAAATTGAAATAAATATTACCTCAAGAGGTAAAATATGCACTTATTCTCTCGAAAGGAATTCCTTTCATGTCGCATTTTTTGAACATTGACTTGCACATCTTCGGACATTCCTCATCTGCGCCTGGAAAAGGTTGTAGAAATCGTTCACCTAACTGTGGAATAGCCTCGAAAGCTAAGAACTACACAGAGAACAATGAGGTACAGTTAGAAAGCATTAGACTTAAAATATTAAAAGTTTAAAAGACAATCGAAATTGAAATAAATATTACCTCAAGAGGTAAAATGAAACCTGGAATCGGCCATGGTTGGTCTGCTTTTCAAGTCCTGGAACAGCCCCATTGAAATGGGTCATTGTCTTGGAGATCCCTTCTAACATGTGATCATAGGACAATCTCCCCCAAGGAAATGTCCTACACAAACTCAGATCACCCACGGCTCTTAACAAGAATGGGTCCACGGAACTAGCTTTTTTCCAGTCTTCGTCTGCCCTTTGATAATGCTAGCTAAAAAGTACAATATCAGCATCCTCAGCCTGTCATCAGAATTCGGAGGAGGCTTCATCTTCTCTAACATTGGCTTAAGATCTTGATATCTTACTGTTGAACCCAGCTTAAAATACTTCTCCACAAATGCCATTTTCCCAGATTTATTTTCCGCAAAACCGCTTGGATAGTTATGGGAATACAATCCCGATATCAAGGCATGTTCCCTTAGACCATAACGGATAGGCACGCCATTTACAATGAACCAAACTTCTTTTTTCTTCTCAATGCATGCGGTTCGAAGAAGCAGCGTCCAAATTCCCTGAAGCTTGTGGTTTCGGTCCCTTGACATGTGGAAGATGTGTTTGAACTGCGGGTGAGTCGGAAGGTCTCGAACAAGTCATGCAAATAACACCTCGTCGATATCTTCATTTTCTTAATGTACTCTGTCGGCGGAAAATACATCCTCAAAGGTCTCATTGGTTCCACTTCCTCTTCCTCTTCCTCGCCCGAGTACTGCAAAACACATGTACCAAGTATTACCTAGTTGTACTTTCATATCTAAATATAGTTTTACCAAGTTATACCAGTATTACTCTTTCATAACCAACAAAAACGAAATGAGAGTTAAACGAGGAAACTCCTAATCAATCCTGACACTCTCCTCTTCAATCCTCAACAATCTCACAGGAAATGCGAGTTAAACAAACCCGGAATCAGAGATAAACTAACTATCATATACTAACAACCAAAATCCAATTCAACAACATTTTTCCCTAATTCAGTTGCTCTTGATTGTCAGAGTACTTACGCTTGAATCGGGGTCACTCTCACTTTGTCTCCTCCCTCCGTCGCTCCCGTCACAAGCTCCTTCTCCAGTCGGAGGGTCTCTCAAACTTTGACTCCCTCCGTCGCTCCCGACTCCATCTTCTGCTCCTTCTTCAGTCGGAGGGTCTCCTCTGAGTTCTCTTTCACTCCTAGTTTCCTCTGAGTTCTCGTTCTCTTTCTCACTCTCCTCACCTCGAGCCCGTTGCTTTTCCGCGCCGATCTCGGGTGACGCTGATTCGACATCTTTCTTTTTCTTTCGACATTCTTTCTTTTTTTCTTCCCCAACACCTTCTCGAGATTTCTCGTGAGTACCATCTTCATTTCGAAATTCTCGTTCAAACTCACTCTTCAAACTCTCACTCTCTTCGGAGTTCGATTCTCTTTCGAATTTTGAATTCTTTCTCAGAAACGCGAAAGAAACTGAAACGGTGAAGCGAGAAAGAGAACGCGATTTTAGGGATTTAGGGTTATCCCGATTTCAGATGGATATAACCCGTTGGATCCGGATAATTGGTGGTCGGATCTGTAATTACTACAACTTTTCCTGGATATTGTTGTCTTTTACTCGTTTTTCGAATTAAAAATAAATGGCCATAAAATAGAAGAAAATAGGGGGATAGATGAGATTGTCAAGAGAGATATAGGGAGAGAAGAGATGATGACTCGAATATTTGTGCAGCAAAAAGGAGACTACGGATAAGGAATAAGACCGGGGTTCAATATTCTTGTGTGGTCGGAGGATTTTAGCTTCAGGAGTGAAGTGGATACTAAAAAGTAAAAGGTAAAAACTGGTATTTTGAGGTTAATTATTCAGGATCTAATCTGGCATAAAGATATCTCATTGGTTGCTTAAAAGTAAAAGACCAAGCAAACAATTCAAGGATCTAATTCAGTAGTTAGTGATGAACCTCTCTTGTATTGGGCTTACGTTTTATTTTGGTTTTGGGCTTTTCATCTTGTTTGGGCTTTGCTTTGAAATATTGTTTCTCATCTTCTGATTTGATTTCGATAAGATGGTTGCTACTTGTTTAACCAACCATGCTGTTGTTTAGGTTTATTGGAGGGTTGGTACTTGCTACAACAGCTACAAAACACACTACAATCACGAGTACGGTCTATGAAGACATGTACTGATAGATACAGCGGTTTGAGTAAATAAAATGCAATTACCAACAAGTAAAAAAGGCCAACATGGTATTGGAAAAAGAAAAGGACCAAACAAACAAAAAGCAATTCAGGCTCCAGAGAATTTGAATTTGCAAAACGCACATTTTCATTACAGCTCACTCACGCGGTCGCTTTTTCGCTTCATCATCTCTTCAAAAGCTTCCAATTCCTCTCCTCTCTCACAGTTTCAAAATATTTCAAAAATTCAACAGCTAGATTTAGGGTTCAATGGATTCAGGTCCCAACTTCATTCCACGCTTACTTCTACTCTCCATTCTCGTCGCGTCAATTCCCCTAACAGCATCTCAGACCGCCGCCGATACGAAGCCACCACCGTCGCCGCCTTCTGATTCCGATCTATGCAACGGCGTCTTCGTCTCCTACACTCACACGAAAGGATCTAAGATCCCGCCCAACGACTCCGCCAACCAGCCGTACCGGTTCGAATCTGTGATAACGGTGCTCAACAACGGCCGCGACGAGCTCAAATCATGGCGCGTCTTCGTCAAATTCGCCCACCGCGAGATCCTCGTGTCCGCCTCCAACGCCGTGCTCTCAGACGGCTCGAGCCTCCCAGCGAGCGTCGAAAACGGCACCGTATTCGCCGGCTATCCCTCCTCGGATTTGAAGTCGGCTATTCAGACGGCGGGTGACGTCACGCAGATGCAAGCGCGCGTCGAGCTCGTCGGGACGCAGTTCGGCGTCGCGCCGCCGAATGCGCCGCTCCCGAAGAACATCACTCTCGCTACTGATGGATGGAAGTGTCCCAAAGCCACCGTAAAAGGTATAAATATCTTAGTTTCCGAGAATTTGTCTCTCAAATCTGAAAATTTGTTTGCATTTCCTTGATTTCTGGCTCAAATTTTCTAGTAATTGAAGCTCTGTTGACTGATCTTGGTTTTGCTATGTCAAGGATGAAGTATCCACTGTAGATCCCTATAATCACGGAGAGATTTATGCAATGCCTAGACTACTAAATAGTAAATAGAGTCAAAATCTCCAGCAACAATTGCATTATTTAGTTCCCATGTGCTCATTCATGGAAGAAGTCTTATGTTTTGTTTAACTTCTTTTTGACACCTAATGTTTGAATTAGTCAAATGGAGATTCTTAGTAACACATTTGTCATTGATCAGGATTTAAAGGTTCTTGATTAATCATAGGAGTATTAAGATTTTCTGTGTTTGTTTGCCAGGTAAAAATGTTCTGCAAGTGTGTTGCAAGCCGGATCCAGACTTCAACAACACAGAGATCATTGACAACGAGTACCTTCCTCGACAAAACGGAGATCTCACAATCATGTACGATGTGATAAGATCGTACTCATCGAACTACATGGCGCAAGTGACCATGGAGAATCACAACCCGCTAGGCCGGCTTGATAACTGGAATTTAAGTTTCGACTGGATGCGTGACGAGTTCATCTACACCATGAAAGGTGCTTACCCGAATCTCGTCGACTCATCGGACTGTATCGACGGCCCTCAGGCGAAATACTATCAAGAACTTGATTTCTCAAACGTGTTGACCTGTGCAAGACGACCAACCATCATAGACCTCCCTCTCACCAAATACAACGATTCCACGTTCGGTCTTATCCCGTTTTGCTGCAGAGACGGAATCATCCTGCCGCGGTCTATGGATCCGAGCAAGTCCATCTCAGCTTTCCAGATGCAGGTTTACAAAATGCCTCCGGATCTTAACATCTCTGCTCTCTCACCGCCTCAGAACTGGCGTATCAACGGCACACTAAACCCTGACTACAAATGCGGTCCTCCCGTTAGAGTCAGCGCCAGCCAGTTCACCGATCCCAGCGGATTACCTTCGAACCGGACGGCTTTCGCCAGCTGGCAAGTGGTCTGCAACATCACTCAGCCGAAAGACGCGAGCCCTAGATGCTGTGTGTCCTTCTCCGCCTACTTCAACGACTCCATCATCCCCTGCAAGACTTGCGCTTGCGGGTGTGACAACAAGAAAACACCTCGCACGTGCAGCACAACCACCCCGGCTCTGCTTCTACCGCAGCAAGCTCTTCTCGTTCCGTTTGAGAACCGAACCGGACTCACCATGGCTTGGTCTTATCTAAAACACCGCCCCGTGCCGAACCCAATGCCTTGTGGGGACAACTGTGGAGTTAGCATCAACTGGCACTTGGCTACAGACTACCGAGGCGGTTGGTCGGCACGTGTCACCGTCTTCAACTGGGGAGAGACAGACTTTGTGGATTGGTTTACAGCGGTTCAGATGAAAAACAACGCTGCGGCTGGTTTCGAGAAAGCCTACTCGTTCAACGCGTCTACACTTAGTATCGAGGGAGAGAACAACAACACTATCTTCATGGAAGGTCTTCCTGGATTGAACTATCTCGTGGCGGAAAGAGACGGTGAGAATCCGTTGAAGAACCCTCGGGTTCCGGGGAAGCAGCAGTCTGTAATCTCCTTCACCAAGAAACTGACTCCTGGGATCAGTGTCCGTAGCGGAGATGGCTTCCCGAGCAAAGTGTTCTTCAACGGCGAGGAGTGTTCTCTTCCGTCTATACTCCCAACGAGCAACAGCCACCACCACCGGAGACACGTCTCTGCTTTGTTCTTGGTGTTACCGGTTTTGGCTCTCTTGATACTCCGGGTGTAGCTGCATTGAAGCCCTCCCTTGGGGTTGGCGTTGCAGTCTCTTCTTGATCTTGATTGTGTACTGTACTGGTTTACCTGAAAACCGGTCAGTTCCGGAATCAATCGATTCTTTTTCAACCTGTGATGAGTGTTGGAAGAAGCTTTATATATAGGTATGAAGATATGTTACAATTCTTGTATTGTTTGTGATGAGAAGAGAAGAGTATCTGTAATCACTATTCACTATGTATACTGTATTTTTGTTTACTCTCTCTCTCTCCAAAGTCCAAACCGAACCAACCAGTTCTTGTTTGAAGAGCAATAACCGGTCAAGACTGAGTTTTGAGGATGGATTCATTGATCGGGATCAATACCGTATCTTTATTATTATGAAGCAACAAGGCATGGAAACATATTTACACATGTTCCTAAAACTCGAAAAGAAAGAAAGAAAGAGAAGCAAAACATTGCTTACTGTAGAATTAGACGATCAAGAACCCCTAAATGTACGCAGGCTTTATGTAAGCCTGAGTACAAGATTACAAAACATCTTGAGGAAACTCAAATTACTCCTAATAAACCAGAAGAAAAAAGAAGGAAAAAAAAAGTAATTATTTTGTCTGCTATAATCTGCTATTGAATTTCCTGCAGATTATATCATCTAAAAGATACAATACATGATCCCTTCTACATTCCCAGCAGCGGGAGGGAGAAGAACAAACAAAGAATCCTGCAGTCGTCTACTCTTAAGAGTTTCTCTGAGGTCAGACCGGAATATTATCGATGGAGTATCCGTCAAAATCGAACTCGTTTGGAATGCCTTCCTGCAAATTTCATACACGAGAAATGAAGTAAATCTCAAGCTTTCCTTTCAATACACATATTTGTAAATAGTGTACTTAGCCATAAGAGTCAAACCTGCTTGAGAAGAGCGCTCATGAGATCTTCTTGATGATACTGCTCGTGAAACAGTGTTGTTGTTGGCGGAGGACAAGTCACTGCCTCTGTCTTCACCCTAACCGGACCACCACCACCCATGTAAATCTGGTTCATCTGATGTAGACTCCGGTTCTGTGGCGGCTGGTTCTGATTCTGAGAATGCTCGGCCACGAATGTTACGTCTGTATCACGCCTTTTCCTCTGCGAAGAAGAGTACGCTTCCGAAGCGGAAAAAGCTGCTGTGTTTTCCTGATGAGAATTGAAGGCCAAACCGATATTCCGCAGATCCCAATCGTTCATCTTGTTGTTGTCGTTGTTGTGATGTTGCTGCTGCTGCGGAAAGTCGTTGAAAACGTCGTAGCTAGGGTTATTAGCAAACCCTCTCGCATCCGAGCTGTTGACTTCTTCTTGGTAACAAGTCGGTGCACTCGCCAACGGGAAGCTGTTTCTCTGTAGCTCTGAAGGGAAGTTGTTGAAGACCGAGTGCGTTGCTGGTAACACCACTCTGCTGCTGCTTGACAACATCTGCTGCTGCTGTTGCCCGAGAGACGGTAACATTGATGGTGGCATCAGCATTCTGCTACTACTACCTGCAAACTGTTTCGGTTCCATAGCCGTTGGAACACCGTGAAGCAGACTCGTCTGCTTATTACCGCCGACGTGTCCATCTCCGAATCTCATCTTCGGGTTCTCGAAGCTGAAGACGCTTCTCTGGTCTACGAGTGGCGACATCACCGGTTTAGTGAGTGAAGGACGGCCAAGGCCGGTTGCTTGAAGCTGTGCAAGGCTCTGAGCAGGGAGGTGACTCGCAGCAGCTAGAGCTTGAAGATGGTCAAACCCGCTCAAAGGAACGAAACTCGGATCTTGACCGGTCATAAACGAATGGTTCATGTTCCCTTGGTGCTGCGATACTCCTCCAAGCCGTCTCAGATAGATCCTGTACTTCTGCAATATCCCACAAAACGTCACCAAAATTTTAACAACACATCAAGAAACAGAACAAATCTTAACACCAAATATCAACAACACATCAATAAACAGAACAAATCTAAACAATACTGTTCAGTCGCATATCTTTTTACCTGGAGGTGACTGGCTACGTTTTCTCGGGTTAGTCCAGGCACATTCATCATCTCCAAGATCTTCTTAGGAACCGCTTCTGCATTTACATACCAAAGATTAAACTAACATTGCAAACACAATAACACACAAATGCACCAAGAAAATAAGTGTTTTTTTGCTTTCTTACTGTCAACGCCGAGATGATTCACAGCAGCGACGAACTGTTGATGCAACTCAACAGACCAAACCACGCGTGGCTTCTTCAAGCTCGACGAGTCTTCTTTATCATCGCCCTGTTCGTCTACTTCCTCTTCTTTCCGCTTCCTCGAGCTCTTCCATGTGCCTTCGTTAGCCGAAGACGAGTTGTTATCAGCATCATCATCATCCCTCTCCTGCTGTTGGTGTTGCTGTCTCTCTCTCTCTCCACCACCGCCACCAGTCGTCTCTTCAATACTTCCACCGGATTGTTCAGAGACATTCCTGTCGTTACGCTTCTTCCGCACAACATGCTGCCAAATGTTCTTCAGTGCCTCGATGCGAACCGGTTTGATTAGGTAATCGACCGCACCGTGAGTCACTCCTTTCAACACAACGCTCTTTGAATCATCCGCAGACATCACTGAAAAAAGATCAAACTTTTCAGATCTCAAGAGAGAACACAATTAGAGTAAATTAAAATGTTTAGCGATTAATGAAAAACACGTACTGATAACAGGTAGATCCATCTCTAGACCAACGTGTTCGAGGAGCTTGAAGCCATCCATGTCAGGCATGTGGACATCGCTGATGACTATATCAAAACCGTTCTTGTTCTTCCGAAGCAGAGACAATGCGATCTCTGCTCTGTTACACTTCGTTACTGTTAATCAAAACAGAATCAGACTCAAATTATTAAACTTTGTCAAAAGTAAAGCTTTAGAGACAAAAAAAAAAATCTAAAGAACGAGAATAAACACACAAAATCGAACCCAGAAATCACAAACCAACTCAGTAAGAAGGATCCGAAGCAGAGACAATGCGATCTCTGCTCTGTTACACTTCGTTACTGTTAATCAAAACAGAATCAGACTCAAATTATTAAACTTTGTCAAAAGTAAAGCTTTAGAGACAAAAAAAAAAATCTAAAGAACGAGAATAAACACACAAAATCGAACCCAGAAATCACAAACCAACTCAGTAAGAAGGATCTCTTGATTTATTTTTATTTTTTTGACGGATTAAGAAATTTTAAAGAGACTTTTCTTAAGAAGTAAGAGATCTCTTAAGAAGATTACTCCAAATCAAAATCTAACACGAATGATTTGGGAACAGAACACTGAGCTATATATATACTAAGAATCTAACAGTGATTTAACAGTTGGCGAAAATTTTCTAGTCAATTTCAATCTTCAAACCTCGTTTTTCCATTTTCGGCTTAGTCAATCCTTATCTTAAAAACCACAAAAAATTACCAAATAAATTTCCCAAATTGGACCACAGAAGAAATATCAAGAAAGGCCATGAACCTGAAATTAAAATAAATCAAGATCAAATTTTGAAGAATTAAATACCTCTGTAGAGACAAGTCCTGAGCATCCTCTCTAAGATCATGAGACAAGTTGGGTCATCGTCGACGACGAGAACTCGGAGACCCGCCGGAAACGGGTCGGAGTTCGACCCACCACCAACAACACCCGAATCGGGTCCTCTTCCGTGACCCGGATTCATCATCGCCGTTCAATAAAGCGGACGATGAGGGAAGAAGAGACACAAAAGTCTGAACAATAAGAGAATATATGCTCCGAAGGAAAAGAAATTGACGTGGTTTTTGATTCGAATGATTTGAGGATAACAAGAACAAAAGCAAGAGAAAATTTGATACCCAGATGATGAGAATTTGTGGTGAAAATTTGGAATAAAACAAATAGTTTCAAAGAATTATTATGCTTGTTGGGAAGGTGAGATGAGATGTGAGAGTTGAAGAGAGCATGGAGTTGTCTCTCAGCTGCAAGCTCGATTTCTCTGTTTCGGAATTCTTTTTTTTTTAATAAGAGGTTCTGTTAATAGTTTTTAAATTTAAATCTGGAAATGTTTATATATACAGTATTATATAGTTATATATGATACATGTCTCTGTATGTGTGTATATACGTGGTGCAGAGATGCCCTTTATTTTTAACTCTTCTCCAAATATAGACCGTATACTTTTTTAACTTTACATCCTATGTCCATTTTTTTAAATGCATCATTTGATAAATTAGCTCGAATCTACAGGACTATAGCCACACTTGGACTAATCTCTAAGTCTACTTTTAAAAGATGTATAAATTATTTGATTTAAATGTCTATACTAATAATAGAAAAATGATAGAACTATAGCTATAATTTATTAGCGGATGGTGTGAAATAGTAGTTTAAGCGCATAGATTAGTTTTATTGTGCTCCTACTTTGATTTCAGATGGGAAATATGTTTTCTGCCATGACATAAGGTATTACTATATCAGCAGAGAATATTGGTCCCAGACTATAAGATGAATTATGTTCTAGTTAAAAAAATATTTACTATTAGATCAATATGTAAATATTTACTATTGATTTAATAGACCCTAATTCGTATTATTAAATTGAACCTCTTTAAGTTAATGTATTTTGATCAGTTTAGTAATTTTTCTATAAAAATGATTTTTTTTTAAATAGATTTTGTTAATATAAATACAAAAATATTCATTAGAACTTTTTAATATAGATTTTCATTTATTTATAAGAAAAATAATAAATATATATAAGAAAACTATGACCTAAGTTATGAAAGATGAGATTTGCACTCGGAAGCAATGGCAGTTTCTCATGTCAGCCAGCCATGCATATATGTTAGTGTAGGTCAAAGATCAATTCTCTTTTAACGTGAAATTATCTAAAGAGTTTCCCCTTAACTAGTTTGAAATAATATCATGTTTTAGACTTACTCATAACGCCAATGAATATGCTACTCAACTATTACATTCACAATGGAGATATTAGTCGGATGTAAGAACCCGAATCACCTCTCTCGATCATTAAAAAAGAAAATGTGACTAAAAACAAAACATAACGATAGTCGATAATGTCGCTTCCGTATAGTATAGCTCAAAACATGGGTTGTTTTGGTAAGATATCAAAATATGTGAGGCTGATGTTCAATTATATTAAACTTTGGGGTACGGAACTTACAATAATTGAGAAGAAAGTGGCCTGCCCTTGATGCGTGGATCCAGCTCATACATGAAAACATAAAAATAACTCATTTTATACATCCAACCTTAACTAATTATAATAGTACTAGGTTTGAAGCCCCACGCAAGTGTAAGCGCAAGCGCGGAGTTATTTATCTGTTTAATTTTATTTATACTCGTTGATTTAAATTATAATGATTTTGTATTAACTTTCATGTGTTTGTTATGTTTTGAATTAACTCAACCACAAACACTAGAAAATATGAATAATTTGCTTTTTTTTTTTTAATTTATTATGATATTTGACTGAAGGTTAAAATTTGTAAACGCATTCTTGTTTTTCACTACAAAAATAAATTTACATATAAAACTCAATTTCTATTTGTTTAAAAAACAAACTCTAACTCTAATTTTTTATTAGTCATTTGACTGATGGTTAAAATTTGTAAATATATTCTTATTTTTCACTACAAATTAAATTTACATATAAAAATTCATTTTATTTTTTAGAAAAACAAACTCTAACTCTAATTTTATTAGCTTTCTATTATCTTAATTAATTTATATTCAACTCTTTAACTTGTAAACACATTATAACATTTTTAAATAGGATAATTCTTTCAGTAAAAAGGTAAATATATACTATTTGAAGTTAAATATTTCTTTACTCCGTCTTTATTTTATATTCCAACTTTTTGATAACTTTTAACATCAAATTATCACACACTTTCTATTAATTAATTAATTTATTTGTATTTTTTATAAATATCAATAAATGTAAAAAAAATATAAATAATCATATATTTAATAAGTATTTTATAACAACACTACATGTATACATGTATACAGAATAACATAACCACGTATATGTATATGTTTTCTTCTTCTTAAGGTATATATATTTTCTCGTAAAATTATTCGTTAACAAAAATATGAAAATGGCAAAATCCCAAAAGCCGTTTAATCGTATTTAAAAACAAAAAAAGATTTCTCAACAAGAGACAATAATATCCTTTTACAAAAAAAAAAAAAAAAAAAAAAAAAAAAAAAACAAGAACAATAACAATATAACATATAATTAAAAATATATATATACTCAATGTGTTGTACTAAAATATTATCACTGAATGCATAACTAATTAATTTCTCAAAGCACTTCCTAAACTAATATAGTATTCTGTTATGGGAAAACGCACAAAAAATGCTGAACTATATGAAATTTCACGTTTTATTCTCCAACTCTTGATTGTACAATAATTCCTCAAAGTATTGTTGATTTTACCAAATCGGGTTTCAATTAGTCAACTATTAACATGGAAATGGATTCTCTAAATAAGAAACATTATCCGCCGGGATTTTTAGTTCTAAATTCAGAATTTCCAAATCTAAATTTTTTAAGGGAATTTCCGGTTTTCTCCGGAAATTTTTAGCAATTTTCATCCAGTTTCGGAATTTGAATTGATACAATCACTAAAATATGTTGGAATTTGCTAAAAATCGTCGAAGTTTGCCAGAAAATTCCCTTAATGTTTTTAAGTTTGGAAATTTTGAGTTTGAAATTGAAAATCCCGACGGATAATGTTACAAATTTAAAGGAATCAATTTTCATGTTAACGGTTGACTAATTGAAACCCAATTTGGTAAAGTCAACAATATTTTGAGGAATTATTTGTGCAATCAAAAGGAATTGAAACCCAATTTGGTAAAGTCAACAATATTTTGAGGAATTATTTGTGCAATCAAAAAGAATAAAACGTAAAATTTCATATAGGATTTTTTTGTGCGTTTTCCCATTCTATTACTAACTCTTAACTCTTTTGGTATCATACTCCTCCTAAGAGACAAGAGTGAGGACCTTCCCGAGACTGGCTGACGTTTAGAGCCAACACAAAAGTATTAAATACATTATACATGGCAGGCTGAAGTTCATATGCTTGAAAAGCTCTAGTACGCGAACCATCATTGATTCGTTTCTCTCTAAGTCATGTATGCATGCCTATTCGTATATATATAGTACGTAAAGCAGAGCATCATCAATTCATCATCATCATATCTCTCCAAGTTATATAAAGTAAACTAGATTCACCGACTACGTCAAAGATGTCTTCATCAAACTTCTGTCTACGGATGCCACATGACGGGAGCCTCCGAGCCAGCGACCGGCCGGAAGGTTAACCTGATAAGATAAAACCTATTAAGATACACGTAATGAATCATATCTTAAAAGAGACAGGGACAGATTTGTGACATTTGTCCTCACCAAATGTGTATCATATTAAATAGAGTCTAGTCTCAAAGACTCAAACCATAATATCTCGACCGTTTATCCTTTGCTGTTCAACCGTTTATTAAGTACTCTGTACATCACACTACAAGAAAGAAGGCTTATAACGTCGGTTATATTCCTGGTTAACGTCACTTATAAAGCGATGCAAAAATATTACCGTCGGTTTGAAAACCGTCGTAACATTCAATGACACTAAATTTTTTAACGTCAATTGGAAAAACGACGTCATGTTTAACGTCGAATCATTAACGTCGGTTTTTTTGGCAATTTTGCGACACTTTGGGTTTGACACTTAACAACTGAAGCTAATTTCTTTTTTTCTTTTTTTCTTTACAGCAATTTTATTTTGTTCTAACTAATAATTAAATTAACGAAATTTGGAAAACTGGTAAAATACAAATTTTATTAGCCAAATATAACATGTTTACATATAACTATACAAGCATAACTGCCTCTTGATTACAGTTCATAATATTAAACTTCAAAAGCTTCAAACTGCAAGTCTGCAACTCTTGTATGGTCATTTGCCTGAAAAAAAAAAGATGAGTACAATACAGTAGAGATATAAATTTATTACCTGATTACTTGATATATCTTCAATGAATTGTTCTGTTTGCCATTCACATAAAGTGCTCATGCCTGTACCTCGGTCTTTCTCTCATGTATGCACTTTTACATCTTCAACAAATTCATCTACTATTGCATACCTGAAATTAAGTACAAATATCATGTTTCCCTTCTTAATTCAACATTATTTCATTGATCAAAACCACACAAAGAAACTAGGAAACAGAGCACTCTGAGAGGAGAAGACAAACCCAATCTTTGTAGTTCCACCGGTCACACAGCAGCCATCTAACCAAAAAGTAATATATGAAAGTAATACACTTATGAAAGTAATACACTTATGCTGGTAGTGTTATATAAGAGACATATAGTTCAATTAACCTAGAATACACTGGAAATGCCGTAATGGGTTAGTTTGCTTACCTTCCAACTATTAGACATGTCCCTAAGTCATGTTCAAACACATTTTTGTCCAGCATTCCGTGTAGATTCTGCATAGGTACAATGAAATGAAATTTAATTATAAGCACATATTGCAGAAGAATGATCTACTTCTCTAGGAATTCGCTCTATTGTTCAACCTTTTTCATCATCAATGTTGCTTCAGAAAGGTTGCTTAATACTCTTGCTTGTTGATGGAATATTCAACAAGCAAGAACAATGCACAATGAACTTTAAGCGAGTATGATGTGGAACAGGACCAATGCACAAAAGAAATGGAGCATACCAAGCTTAACGCAGTTAATACCAGAGAAGGGGTACAATTTGCTCTGCATATAGTTAACATAAATTCCTTTAGTCTAATAGTCTCGAAGATATATGCTTTGGTTTAAATTAAACATATAACCAAGTATCAAAATAGTCAAAGACGTATTTGATTGCTCACCTAAACTAGGAAGAGATTAGATTTCGACTTAGGCAGATGAAAGTACATGATCAGTACATGTTTCTTTAGTCCACCACGATGGATAAGTAATCAATTGTTTGTTACCAATGTTTAAAATCTACTCATTCATTTAAGTTTTTGTTTTCTTATAATTAGTAATTCAGTTTAAAATATATTAGCTAGATTTAAATGCCTAAATCCAACTAAACATTTAGGAGTTATAATTTTTTTAAACAATTTGTTTTGTTCGATAATACCAAATTCTTAGTGGTCAAATAATAGCATCCGATTTTTTTAAGAGGTTTTCGTATTAAGCATATGAAAACGAAAAGAAAAAAGAAGCAAAACAAAAAGAATCTCACAACTGCGTTGCCATTTGCATGGTCGAAACTTATAATGATAAAAATAATAAACTTAAGAGACACATATCAGTATATCACATTTGTGTAATGTACGTGTCCAATAGTATTGAGAAAAGTGGCAGCAACGCACTTTCGTAAGTGATATTGGTGGATCTCCTCATATGTTTGCTTTCCACTATAACACTCATCAACCCTTTTCTTTAACCACAAATACTATGTAAAATATTAGTTACATTTTTTTTTATAAATTATCCCTACTTATTGGAATACAACCTGGTAGGAAACATAATAATTGTCTGACGAGCAACTTCCATTGTATTTTTTGTTAAAAGGTTTGAGCAACTTCCATTGTATGCAGGAGGAAAATGTATATAGATTTTTGTTTTGTTTTTGACGGCAATGTATAAAGCCTGATACAACAAAAACATTTGTAATTTAACGATCCCTTTCATGGTAAAATTTTACTCGTTAAGGAAAGTTTTTTGAATATCGCGACCTCATGAAATCTGTATTTATTTTGATGTTTTCATTTATGGGTGTTAAATAAGATGACTTTTGTTGTGTTCTGTGATTCTGTCGTACTGAATTGATTATGGAAATGTTTTTCTCTTCAAACTGATGCAATTCTAAACACCCAAAAATCAAGTGGTTTTATTTGTTTGTATCATCTTATTTTTTAATTAAACTGAAAATTAATTTTTTATTTTTTGAAAAATTAATTTTTTATGCAGTTTATTCTGCCATGAATGTTAAACAAGACTCAAAGTTAGTGACCACGAAATTAATAGTTGTTGTAGTGTCAATTTGCGGAGGAGCTTCCCCGTGATGCAACGTGTCCATGGTAAGTGTGGATAAGAAGTATCAAAACATTATTTGAAAATTAAGTGTCACATGTGAATCCAGCCACCTCTTTAACCAATTGAAACCATCTTTAACCCAACTTTTCTGGATAATGACATTATTTGCAATTATCGACCTGAAGTCTGTACATCTAATTTTTGAGTAATTACTAAATGGTCCTGTTTCTTGATTTTGGTACCATATATTCAGGGTCTGAAACTCTGAATGAATGCTCAATTCATATTAGAGTAAAACATTTGGTGGAAAATATTTCCATTATCACTTACTCTATTGTTAACCAATCAAGTGAAAAATGGAAGAATAAATGTCCCTTCTAATAAAGTTACATTGGTTTTATTTATTCTTCTATATTTTTTCAGGAACTAACTTGAATAAACTGATTAAATTTTTTTTGTTAACAAGTGTTTTATTTTTTTTTGTTATCCACATAAAAAAAGATTGGAAATATATTGGTGATAATAGAGCCTGTGTTAATTTTATTCCATCATTTTACTCCTAACTGTTTACAATTTAAAGCCTTAGAGTAAAACATATTTTTTTCTTTTTTGTTATTTTACTCTAATTATTAATTTTATTTATCTAATTACATTTTTCCATCTATTCCAAATTACTCTAGACAACCTCAAATCTTATATAATAAAGTTGGATGCGCGCGATATGGTTCGTAGAATTTTTATAATTTATAGGATCGTGACATGTGTCACTTTTAGTGTTACGTCCGTTAAGTGTTTGATTTAGAGTAACAAAAATATGTTTCTTAATGAGAGAGTAGTTTAAATAAAAGATAAAACCAGACAATTAAATAATGAAGGCTATAGTCTACTATATATTATTATTTTTTCATTTCCGTCTTGGGAATATGTTTTACTTTTCCTTTTGTAATGGATGTAACAATTTTTTTTTTCTTTCGTTTTTTTTTATTTTCGTTTCTTTTTCCTTTTCTCTAATGAGATTTTTTTTCCTTTTCTTAATAAGATATATATATATATATATATATATATATATTAATATAATATATTATTAACCTTTTCATTAAATAATAGAAGTTCAACTCCCATAAAGATATTATTTTCTTTAAGATTTTTACATTCCCATTATTTACCATTTCACCAAGTAATAGAAGTTCAACTCACATAAGGATATTATTTTCTTTAGAATTTCTACTTACCCACTTTCGAATAATATGTATAGTATGGCGATAATTTAGATTTCGATCCAATTGACCTAAAGTAACGTATTTCATGCACTATAAGTAAGTCTTTCTATTTTAGATTAAAAAAAGCAAATTAATTCATTTTTCGTATCATGAGTTCAGAAAAATATGTCAAATATAATAAAAATGTAAAAAGATTACCAATCTAATATTATTTATAAATCTTTTATCGGGTTTTTAATAGCAGCAACTTTTTCTAAATTTGTTTTCTTGGCCTATCAACTTTACATTCTTCTCTCTGTTTTAAGAATGTCTCAGTCAGAAAACGGTTCTTGTTTTGACTAATTTTGTCAAAATCATGATTTTTATGAAGTGTCTAACAAAACGTACATAAAGTTATAAACTAGAGTCAAAGAAGTGTATTATTTTATTTGAAAGTATAGAACCACTCGACTGATTTGCAAAATCAAAATCATCATTGAAGGTACTCGAAGACAAAGTCTTTATATTTTATAAAGCCAACTTCGCTGCAATATTAGCCTAGAATGAAAACCAGAGAGAGCATAAGGATTTCGAGTGAGAGTCTGCATCAGGATCTCTGGCTAACCTTGCGTCCTACTAGCTTCTCCGACTCAAACAACATGTGATTGATAAGTCCCCGAGCAGCACTGCCAAACACCAACATCAACACTGTTTGAGTCATTCCAAAATTTTCAGTTGTATAAATCCCAAGAGTGCTTTGTAATATATGCATCAATGGTATCATGCAGCTGTTCATGTGTGTGTGTATGTGTGAAACATCATTTTCATTTTTCAATACATGCATCAACGAAGAACAAGTTGCACATGTGACTCAATGAACAAGGTTTTTAAGTTACAGGCATTAACTAGAACTAAGGGAGAAAAAGAAAACTCACTCATCCTTTAACTTGTGAATCGTCTCAGGGTCTGTCTCATTCATGTGTTTCTTAAATTGCTGTCTCACCATACCAACCACCAGCTCAGTGTTGTATTGCTGCAAGACACAAGACGGGTAAACAGAACAAATGTTCATTTCCTTTACCAAATCTAGAATCAAAACAGAAATGAATAAGTGATGATAGTAGATTATCAAACTCAAAATTTGCTGGATGCATCATATCAATAAAAATGAAATTATTTTATCCAAACATTATACTATAAACAATAATGGCAATCATACCAATCATGACAAAGCAACTTCAGATACAAACAAAAACAAGTTGAGAGAAATCTCACCTGCTTACCAATAAATTTAGCTCTACGAAGGCATTCTCGGTACAACTGCCAAATAAGCATTAAGGAAAGAAAGAAAAGAGGAAAAAAACAACAAGTTAATTAAGACACTGTAACAAAATCGAACAAGTGATACTGACCCTAACCACACTGTTGGGCAGAGACGTTTGTAGAGACGGCATTTTCCACAAGAGATGTTCGGTTTCTTCTTCAGCTACGCAAGATCACAAATAATCACAAAAGCAACGTGCTTCACCCAACATTCAAACGACAATGATTAAAGAAACAATGGGTGAAACCACCACCATCATGCTAAGAATCTAAATTCCTCAATTTTTTTTATATATGTTGTCCGAGATATTCTCTCTGAATATCTTTGCACATCTTAACTTGATTCTGTTTGATACTTTGTAGATAAAGATGAAGTTAGTTTGGGTAGATACGCAAGAGATTTTGTAATCATGTATAAAAGCTGTAAGCTACGAGTTAATAACATCATCACAAATTTCAGTAGCTTCTTGTGTTTTACATGGTATCAGAGCTTTGTTAAAAATCGATCTGAAAACACACGATGGCTACTGAGCTTGCGAAAAGCGTTGCATCAATTTACCAATTGGCAACAAACGAAAATCCTGGTGCTGTGATCGCTCAAGTCCAGTTCAATGGAGAGAACTTCGACGAGTGGGCACAGGCTTTGAGATCGGCGTTACTTGTGAAGAAGAAGTTTGGCTTCGTTGAAGGATCGGTGACCAAGCCAAAGACCGACGCACCTGAATATGAAGATTGGGTGTCGGTGACATCTATGGTTTCGCTGTGGATCCTAAACACAGTGGAACCTAAGATCCGAAGAACCTTGATGAACAAGGAAGATCCACACGAGTTGTGGAAGGAAATCAAAGACCGTTTTTCTGAAGGAAATGGTCCCAGATTTCAGGAGATTAAGGCAGAGCTTGCAGCTTGTCGACAAGGAAAGATGTGTGATCGATTACTATGGAAAGTTGCAAGTCTTGTGGGAGGATTTGCAAAACTATGACAAACTGGTAGTTTGCAAGTGTAGCGGCTGCAAATGCGACTTGAACGTGCAACTCGAGAAGAAGAGGGAAGAGGATCGAATCCATCAATTCCTCTTAGGATTGGATAACGATGTGTTTGGCTCTGTTCGTGCCTCCATAATCAGCACTGAACCGATGCCAAATATGAATCAAGGTGAAGTCCATTGAGAGGATCAACACCGTGATGAGGGGAAGAGAAGCAGAAGGGGGACAAGTAGCTTTTGTAGCTCAAACCAGTGGTGTAGCAGTGACTGCAAGAGAAGACAAAAGTAAGCTGTTTTGCACAAGTTGCAAAAAGACGGGACACACGACGGAGACGTGTTTCCAAATCATCGCGACTTGGTGGGGAGATAAAGCCAAAGACGGAGGTCGCGGTGAAGGAGGTCGTGGAGGAGGCAGAGGAGGTGGCCGTGGTCGCGGTAACTTCCGAGCAAATGCTGTCTCCGTGAGTCCCTTAGAAGAAGGCGGTGCAACCAAGGAGGCCGAGAGAAACGGCTACACGGGCTTGACTAATGAGCAGTGGACAACTCTTATCAAGCTGTTGGACGAAAAGAAAGGAACTACTTCTCGTCTCAGCGGTAAGTGTGTCTCCTTGGATTGGGTACTTGATACAGGGGCTTCTAACCATATGACAGGTTGTGAAGATTTGATTGTTGATACGAAATACATATTGCCTTGCTCTGTTGGATTGCCGAATGGTTCTAGCAGTGTGGCCAGAAAGAAAGGAACGGTTGTTTTTGATGATGGGTTTAAGCTCACAAACGTGCTGTTTGTGCCAGATTTGAGATGTCATTTGATTTCTGTATCTCAACTCATTGATGAGTCCGATGTTGTGATGCAAATTGCTAACAAGGGATGTGTGATTCAGGACCGTTTAACGAGGAACCTGACTGGAGCGGGTGAGCTCAAGGATGGACTGTACTTCTTCCGGCGTGTAACTGAGTTTTCTGCTTTGCGTATGAATAAGGATGGAGCTGAAGATGTTTGGCATCAACGGCTAGGACATCTATCAAACACTGCTTTCGATTTGCTTCCTACTGTTGGTAGTAGAACCATGGATTTTTCTACTTGTGACACTTGTTTAAGAGCTAAACAGTGTCGTGATGTATTTGTTTCAATTAATAATAAAAGCGCCGATGTTTTTGAAATGATACATGTTGATCTGTGGGGTCCTTATCGAAAACCTACTCTCTGCAACTCCTATTACTTTCTGACGATAGTAGATGATAAGTCCAGAGTAGTTTGGGCCTACTTGCTCCATGATAAAACACAAAAGGGGAAGAATCTGAGGTTGTTTATGGCGATGGTTCAGAGACAGTTTGGGAAACAAATCAAGATTGTGAGAAGCGACAATGGTACTGAGTTCACTTGTCTCACCTCTGAGCTTCGAGAACAAGGGATCCAACATCAGACTTCGTGTGTGGGAACGCCGCAACAGAACGGAAGAGTAGAGAGGAAGCATCGTCACATATTGAATGTGGCAAGAGCGTTGCTTTTCCAATCCTCACTTTCAACCAAATTCTGGGGAGAAAGTGTGTTGACTGCAACGTATCTGATCAATAGAACACCGAGCCGGTTGTTGGAAGGAAAGACACCGTATGAGATAATTCATGTGCGGTTCCAACATACGATAATCTCAGGGTGTTTGGGTGTTTGGCTTATGCGCACAATCAGAAAAGAGGTGGAGATAAATTTGAAACAAGGAGTAGAAAATGCTTGTTTGTTGGATATCCTTTTGGTAAAAAGGGATGGAGTCTTTACGATATGGATAGTGGTGAAGTGTTTGTGTCTCGAGATGTTGTTTTCGTGGAAAACACTTTTCCATCCTTGGCTGAAGAAGAAACACTGGCTGAGAGAGTGAAAGAAGTGTCTGATTTTGGTGTTTTTGAGGAAGAAGATGAACGAACAAATATTCCAGAAACAGTGTCAGAAGTTGAGGTTACTGAGATTGCAGAAACGGAACCTGCAGCTTTGAGGTCAGTTGAGGTCACAGAAACAGAACCTACAGCTGCGGAGACAGAAACTGAAGCTGTGGAAACAGAACCTGCAATAGTGGAAACAGAGCCTGCAGCTTCAGAAACAGAAGAAGTAGAGACAGAGAATCTGGGTCGTGGGAAGAAATCAAAGAAAGTCCCTGAAAAGCTGCGAGACTATGTTTTGTGTACCTTAGCTGAGGTTGACGTAGACTGTGATGAAGACAATGGGTATTCGATAATGAAGTACATCGATACCAGCAAATTCTCTGCAAAACACAAGGCATTTTTAGCAGCTATCACTAAAGGGGTTGAGCCAAAACACTTTCGTGATGCGGTTGCAATCAAGGAGTGGTGTGAGGCTATGCAGAAAGAAATTGGTGCGCTTGAGCTTAATGATACGTGGGAAGTGACAGAGCTTCCACCGGGAAAGAAAGCTTTGGGCTGTATGTGGATATACATGATCAAATACCGGTCAGATGGAGAGACTGAAAGATTTAAAGCTCGACTAGTGGTGCTTGGAAACAATCAAAAGGAAGGGGTTGATTATGACGAGACCTTTGCACCTGTCATCAAGATGACTACGGTTCGTTTGTTTCTCAGTGTAGGAGCAGCTAGGGACTGGGAATTTCACCAAATGGACGTCCACAACGCGTTCTTACACGGTGATTTGGACGAAGAGGTTTATATGAAAATGCCTCCAGGATTTCGCACCAACGAACCTGGTAAAGTAGTTCGCTTAAAGAAATCTCTCTATGGATTGAAACAAGCACCAAGGTGTTGGTTTGCCAAGTTACGATCAGCTCTTGTGGACTATGGTTTTTCACAATCTTATCGTGATTATTCTCTGTTCTCAATGCGTAAAGGGAAGTCTGAAATTTACGTTTTGGTGTATGTCGACGATCTGATCGTAGGAGGAAATGATGCAGAGTTAATTGCAGAGTTTAAAGAGTATTTGGGAACATGCTTTCACATGAAAGATCTCGGAGTACTGAAGTACTTCTTGGGGATTGAAGTGGCACGAAGAAGAGAAGGACTGTTTTTGTGTCAGAGGAAGTATATTCTGGATATTGTGAGCGAAGTGGGTCTGTTAGGAAGTAAACCGGCTACATCTCCAATGGAGCAACAACATCGTTTGTCACTTTCTGATGGACCTTTGTTAAAGGATCCAACTCGCTATCGGAGGTTAGTCGGAAGGCTTATTTACTTGCTCGCAACTCGACCCGACTTGGCATACTCGGTTCATGTTTTGTCTCAGTTCATGCAAGAACCGCGTGAGGATCATTGGAACGCAGCTTTGCGTGTTGTCCGATACTTGAAGAGTACAGCGGGACAAGGGATTTTTCTTAAATCTGAATGTGACTTAAAGTTACATGGTTGGAGTGATTCAGATTATGCAGGTTGTCCAACAACACGGAGATCTGTCACTGGATGGCTTGTGACACTTGGTGATTCACCGGTGTCTTGGAAAACTAAGAAGCAGGATGCGGTCTCACAGTCGTCTGCAGAGGCTGAGTATCGTGCCATGGCGTTGACTACAGGCGAACTTAAATGGTTAAAAGGTCTACCTGGTGAGTTTGGAGTGTCTTGTGATCAAGCCATGGATCTACATTGTGATAATCAAGCAGCTGTGTACATTGCAGCAAACCCTGTGTTCCATGAACGGACTAAACAAGTCGAAATAGACTGTCACACAGTTCGTGATGCAGTCAAAGATGGGACTATTCGCACAAGGAAGGTCGATACTCGTGATCAACTAGCTGACGTGTTCACCAAGGCTCTGGGGAAGCGAGAGTTTCAGACCATTGTTGTCAAGCTTGGCATTTGTAATCCATATGCTTCAGCTTGAGGGGGGGGGGGTGTTGTCCGAGATATTCTCTCTGAATATCTTTGCGCATCTTAACTTGATTCTGTTTGATACTTTGTAGATAAAGATGAAATTAGTTTGGGTAGATACGCAAGAGATTTTGTAATCATATATAAAAGCTGTAAGCTACGAGTTAATAACATCATCACAAATTTCAGTAGCTTCGTGTGTTTTACAATATAGCAAGAAAATAAGATAGAAATGTTATTGATTACCAGTTTCTTAATTCCTCAATTTAAAAAAAAGAAAAATATTAAGAATGCCTCCTGACAAGTTCGCTAATCATTGATACTAAACAATTCAATAAAATTTTCAACCATTCATGAACCAAATCCGAATCGGAAAGTCAGAGTTTTTCAGAAATTACAACAAAACAAAATTCAAATTCACAGCGACCTGAAAAATGATCTAACAGGAAGCTGAAAACTCTGTCTAAGAACATCCAGATCGCTAATTACACGAAGAGAGAGTATCAACGAACGAACGGATACTTTACCTTTCAGGAATTGATAATTAGATATTCAAAAACAGCATACGAAGAAGAGAAGGCAAGGGACGAGGAAGGCGAGTGGAGTTGCGAGATTCGCGTGGAAGCACCACCACGGCTCCACCAAGCTCTGGATTCGGAGTGTTTCTCTCTCCTCTCACGTCAACGTGTCATGGAGCTAGACCTCCATAAGAGTGACGCGCCCTATGGTTGGTTTCAAGCCTTTTTAAGGCCCATCATCCGGATCACGAATTCTTTACAAGGTTATGTGTTGTGTCATTTTCTAAGCTTTTTTTTTTTTTTTCCATTTTCCGGTTAGCATTTCTACCGTATTTACTTTTACCAAGTTGTTACGTAATCTTTTGCAAAATAGAAATTGGTGTGTTTGTCTGCTCTCACGTTGATGAATTTCAACCCAATTCGTCTGCTCTTTAAGAGGTATCGAAAGGAAGATAAAACTGATATAGATTTCTTTATGGTGAACTTAATGCCCTTGCTTCTGATTTTCTGAGTATTCCTATAACCACAGTCCAGCAGAATCGGCTTTCAGTATGGGAGGTAGGGTTTAGAACCCGTACAGGAGCCGTCTCCTTCCCGCAACGGTTCAGGCGTTGCTTTGTACTCGGAACTGATTAAGGGGATTTGCAGATTTTGATGGTAAGTGAATATTTTTTTTCTATTGTTTTATGGCTGCATAGTGCATTGAAAACCCATAATTTACATCTTCAAAATTCAGGTGACATTGATGATTATTTTGATGAAGAAAAAGACGGTTCTACAAATGTTGCAAGCAGCTCAAGTGTGTGAGGTGAGTAGTTCTCTTTAAATCTTCTGATGCTGTTTTGTAACTTCAAGTCTCATTTTTTGAGAAATTTTCTTATTTTGTTGCAGGAATTGATTGTTATGTTTCAGAGAGAACTTGACAACTTTGGTAACATTATGTAGAATATGGAAACACCAATGGCTAGTCAAACTGAATCATCTAAATGATTCTATAGATATTATGTATTTACTTGTGTATATTCTCCTTTCCTTGTAGAGCAAGCTCACGCTCTGTATATAAACAGAGTACAGAACATCAATATAATCAAGCAATTCTATTGAGTTATCATGGTATCAGAGCACAAATAGGCTTTGACCTATTTTTTTTCGATCCGCCTCCTTTCTCTTCTTCTTCTTCTTCTTCTTCTTCTTCTCTTCTTTCTTGATTACTCATTTCTTCAGATCACTCGATCTCTCACCTTTACTCTTCTCCGGTTGTTTCAACTATGTCAGAAGCTACGGCATCACAAACAACAGTGTTTAATGCTCAAGATCCACAGAGCACACTGTTGTCGGTAAACATGGTGAGTGTTACCAAACTCACAACTCAAAACTATCTCATGTGGCAACGTCAAGTCCGTGCCTTACTCGAAGGTCATGAGCTCCAACAGTTCATTGATGACTCCGCACCATCAGCCACAACACTGGTGAACGGTGCATCTGTATCAAATCCCGCTTATGCTCCATGGCACAGACAAGATCATCTTCTCTATTGCGCTATGATTGGTGCGATTTCGCAATCAACCCAATCGCTTATCTCCACAGCGACAACAACAAAAGAAGTTTGGGACACTCTCGCAACAACTTTGGGCAATCCTACACGAGGTCACATACGCCAACTCAAACATCAGATTAAAACCTGTGTCAAAGGCACCAAATCTATCAGCGAATACCTACGCCTCATCAAGGCAAAAGCAGATGATCTCGCACTTCTCGGCAAACCTCTAGATCCAGAAGATCTCACGGAGCAGATTCTGGCGGGCCTTGGTGATGAATACAAGCCGGAGATAGACGCAATCAATGGTCGTGACAACACGATCTCATATACAGAACTCTATGAGCGCTTGTTGAACCGAGAAGCTATGCTTCTCTGTAATGAAACAGCCTCTTCTGTTCAATCTCATGCTCCGATTGTCGCTAATGCTACGGACACTCGTCCCCGTTACCAAAACCGCAACAACTACAACCAGAATCGCAGCAACAACAACAACTCTCAGCCTCAATTCACTCCCAACAACAACAATAACCAGAACAGGTTCTCCAAACCTTATCTTGGTCGATGTCAGGCGTGTGGTGAAGTTGGGCACAGCGCCAAATACTGTCCACGTTTCCGTATTGTTCCTAGCTCTTCTCAGCCTCAGTCATCACCTCAGTTTCCACCGCAACAGCCCTCGTTCCAGCCGTGGCAACAAAATCAACAAGTTCAGCCATGGCAACCAAGAGCCAACGTTGTGATGTTGTCGGATCCGTCAACGTGGCTGCTCGATTCAGGAGCGTCTCATCACATGACGTCTGACTTGGCAAACCTTGCTGCTCATAACCCATATCGTGGAGGTGATGATGTGCTTCTTGGTGATGGATCAGCATTACCAATAACGTACCAGGGTTCTTTTTCTATCCCCTCTTACACTCGTCCATTCTTCATTAATAATGTTTTATGCGTTCCTTCTCTTGACAAAAATCTTATCTCTGTTTTCCAATTATGCAAAACTAATGATGTTGCTGTTACCTTCACACCCACATACTTTCAGGTCAGGGATTTAATAACGGGAGCTCTTCGTTTGGAAGGCAAACCTAAAGACGGCACTTATGAGTGGCTGAAACTATCTTCTTCTTCAAAGTCTCCCACTCTTGCATTTGCATCCACAGTTAAAACTAGTTTAACTGATTGGCATTCTCGTTTAGGCCATCCGGCCATAGCTATTCTCAATAAAACAATTTCACAATTTAATTTACCACTTTTCTCTAATGTTTTGATGGCTCAGCCATGCTCTGCTTGCTCTATCAATAAAATGCATAAGTTACCATTTTCTAGTTCAATTTTGCAATCTGTTAGACCTCTTGATATTGTATTTTCTGATGTGTGGACTTCACCCCTTATATCTATAGATGGTTTCAAATATTATGTTATTTTTGTAGATCATTTTACTAGATACACATGGTTGTACCCTTTAAAACAAAAATCTCAAGTTTTTAATGTGTTTCAAACGTTCAAGAACTTGGTGGAAAATCGATTTTCACTCAAGTTAAGAACTTTGTATACTGATAATGGGGGTGAATACATTGGTCTCCGGACATTTCTTGCGAGCCAAGGTATATCACATATGACAAGTCCGCCTCATACACCAGAGCATAATGGCATTGCGGAAAGAAGACATCGACATATAGTCGAAACAGGCTTAGCCCTCTTGTCTCACGCATCTATGCCAAAGTCCTATTGGACATATGCTTTTGGTACGGCGGTCTATCTTATTAATCGTATGCCAACTCCCACATCAGATTTTAAAAACCCTTTTCAAATTTTATATGGTATATCTCCTAACTATGAAAATTTAAGAGTCTTTGGGTGCTTATGTTTTCCTTGGTTAAAACCATATGCTAGTAACAAACTTGATACACGATCAACACCATGTGTTTTTATTGGTTACTCTATTTCTCAAAGTGCATATTTTTGTCTTGACCAAACCAATTCACGCATCTATACTTCTAGACATGTTGTCTTTCACGAAACTGTCTTCCCTTTTGCAGCACCATCTCCGATTCAAAGTTCACATTCTTCCGTATCTGAAGAGAATGAATATGCACCGGTGACCACTCCTGCTGTTCAGATTATCTCTCAGCCGCAATCTCAACAGCTATACCGGTGGAAGTTGTAACATCATTACCCGCTCAAACGGAGTCCACCAACACCTTACTTCCTCAACCAGAGGTGCATGTGACACCGAGAACAGAACATACCACCACTGCCTCTGAGGATCAGTCGTCCGCCTCCTCGTTAGAAACAACTTCTGACTCACCAATTTCGTCTCCAGCTCCAGTTTCTCCATCACCGCCACCTCCTCCACCCGCACCGACTCGCACAAGCAACCGCATACGCAAACCAGTTCAAAAGCTTAATCTCCACACCACTGTTACACCATTGCGAGATTATATTCCACAATCGGTTGCCGAGGCTCTTAAGGATCCTCTTTGGCGTAAAGCCATGCTTGAAGAAATCAATTCCCATATTAGAAATCATACATGGCATCTGGTTCGTAACATTGATGTTTCTAATCTTGTAGGTAACAAGTGGATATTTACTATCAAGAGAAAACCCGATGGCTCCATCGAACGCTATAAGGCCAGGCTTGTCGCACAAGACTACAATCAACGACCCGGAATAGATTACCATGAGACGTTTAGTCCGTGGTCAAACCAGCTACCATATGTATTGTTCTCAGCACCGCCGTTTCTCGCGAGTGGCCCCTTAGACAACTTGACGTCAACAACGCATTTTTACAAGGCAAATTAGAGGATGAGGTTTACATGAAGCAACCCATGGGTTTTCAAGATAAAGACAATCCTGATGCAGTTTGCAAACTCAATAAGGCGATATATGGGCTCAAGCAAGCCCCACGGGCATGGTACAATGAGTTGCGCATGTTCTTATTACAAGCTGGATTTACAAATTCAGTTGTGGATGCTTCTTTGTTCATCTACAACCAGAATGGGATCCTCCTTTACATGCTTGTCTATGTCGATGACATAATCATCACCGGCAACAGTCCACCACATATTTCCCGGTTTATCGCTTCTCTCTCTCAACGCTTTTCCCTTAAAGATTTAGGCGCTTTATCTTATTTCTTAGGTATTGAGGTTACTCACACTAAACATGGATTACACTTGACACAATATCGTTATATTGCATACTTACTTCATAAGGTGAATATGACGAATGCAAAAACAGTAGCCACACCAATGGAGGCCAACTCTTTACTCACCTTACACTCGGGTACGGCCTTAGATGATGCTACGGAATATCGCATGGTGGTGGGCAGTCTCCAATATTTGTCTCTTACACGTCCGGATATCTCGTTTGCCGTCAACAAGTTATCACAATTCATGCACCGACCGACGAATGAACATTGGGCTGCAGTGAAACGTGTTCTCCGATATCTCTTGGGAACCAAAACACATGGCATTTTTCTTCCCGCCAAGAACACTCCAACTCTACATGCATTCACAGATGCTGACTGGGCAGGTAACAAAGATGATTATACCTCTACAAGTGCCTACGTCGTCTATCTTGGAAGTCATCCTGTGGCATGGTCGTCTAAAAAGCAAACGGGAGTAGCTCGATCATCTACCGAGGCTGAGTATCGAGCTCTAGCATCCACCACATCCGAGATTTTCTGGACTATGTCACTTCTCTCTGAACTGGGCATCACCAACACCACCACACCAGTCATTTATTGTGACAATATTGGAGCCACTTACCTTGCGGCTAATCCCGTCTTCCACTCCAGAATGAAGCATATTACCTTGGACTATCATTTTGTGCGCCAATTTGTTCAAGGAGGACAGCTTCGGGTCACTCATGTTACTTCTGATGACCAATTGGCCAATGCTCTCACAAAACCACTCCCACGCACTCGGTTTCAATCGCTTACGGTCGGACTTTCCAATGGCCGTCCGTCTTGAGGGGGTGTGTAGAATATGGAAACACCAACGGCTAGTCAAACTGAATCATCTAAATGATTCTATAGATATTATGTATTTACTAGTGTATATTCTCTTTTCCTTGTAGAGCAAGCTCACGCTCTGTATATAAACAGAGTACAGAACATCAAGGGAAAATTTCAAAACTACACCTCTTGAGGTGCAAATTTTCAAAAATACACCTCTATAGTGCCAATTTTCAAAACTACACTTTTTTCATTTAGTAAAAGAACTCTAACCCCTAAAATATAAATCCAAAACCCTAAAATCTAACATTGAACCCTTAAATCTAAACCCTAAACCCCAAAATCTAAACCCTAATATAGGATTAGTGAACCCAAACATATATATTAAAATTGGGGAAAAGTGTATTTTTGAAAATTTTCACACTATAGATGTAGTTTTGAAAATTTGCATCTCAAGAGGTGTATTTTATAAAATTTCTCGAACATCAATATAATCAAGCAATTCTATTGAGTTATCACATTATGTTTTATAAAAGTTTTGGATTGTTTAATTTTGAATGTTAAAGTTAAAGTTTAATTTAGTTTGATTAACATTAAGTGACAAAAGTCACTCATTGTGTAAATCACTCGTGAATCCAACCACCTCTTTAACCAATTGAAACCATCTTTGACCCAACTTTTTTGGATATTGACATTATTTGCAACTATCGAGCTGAAGTCTGTACATCTAATGTTTGAGTAATTACTAAATGGTCCTGTTTCTTTATTTTGGTACCAAATGTTCAGGGTGTGAATGAATGCTCCTATTTTAGCGTAAGAAATTTGGTGGAAAATATTTTTACTATCACTTATTCTACTGTTAACCAATCAACTGAAAAGTGGAAGAATATTTTTTCCATCCAATAACATTACATATGATCTTTTTACACGGACTCTTCAATCCTTTTTCAGACTCGTAAACCAACTTGAATAAAGTGATTAAAATTATTTCAAGTGTTTTATTTGTTTTTGAACTGAAAACCTTTCTCCACATAGAAAATATTGAAAATATATCGCTAATAATAGTGAGTTTGTGTTAATTTTCTTCTACTTTTTATTTCTTCATTTTAATACTATTTTTTTACAATTCAAAAGCCTTAGAGCATCCGCATTGCAGGATTTCTCTGCGACTCTACTCTATAAAATTAAAGATTAAATAAAAAAATTACACATGTGGCACAAATAAATTTGAGAGACGACTCTCGCGGAAGGGCCTGTGGAGACGGCTCTACTTGTCACATGTCGGCACTAGAGAGACCCGCCATAATTTATTTTTCTCGTTATATTTTTACTTTGTTTATTTTTCATTCTTCTAAATTGAGTTTTCATCGTACGCTCCGTCTCCTTCTCCGATCCGATGCTCGAATTCTTTCTTCTTCGATCGCCGGCTGGTTTTCTCGTCGTTGTTTGACGTTGTTCTTGTCATTGTTATTCTCTTTCTCGTTGGTCTCTTTTCTCCTTCATACGACGTTTTCCTTCTTCTCTTCGCCACCGCCGAGACTTCTTCTTCTCCGAATTTGTTAAAGCTTTTATAGATGTGTGGGATTTGGTCTATTTACAAAGTCTATGTAAACTACACATGCGATCGAAGATGCTGATGATATGTTTGTTAAAATTTGGTTAGATACTGGTTTTTAATTGATCTAATTGTCAAATTAGTTGTTTTCTTTAACTTTGAAAAAAAAAATTCAGATTTTGAGAACCCCATTTTAGTTATGCAATGTGGAGCTACAAAGTGAAAAAATTATAAACAGGTTCTACAATTAGTTTATTAATATAATTACACTTTTACAAATTTAAAGAGCTCCATATCCACTTGTGCGATGCGGATGCTCTTAGAACATCTTTTTTTTTTTTTTTGCTATTTTACTCTAATTCATCAATTTTATTTCCCTCTTAGTTATTTTTTTCCATCTACTCCAAATTACTACTTATTGACACCTCAAATATTGGAGTACTCTAGTGTATATCATTGACACCTCAAATATTTTATATTTCCAAACCCTTTTCACCAAAAGAACAAAAATTGATAAATGCGTATAATAATAGGAACCATGTTTTGACGTTTGAGGTGTGTCATGGTCTGTCCGAAAAAAGAGGCCGTACGTACGTGTCTATCAAAAGAAAGGCAATTATTATACGCAACTCTTCGAGAAAAAACAAACAATGTATATGGAAACTGAAAAGCAAACAAAAATGAAGGCCAACTATGTAATTGCACTTCAGAAGGAGGAAAAAAATTAACTACGTTACTGAAGACTGAATATGCTTTCGTTGGAGTTGAACTCAAGACCTCCCGCTTACTAAACGGGTGCTCTAACCAACTGAGCTACGAGAGCTTCTTGATATGCTAATTCATACAAACATAAAATACTTATAGCAAAAAAATACATTTTACAGTATCATCAACAAGAACACTGACAACAAAACTACAATGATAAGAGTCAATAACCATCTGAACTAAATGCTCTCTTTTTTTTTTCCTCCAAATAAGTGTCAATTACATAACAAGCCTCCACAGTAAAGTACCAAATGTACTATTCACTGTCTATACAAATTTCTCATTTCCCCTTCAAAAACAAACAAAAGCACCTTAAAAATGTTTCACTTTTGCTATATATCACTCCTTATTTATCAGTATTCAGAGTTGAGAAATGATTTTATAAATTATATCATCTCCACCCGGAACCACTGTGTGATACGAAGTGTCTAAAGTCCGGTAGCACAACCTTCAACCGCCTCAGCCACTCTTCAGCTGCTCCTAGCAGCGCCCCGGCTCTCTGGTTCTCGTCCACGTCGCTATCTGGGCTCCACACTGACCGTTTAAACTTGTAGGACGCGAGACCGAAAGTGGGCAACGGAAGCTTAGATGGTGCAGCAACCGATTTGCTTGAGCTTTGACCGTCCTCATTGCTTGTACCTTACCAGATAATACAAAGAGTGCTTTGAGTTTAACGGTATTGAGAGCAATGTGTTGTATATGCAGAGATGCTTTTACCTCGAGAGGGTGTTGATAAGGAGTGGAATGTTAAGATGACCCGAGTAACACAAAGTTCGTAAGGTTTACTAGTTGAAGAGAATACAACTTGCCTTGTCTGCCAATGGTTCACGGCCAAATGGCATAGCAGCCTCAAGATACTCATAGACAAGGTCACCAGGAGAGTTGCTGCTGACTTCACTCGATGAACCAACAAAAGGTTTCTCTTTCACCAGCCCTCCTGTTCAAGAACACACATCAAACCAAAACCTTTTTTTTTTCTCTAAAAACAGAGACAAATTTGGAATTCAACACCAAAATAAACTTAAAACTTTAGTTCCTATTTTCCTACATCGACTTCATGTTTTTGTGATCTGAATAACGCTTAGGAGTTGCTTATTCCGAATAATAAGAACAACACAGGAAAGATTTGGCTAATGGTTGATAGGAAACAAACTCTCACCTCCTACTTGTGCAGGCTCTAGATGGATCTTCATAGAGCTGAATCCCGGAGAGATAGGGAACATAATACAACCGAATCGGTCCCATTGAAGAGAACAGATTGCGTTTTATGTGGAGCCTTGGAGGAAACAAGAGACCATTTATTTTTCTCTTGCAGATACTACAAAGCTTTTTGCCTTAAAAATCAGCATATTCCACCCAAAAACCTTAATGCTAGACTTGTAAATCAAATAGCACTCCCCTTGAAACCCCCTCAAAAACTAAGCTTAGACATCAATATATGAAAGATCAAATTCTCTTTACAGTCTACACAAAGACACTTGCTATACAAAACCACCAAACATACACTCGGTATATACATACTAAGACTGATGAAAAGTCCACATGGTTGCAATCAAAGAAACCATGCAAATTCAATTGATGGGGCTTGATAAACAACATCCCTCATTCCTTGGCTCCCTAAGATACTCCAGAAGTTTTTCTGCCTGCAGGACACAAAACGATCACAACTGATCAGATTCACAGCACATCATCAAATGGACCAAATACTAGATCTGATAGTTCCCAATACACTAAGCAAAACCGAATACAGAGACACCACTGCTTAAGAAGAAATAATCGAAACTATGATCCGTAGAAGAAGACTATTTAAGTGTTTTGTAGCCAAAAGAAAAAAGATTTAGAGAAGTTTTATTACCTTGCGCTTAGCTCTAACGCTGACGGATCTGCTCTGAGAGAGACCAACAAGCGGAGGAATCGCGCCTTCCCTCACAAGCAACCCACGGTTTCTGACGCTATCAGCACAAAGCTGCAACAGCGTCAAGATTGCAAATTCTTTGCCTTTCACTGATCCATCCTCGATGGCCTCCACTAGCGCTGCGATCCCTCCTTCCTCAACAATGGCCTCTCTGCCTTCTTCGATTGCCGCCAGGCTGCTCAGAACCACCATCGCCTTCTCCGCCATTCCAGTCCCTTCCTCCGCAACAAGGTCCACCAGAGGCTTCACCGCTCCGGCGGTGACGGCTCTCTCTTTGTTTTGCTGAATAGTACACAGCTTGTAAAGCGTCGTCAGAGCGTCCTTCTTGCCCCTGCAAGATCCGTTCAGCAGAAGAGAAACCAGCGGCGGAATCGCGCCGCAGGCTCCGATCGAACCTTTGTTCTCTTCCAGGAGGGCTAGGCTGAGCAACGCACACGCGGCGTTCTGCTTTGAAGTCTCCGTGCCGGTTTTGAGTACCCACACGAGAGATTTGATTGCTCCTCCGGCGGCGATCACGGTTTTGTTCTGGTCGTCAAGTGAGAGATTCAAGAGAGCTGTGACTGCGTGCTCCTGTGTCCATGGATCGTTGCAACGGAGAAGTGGGATGAGAGCTTGAATGGCTCCAGATTCCCCAATCAGCACCCGGTTATCCGCTCGATTCTTTGCCAGGAGCCGCAGCTTCGCCGCAGCAGACCGCTTTATCGCCACCGAAGAGGAGCGAAGTCCGTCGATGCAGAGTTTCACCGTCGGCTGGAGATCTTCGGGAGAAATACACTCGATTATCTCCGTGGAGAAGTTTTCTCTCTGCAGAAACCCTAGACATGGTTCCATCTCTAGCTCTGGACCCTGCGCTTGGTTTTCTCCGACGTTCTCTTTTCCCTCTGTCTCCGGCGACGACAAGCAAGCGAGACGGTGCAGCTCGCCGGAGATATCACTACTACATGCGGAGAAATCACTAAACGCCTGAGAAATGTCGAGAAACATTTCCTCTTTAACCGAGGAAGCGCTTGAATTGAGTGAATTGCTGTTCTTCAAAGCAAGCTCACCGAGCCTCATGTCGATAATTGAATCCGACAAATACTCCGACGCATACTCCGATTTATCGCCGACAGAGCCGGCGAATGAGCAAGATTGATCTCCACTTTGGTAGAAATTAGATTTCACCGTCCTCATCGACCGGCCGGTTTGACGATGTATCCTCGCCGCTGACGGCGACGATGAACCGTAGAAGTCAGTCGTTAACGGAAACCGAGTGGAATTTGAATGAGATAACGGATCCTCCACCGAAACCATATTCGTAAAGATCTGTGCTGACCAAATTTGACCTCTGTTTTGTCCTCAAACTTTCATAGTGAGTAGTATCAAGAGAAAGAGGAGGCTTGAGGAGGATGATGAGATGGTTTCAAAAGCTTGCAGCTGTTTAGTATCTGGGTGACTCTGCACTCACGCGACTGTGACGAGTTTCCTCAATCAAAGTGACACGTGGAGAGATCCAGAGCTGCGTTTGATTAAATCGACGATTCAGATGGAGCAGAAAATTGGTTGCATGTCTGTCTCACCAGCCATGTGGCCGTGACTTTTTAGGTGAACCAAAGGGGTTCAGGTTAAAGTACTAAAAAACCCCTGCAAAGAGAGAAGGAAACTCCAAAAGACACGTGGGACCAGTTGGCTTTTTTGGTAATTCCGATACATTTGCCGATTGGGTTAGAGTTATGAAAGGTTGAGGAAGAGACGTTTAAGACCGTCAGATCAGATATCCAACGGTCTGTATTGCTTTTAGTGAACACCTGGCGGCACGTGCATAGATTGTCCACACGTGTCCATCGAGTACTGTGAAACCGTTGTCGACATAGATACGCCCAAACCAATGCCTTTGGTTTTAAACTTTAACCACTGAAAAAACTTCGACCAAAACACAAAACCGTTGCAATCTTTATAGGTTTACAGTAGGATTAGGATTGGCCGACCAAAAAAAAAAAGTCGGTTTAGGTTATGGAGTACCAACAAAACGTAAAATAGACATGCAACAGAACAATTGTGAAAAAAAAAAACAAACAAATTGTGAAGTTATGGTTTTATATATATTTCTAAGAGATTATAAGGCTGCTTTTTCCTATACATATTACGTATTTGAATTCGAATTATCACACTACAACAACAACAGTTACATGTTACACTATATTAATAAAATTCATAGTCCAATATTGTATTTTGCCAAATGATCCAAACTTACTCAATGTCGATATATATGCTCACAATTCTATTTGTAGTCGCAATCGAACTTAGTTACTAGAAAGACAAAGAAAATATATTTTAACAAAAAAAAAAGAAAAAGAAAAGATATACAATAAAATTTAAGTGTTCCTCGAAATTGTCTTTGCTTTGTTTTTTACATGTTTGTCTGTCTCTTCGTTTATGTTGAAATGTTGAATACTCGTATTTTTGTTTTGTTGTATTTAACGCGTTGTCGTCTTAAGACTGTCATTTTTGTTTGAAATATAGTCTCTAATGATATTAAATCTCTAACGAAAAACAATATCGGTTATGTACGTAACTATGGTGTTATATTGTTAGCACAATCGAAGTTGTTTTTTTTTATAGATTCTATCGGTTCTGGTTAACCCTGGAAGGAATACACCAAAGTGCTATAAAGTGGATTTTTCCTTTCGTTCAACGATTCAACGGACACAAGCCATAAGATCCATAAGATCCAAATTTTTGGCTACCACACTATTTGTCTTGAATTTTGAGTGTCTTCTGACTAATGCCAATAGATAATCAGAGTGCATGTATTTCTGATTACTATGTAAACCATTTGAGCCTAAGCCCAACTCACATAATTTTCACACAAATGTGATTTTGTTTTCAGGAAGAATCAAATTGATTAAACCCAGTTCTAGGAATTTCACCTTTCACCAAGGCTTCCCCTTACCATTGGACCACGAGAGTGCAGACTAAAATTATTTTTACGAGATAGATCGAACTAATTAAAAGGTTTTTTCTGAAATGTTTAACATTTTGTTTAACATTTTCACATTCTGAAATGTTTAACTTGTCTAGTGAAAGTGTTGCAATATAGTGTTACCATTTTATTTAGAGAAGTTGTATCAAAATGCTTATGATATAAATTAAATATATTAGAAATATTACATTTTACTATACAAGTTAGCACGAAGTGCACGAGCTCAGCCTTACGATGTGTATTTTATCAACTCAGTTCCACCGGTCTCGCTTCCCGAACTGCGTTAGGAATTTAGGCTGTTGTCAAAAAAAAAAAAAAAAAAAAAGTTGGATGCACGATGTTGTTGCGACACGTAAGATTTTATAATTTCTAAGATCGCTGTTATTTTTTATTATATAGCTATTAAGATTTTGATGTGTTTTGAAAAAAAAACTAATTAAAAATATTTTTAAAAGGAAAAGATAACATTTTCCATATTCTGACAGAAAAATGTTTCATATTCTAACAAAAAAAAAAAAAAAATTGCATGCTTCATATACTATGAGAAAAAATTATATATTCTAATGCAAAAATAATAAAAAGTGAAAAAAAAACTAATTAAATGGGTGTGTAGGGAGGGAAAAAATATAGTTCTACATTCTAACAGAAATAAAAAATAAAAAATTATTTTTTTTGCATACCTTCCTAAAATAAATGTTACACATTCTAACAGAAAAAGGAAAAAAAAATGCATGCCTTATATTCTAAGAAAAAAAAAGTTTGATATTGTAACAAAAAAAGTATATTCAATGTTATATCAAACTCTATATAATAAGGTATAATTTTCAAAACTTAGTTGTGTATTTCTATATAATAAGGTATAACCTTCAGAATCAATTCGTTAAAGTTTTCTAAAATACTAGGTTTTTAACCCGCGCACGCGCGGGTCTCGGTTAATAATTTTATTTAATCAACTAATAACTTTAAAATTATCAAATCTTGTGCATTTTTTTTAATGTACTTAAAAAGAATTGATTATTTTCATTCTTTTATAAGATTATAGATATTTTTAAGAATAATAATAATAAAGCAATTGAAAGGGATAAATGTAGGTTACATTTGATTTTGAGTTCAATTCATAGATCATTTTAGCAACTTTCCAATAATTTTACCTCACTAAAATACTAATTTACTTAATTTCAGTAAAGAATCTTTGTTGATTTCTGTAATATTCTATGGAGATTTGTAGGAACCTCTGAAATCTTTAAAAAAAATTTGATAGTTACTTTCATAATTGTCAACTATCTGCATAAAAATTAGTATATTTCAATTCGAATTTTGAAAATGGGCGTAATGACATCATCAAGCGGATACTGATTTAAAACCTTAATATATTGTTATCTTGTGTTAAACTTTCGTACAAAAATCCATAATCAGTTTTGTTTTATGATTAGAATCCTAGACTTCGTCGTTTGACAAAACTCATCATAAAATTGGATGTATAAATCTTAGATGTCTTCATTAGACATGACTCGACATACATTTTCATAAATATTTTTTTATGTTTTGTCCATTGCTTCACAAAATTTGGCATAAGAACATTGCATAAACTTTGATCTTTCAACAATATGACAACATGATCGGCCTAAACAAACATTATTTTTAATGAACTGAATTAGAAAGTTGTGAACAACAAATTTGTAGTTTGTCTTGTTTTTACTAAACCAATAAAATTTTAATATTGTAGATTATAACAGCCTTTAACTTTGTTTGAGAATAACCTATTCAATTAATTTGTATTGTTTATGACAAAAAATAAATTATTTTTAGACCACATCAACTTCAATTTGTTTCATAATTTATTTTTAAATGTTTTTAGTATAGAATTCTGATACCCTAGTAGCATCACTTTTTATAAAATAATCATCTTTATTTATTTGAAATTACTATATTCGGTGATAGATCTCGAATATACTTTAAATAGAATTTCATTTGAAGAAAAGCAAAAACAAATACACATTCTTGAAATTCAATTTATTCATCCGTCTTGCTTTCTTCTTTAATCTATTTTTTTTTTTTTTCTTATTTGATTTCTTTATGCTTGAAGTTCTTTTCTTTTTTGTTTTTTTAGTCGGTGTCTTCTTTTTCTTTGCGTCATTCTTATTCGATTTATTCTTCATATTCACTGATCTACTTGTCTTCTACTTTGCTATTTTTCTTCCACTCGTATTGCATCCTATTTTTTTTCTTGTCTGGTTTCTTCTCTTTCATTCTTATTTGATTTTTTTTTTTCTTTTTCAGTTTCATCTTCATTGTTTTTTATTCGGTTTTTCTGTCTTCATCGATGTTCTTCTTTGGCTTTCTTTTTTTCTTCCTACTTTAGTATCTCCATCTTCCCTGTTTTTCGGTTTCAATCCTCTTACGTACTTCTCCTAAAGGTGAAAAATGATCATGATAGTTCGAGATGAATCTATATGTTACTTGAAAAATGATCATGATAGTTCTCCGTAATGATCATCCGAAAAAAATTCATTTTTCGGTTTCATTCTCTTACTATACTTCTCCTATATGTTCATCTTTCTTCTTGTTCTTTAATTTCTTTGATGAATTATTTCTTGCGGAATAAGTTGTGTGCTGTTTTAACAGTGTCAATTTTATTATAAAAAGAAAATTTTCTTTAAGTTTGTATATAGAAATATTTAAATTAAATATTAGCAAATATTTTCTTTAAATTTGTATAGAGAAATCTTTAAAATTAAATATCGTGAAAGCGTTTTTTTTGTATGAATGTTAAGATATCAGTAAATAGTTGTATTTAACATATTTATTATTTTAAATTATTAAAATGAACTTTTATATGTATTAAAACTTCAAATGCTCTTTTGTTTAATTTATCAATAATTTTAACTTAACACATGTTTTAGTTTATAAACTTTGATTCAATGTTAATAAATAAAACATAAATAATTTATGTTATTTTCTTATAGCCTTGAGAAACCTTAAATAATTATTTATTTAATGTTAATATTTTCTGTAAATGAATTTACTACGTTTTTTCTATGCGTTATTTTTCTATTTTCATTACATCTTAGACTTATTTAGAAATATTTGGTTGATGTTTTGAGAACATATTCTTGTTCAAAATATTTTTAGTTACATATTTGTTAAAAAAAATGCATAATCGATGAGAATTTCTTTAATTGAAAAATGGTCATTACCTCACCTTATATCACTTACAAAGATTGTCCGTTTCTAATCTGGCAACCATTATTTCGCCAAGTTTGTATATCACAAAAAAATGGAATCGATGGCAAAGGCTTTGCCGGTGGATCAAGCTTTGGTCTCTTATAGAATTGTTGCGAACACTTTTTGAAGACGATGTGCCAGCAAACAAACAGTCTCCATATCTTCATTTTTACAGTCAAGTACGTCTAGGAGTTAACCCTTTCCTCAACAAAATTTTGGCAAGCGAACATCCCTCTTTGAAACCCCTTCAATGTGCAACAAAGATGATTACTCTGTATCAATAGGTTTATTGACATCTACTCTTAAATTTATTGACATATGTAAAAGGCATGTAATCTCTTCTTATTTAAAAGAATTGTGATTTACATTAAGATGAAATCCTCGTTAACACTGTGAATGATGCCTATAAATAAGTCAGATTCTCCTTTCCCTGTCCATTTGGTCGGCATTATCTCTCGAACAAAACTTTTGTTTTGATCATGCAACTTGAAATGTTTCCTCATAAACATATGGTATGAACTGAATGATCAAATCTACTCTTCTCCAAAGCAATGCAAGTATAATGTTTACTTCTTTGGCCATTATTGTTGAAACTTTTGCGATGAACAAAGTGTTATCTAGTGGGCTAGATGCATGTTTTACTTCCATTAATGTAATAATGACACTCTCAAAGTTGATCTCTCTCATCATCTAAAAAAACTACATATGAGCTAAAATGTCTTTCTACATGACATGAGACATTTTTTTATCTTCTTTTATTTTATTTTTAGACTATGTAATGTGATCCACTTACAAAATTTGTTAAGTTCGCTATGAACAATTCTCCTTATTATGGTGTAACTTTCGTTTTTGTGATTAAAAAAACTAACTCATGATCTATATAATTCTTCATAACTAATTTTGTAGTTCTCCAAATGTTTTTATATAAATCTTTCAAATTTAGTTATTAAATCAACGTCAATTTTTAACAAAAATCAAAGAATTTTGTTTAATCTTTGGATTTTATTTGTGATGTTTTTAATTCCAATCTTGTTATATTTTGATTGTTGTTATATATATATTAGTTAATAAAAAATTAAACATGTTAAGTTAGTTTCTTTTTGCTTGGTATTAAAAATATATATTTTATTTTATAAACTCTTTAATACAAAAAGTCTATATTATTTTTGAATTAGGAAACTTTCTTGAAAAAGAAAAAAGAAATTACCTTATTTTATATGGTGATGTGGAATTATACTATTGGTCTTTTAAAATTTCGGAAACTTTCTTAATCTTTAAGATGCTTACGTGGACCAATGAGATCGTCTTTAAATCCTATGTGGACGCTCTCAGAGGCTTATAGCCTCAACTTTTATATAGTATAGATATATGAATAGATAAATAGTAAAAAAATAATTTAATTTAAAAAGAATAATAAAATAAGGTATTGGTGATTAAGCAACCAAACAGAATTAGAAAAAAAAAATTACAAATATGTTAGGCTTTTCTATCCGCAAGAATTTTTCTAGTGACGTTCTTAATGTGATTTTATTTTTAAAAGTGATAATATATTTTAGGTTATTTGATTTTGTATTATACATTTTTTCACTTATTTTAATATATCATGTTATCAATCCCGAGTATACGTGAACCTTTTCTAATTGTTTTATTGATTTGGTTATGTTTTGACGAATTTGTTAATTCTTGCCAAAATTAATAAAAACGGATGTTTAAAGTTTAAATAGAACAAGTAAACAAAAAAAGCAAGTTCCCCGAGCCTCATGTCGATGACGGAATCCGACAAATACGCCGACGCATACTCCGATGGAATGCCTTCCTGCAAATTTGATAAACACGAGAAATGAAGTAAATATTTGTAAATAGTGTACTTAGCCATAAGAATCAAACCTGCTTGAGAAGAGCGCTCATGAGATCTTCTTGATGATACTGCTCGTAAAGGCCAAGGCTCTGAGCAGGGAGGTGACTCGCAGCAGCTAGCGCTTGAAGATGGTCAAACCCGTTCAATGGACCGAAACTCGGTTCTTGACCGGTCATAAATGAATGGTTCATGTTGCCTTGGTGCTGCGATACTCCTCCAAGCCTTCTTAGATAGATGCTGTACTTCTGCAATCCCCAAAAAATGTCACCAATTCTTAACAACACATCAAGAAACAGAACAAATCCTAACAATACATCAAGAACATATCAAGAACTCATCAAGAAACAGAACAAATCCTAACAATACTGTTCAAATCTTAAGAATCTTAACAAATCTCTCTACCTGGAGGTGACTGGCTACGTTTTCTCGGGTTAGTCCAGGCACATTCATCATCTCCAAGATCTTCGTAGGAACCGCTTCTGCATTTACATACCAAAGATTAGAGACCAGAGAGAACCAACATTTAATCGGGTCCTCTTCCGTGATCCGGATTCATCATCGCCGTTCGATAAAGCGGACGATGAGGGAAGAAGAGACACAAAAGTCTGAACAATAAGAGAATATATGCTCAGAAGGAAAAGAAATTAGTTCAAAGAATTATGCTTGTTGGGACGGTGAGATGAGATGTGAGAGTTGAAGAGTAGGCCTGGGAATTTTACCCGGACCCGAATGACCCGAACTCGACCCAAAGATGGAATTGAACCAAACTGGAATCGAGACGAATATCCGATGGGTTCAAATTGTTTATACCCGAAAAAACCGAACCCGAACAGGAACTGAACCAAGAACCGCATGGGTACTTGAAATATCTAAAATATTAGTTATTTTTTAGACTTATAATAATAATAAAAAACTAAAATTACAATTATAAATCTAAAATAATAGTTATATTTAGAACAAAATAACCAAAATGTTCAAAAAGTCCAAAAACATTTAGTAGAAGATGAAGTAAAGACAAGTTTTTTCGATTATTTTTGTAGAATTTTGGATATTTGGTACAAAAACGGATAAAAATCTACCTGAATTAGAACCGAATGAGATCCGGATAAGAACCGAAATTTGTATAAACCCAAACGGTCCATAAAATTTAGCCCCGAACCGAAATTTTCCTAAATCCGAACGGGTCTAAAATTTAGCAACCCAAGAAGACCCGAACCTGAATAAACCCAAACCAAACCGAAACCCAAACGCCGAGGCCTATTGAAGAGAGCATGGAGTTGTCTCTCAGCTGCAAGCTCGATTTCTCTGTTTCTGAATTCTTTTTTTTTATAAGAGGTTTTGTTAATAATTTTTAAATTTAATTCTGGAAATGTTTATATATACAGTATCCTACAATATATTAAAGATCATACATTTTTGCTGATGTGGCAAACTCTCAATTTTTTGACTATTTTTTATTTTTTTAAATAAATTATTTACTTACAAATCGGATAAATACGCGGATCTCCTTCCGGGTCGGGTCGTGCATTTTTCTTCCCAAAATACCTTTTTAAAAACAATAGTAGTGGGCCTTCAGTCATCCCTAAATGCACGAGTGAGGTCATAGAGCCCATTTAAATGTTATCGAATATATATTATTTATTACGCAGACAAATGATAATATCTTCCTTTACATATTCGACGTGGTTGTAGTCGGATAGGAAAGTTGTAATCAAGACCGTTGGGGTATTATAACATATTCCTTATCCAGATATATCCAGAAAATTACAGATACATTATGCCAAAACAGCTTATAATATGGGACAGATGGAGTATCTATTACCCTAATATGAGTCTCGAAGAAATTACAATTATGCGTAACATTTGGGATAGGTAAAATCATATGCGTTTGTTACTCAAATAATGTATATTATTTCTAAATCTCGCTAGTTGTCCCAAAAAAAAAAAAAAAAAAAAAAAAATCTAAATCTCGCTTACTATAGCTAATTCAGCTATATCATTCAAGATATTGCATTTACTCAGGTATATTGAGTGAGTGGCTTAACCTAAACAAGCTACATGTATCTCATTCCCCTATAAATCTAGATCATCTCTAGGTTTCACTCACATCTGTCTTTTCCATTTACCATCAGAAAGCTTATACCAAAAGCAGAAAAACTCGAAGCCATGGCAACCATTGTTGACGTCTACTCCGTGAAGCCTTTCAAGTCCCACTGGAGAATCCGTGTGAAGATTTTGAAGAGTTGAAATCAGCACATGAATGGTGTTGAAACAATGGAAATGGTCGTTGTCGATGAGAAGGTAATATCTACTGTTTTGTCTTTCTCACACGTATTTATGTAGATTAATTAAATATTAACATTGCTATCTTTGTTATACCCAGAATCAAGTGATTCATTGCACAACAAAGGAGTTCATTAAGAGAATGAATGTTTTGCTGGTTGAAAGTGAAACGAGGATCATCACAAATTTTCAAGTGACCCCCACATCTGGACGTTTTCGGTCAAGTCTACAAGCTCTGTTTTGCTCAGACAACAACCATAAAACGGATATGGACTTCGGTCCTGAGGTGATGGCTTGCATCCTGTACAATTTGGTGATATTCACGATGGAAAACTTAATCCTGATTTTTGAGCTTAGTATGTTTGTGTTTTTGTTAATTGTTTTACTAAACGAGATATTTTAGTTTCGTCTAACTTTCTCCATTTACGTACTCTATTATCGTAGATGTTGTTGGAACTAAAGTTTTTTCCGTCTACTCCAAATTACTCTACTGTATATATCATTGGCACCCTCAGGTATTTTATATTTCCAAACCCTTTTCACCATAAAGAACAAAAATTGATAAATGCGTATAATAATAGGAACCATGTTTTGACGTTTGAGAAAAGAGGCCGTACGTACGTGTCTATCAAAAGAATGGCAATTATTATACGTAACTCTTCAAGAAAAGAACAAACAATGTATATGGAAACTGAAAAGCAAACAAAAAGAAGGGCCACTACGTAAATCACATCAGAAGGAGGAAAAAAATACTAACTACGTAAATGAAGATGCTTTCGTTGAGAGTTGAACTCAAGACCTCCCGCTTACTAAACGGGTGCTCTAACCAACTGAGCTACGAGAGCTTCTTGATATGCTAATTCATACAAACATAAAATACTTATAGCAAAAAAATACATTTTACAGTATCATCAACAAGAACACTGACAACAAAACTACAATGATAAGAGTCAATAACCATCTGAACTAAATGCTCTCTTTTTTTTTTCCTCCAAATAAGTGTCAATTACATAACAAGCCTCCACAGTAAAGTACCAAATGTACTATTCACTGTCTATACAAATTTCTCATTTCCCCTTCAAAAACAAACAAAAGCAGGCTTAAAAATGTTTCACTTTTGCTATATATCACTCCTTATTTATCAGTTTCAGAGTTGGAGAAATGACTTATAAATTATATCATCTCCACCCGGAACCACTGTGTGATACGAAGTGTCTAAAGTCCGGTAGCACAACCTTCAACCGCCTCAGCCACTCTTCAGCTGCTCCTAGCAGCGCCCCGGCTCTCTGGTTCTCGTCCACGTCGCTATCTGGACTCCAAACCGACCGTTTAAACTTGTAGGACGCGAGGCCGAATGTGGGCAACGGAAGCTTAGATGGTGCAACCGATTTGCTTGAGCTTTGACCGTCCTCATTGCTTGTACCTTACCAGATAATAAAAAGAGTGCTTTGAGTTTAACGAACAAGCCCGGTTTTGAGAGCAATGTGTTGTATATGCAGAGAGATGCTTTTACCTCGAGAGGGTGTTGATAAGGAGTGGAATGTTAAGAAGCAAGCATCCAGGTTTTGTAACGATTGACCTAATGGTATTCGGTATATTGGGTACCTTCAAGAAAGTAAGAAGACAAACATTATATATATATATATAGAGAGAGAGATTTTGGAAAAAGAAACTGTGAAAGTGGACGGGTTAGGTACAGTACCAAGCAACAGAGACCCAACTCGAAGGAGATAGATCACAGCTCCGGTATGTTCTGAGTGCTGGGAATTGCGATGACAGGTTTGAGATCTGCAGTTTTCAAGGCTCAACATAGTTATTTTAAGATGACCTAGGCTCAACACAGTAACACAAAGTTTCATAAGGTTAACTTAGTTAAAGAAAATATGACTTGCCTTGTCTGCCAATGGTTCACGGCCAAATGGCATAGCAGCCTCAAGATACTCATAGACAAGGTCACCAGGAGAGTTACTACTGACTTCACTCTCATCACTCGATGAACCAACAAAAGGTTTCTCTTCCAAAGAGGCTCTGTATAAACTCTGAGAAAGCTCTCTACAGTCATTGCTTCCATCGCTACTCATGTCTCTAGGCGAATCACCATCACTTTCTTCACCAGCCCTCCTGTTCAACATCACACATCAAAGCAAAACCCTTTTTTTTTTTTTGGAATTCAACACCAAAATAAACTTAAAACTTTAGTTCCTATTTTCCTACATCGACTTCATGTTTTTGTGATCTGAATAACGCTTAGGAGTTGCTTATTCCGAATGATAAGAACAAACACAGGAAGGATTTGGCTAATGGTTGATAGGAAACAAACTCTCACCTCCTACTTGTGCAGGCTCTAGATGGATCTTCATAGAGCTGAATTCCAGAGAGATAGGGAACATAATACTGAACAACCGAATCGGTCCCATTTAAGAGAAGAGGAACACCAACACCATAGGCGCTCCATTCCTCAAACGAATCCCACAAATCATTCAGCAAGAAGTAAGGACAGTACTCTGGTTCCCGGGTTCTCCACCCCTTGATGCTTGTCTGAATCAAGAACAAAAGCATCTCATAAGTTTTCTTCTTAACAAAGCATAATACTTGTGAGTCTCAACTTCATATTTTGCCCCTAACTCTATCCAATAAATCCTAAAATTCTGGGGATAATTTTAGTCAAGGATCACAACGTTTCTCATCGTTTTGGCTTTAAATAAGAAAAACTGCACAAATACAAAGGGAATTTGAACTTGCAACGCCCACTAGTTAGTAGTTACTAGCATTGTGATTCGTGTTCTTCTTAATCTTCCCTAATCAAATTGAAATATTGACTAAAACCCACGCTTGATACTCAAATTTCTCGTTTCCCCTTAAGTAAAAGTTTCAAAATTGGGAGTAGTTACCATAGGCAAGTATTGCGTATGAACAAGGGGAGTGGTGCAATCCAGAAACCGGCCCAAATTTGACGAAATTTCGGTGGTGACCCGACCCGGCTGAGAACAATCGGAGGTCGAGCACTCGTCAGGCGATTCAGCAGTGGATAAAGGGCGATTCATCTCCTTCTCCTTCTCCTTCTCCGACGCCGAAATCTGTTGATCGAGAATCTCCTTCGCTCTCCTCTCTTCTTCCTCGGCTTCAAGTCTCTTCTTCTCCCGCTCCTGTTGCAGTTTCCTCATCGGAGGCGGGTTGTAAAACCGATCCTCGCCGCGGATCCTACGGGTAGTCGACATTCTTCTAGCCGGCGATTGAAAAAGGTAGTTGCTGTGGTCGTACGCGTCTGCAGAGGTTAGCGTTCGTCTTCTTCTTCTTCTTCTTCTTCTTCTTCTTCTGTCTCACGCAGTTTGAAAAAATTGACGATGTTAGGGTTTTAAGACTTTATTTTTTAGTGAATTAAGAGCAGTCAAAGATGCTTTGAGATGGACAAGATTGGTTTTTTGATTTTGTGGTTTGGATGGATTTATTCATTATTGAGTTGATTAAAACGGTAACGCGTTATATTCGTGCACATAATTTAATTTTCTCTTTACTTTCCGTTGGGCCTTGTGGGCTGTTGTTGTTCCAATATGTGTTTAATCATTTGAAGATACAATAAAGTCATCATGTAATAACTACAGAACTAATTGAGCTTCGGGACATAACTAATTGTCCGGCAGATTCTGTAGTCGTAGAGACTCACTGTTGTTGCCAAACAAATTTATAAGATGACGTCGATGTCTTCTTACTTTGTCAAATCAATTCTTACATACCAATCAACATCAAACGAAGTCAAATTTTGTATTAATATTTATTTCATTTTCTATTTTCATTTGAAAATGCGAAAACATGTGTTATAAACCAAATGTAAACACAGTTCGTTTGTAAAATCTTTTCTTTACATAGATAGAGTGATTCACACCTGTGGTGGCCAATGGTGATTTGTTTCGTTTTCGTGTAAGTTATAGTTTTACAAAAATGAATGGACAAAGAACATGAAATCCGAAAAAATTCACTTAAAGCAAGGATAATTGAATTTGACTAAGCTAAGAACATATCAGGACCAAGCGGTATTTTAGTCTCAGACATGACTGAAACAAAAGACTTTTGACAAAATGCATTCATTAAAAACTAACACCTATTGAGCACTGATTTTTAGTCTAAAAGCAGTTTTACTTGTCCAACACAAAAGACCAAAAGGCTATTACAGATTTACACTAACAACGAAGTCTGCCCAACTAACTTAAAACTGTCATCATTTCCTCTTCCTTCTCTGTTTCTACCTTTGAATCTGATCTGAACCAGAGTTATTAGCCGCTGACGAACTCGAAGGCCGGCCATTTTCGGTTCCCGCTTTGTCTGCAATGCCCCATCTTCTAAAAGGATCCGGGGTTTCAATCACTTTAACCGACCCATCAGAGAGTCCAAGAGCTATTTGATTCGGTTCTTGAGGATGAGCTGTGATTACCAGCGGCATGATTGGAGCACTATTGCATAAAGAAACAAGATTTGTGTTAGAACGATTGCTTCTAGTAAGTATAAACCTCATGTTGAATTAGCTTTTTAAGGGTTTAACCTGTTCGGTGATGGTTGAGGCATATAGGCTGATGGCGCAATACGACATCTGAGCCTCAAGTATTCAGCGTCGAAGATTCCGATGTTTCCATCGGCGAATGATGCATACACTAACTGGCTGTTGCACGAGTAAGTTGCGCAGGTTATGGGTGAAGATAGCGATTCTTGTGGCACCCACTGCAACAACAACGGGAATAACAAAGTGAGGAACAAGACTTCTTGTTGCTATTTGATTCCAAGATTGGCGAAAAATTGTACCTTTTGAATGCACTCCATCTTTGAACCGTCATATATGGCTATCTGTGTCTCGTGAGAAACCAGTAAATGGACCTGGTCATTGTGGAACTGGACCCGTGTGTCGCCTACTGGTGACTTTCCAGCTGGTAGTTGGATAGCTGAAGATTTCTTCTTTTCCCATGAGTCAGCACTCCAGAAGAAGAGCTGTAGCATAGAGAGGTCAACAAAGTTACAGCCAAGTTCGGTGAAAGCTCAATAGCAATTCTGAGATAATAAGAAGCTTTAGTGTACCTGAGCATCAGCACCAGAGGAAACCAGAAGATTGAGAGCAGCAGAGAAGGCTAAACCAGTGATGTGCTTTTGGTGGCCTTTCAACTTTGTTTTCACCTGTCGATAGTAAAGCGAGATATTATTACCAATTCTCCAAAGTTAAAAAGAAGACCCTAGAGTGCAAAAGATATATAATTCTCCAAAGTTAAAAAGAAGACCCTAGAGTGCAAAAGATATATATAATAGCAATCGGCTCAACACAATCTTTACAGCAATACTAAACCAAAATTTCAATAGGGATACTCAAATGAATTAATTACCTCATCTACCCTGACGTTGTAAATATGGATAGTTGAATCCTCCATCCCAATTGCAATTATGTTATTATCTTGAGGATGAAATGCCAGGAACGTTGAGGCAGGAGGAGGTGGCATGAAAGTGGTCATTACCTGTGAACAAAGTGAAGATGCTGCCACTCAGCTCAAATATTCGACACAGACAAGTTGTTTGTTACAAAGATGCTTCCGTTAACAAAGTTATATTGTTGTGGCGTCACTGGCAAAGAAACGTAATTGTTTGCGCACAGGACCAAAAAAGAAGAAGATAGGCTGCTTACCTTGAAAGTCATCATATTAAACAACGAAACCTTTCCACCACAAGCAGACATTACATATGAGTCATTCTTAGAAAGAGCTATGCACGGAATAGTTCCCTCAGGATTCTCCGGAACATCGTTCGTCATTAAGAGACCACTGTTAGGTTGCCAATGGTGTGGAGCGACACTAGCGGTAGCCTTGAAGAAAAAAGAGAAAAAAAGCTTTCAGCAACTTGGAAGGGATAACATAGAAGTGATTTGAGTACATACAAGGTGAAGGTGATAAGGCTTGCGTTTACCTTTCCAGATGAATTTTGCTCGCTGCACCTCCACTTCCATAGTCTCTGGAGACCATTTGTTCCAAGAGCCAAAATGCCAACACCAGAATTTGTATAAAGAAGCCGAGCAACCTTAGAAATGAAATTGGTAAATGATAATCCCATTAGTTATATAAAAAAATAGGATCGCTGATGGAAGTCCCCAGCTGACTATATTTATTTAGGAAATGACTAACGAACCTTGCCAACAGAATCCTTGCCATCTGCAAAGGTCACTTGTCGGCACTGAGCGGGATCAATAACTTCCACGAGCTCCAAAGGTTTGGACTTTTCAACAGACTCCAAGTTTCTAGGCTTGTCCATAGTTCTTGACATTGCATCAATTCCATTCTGTACAGATAATAAAACCAAACTTGGATGACAACACCGCATTTGTATCTACAGAGAGAAATGAATTGTACACAACATGATGCATTTTTCAGTTTGGCCATGGTTCTCATTACCCAGATCACTAAGTTTAGTAGTGAGACTAAGTGCATGGATAAAGGATTTGTTTTGAACTTTTAATAAAATCTGTGCATTTGGGCGATGTAATCATATCAGGCTAAATTGTACAGCCAAGATACGCCTATATTTATCTATCGCCGCTGAAAGATGAGAAATAAAGTGAAAGATAGTAAACCATACAGGAATAGGGGTTAGCCTCGCAGGAGAGCCAATATCCATTTGTTCCATTTTACCGATAGATGGGTTGATGCTTGTAATCATTGCGGGTGTGGATACCTGATACCCCAGCATTGGCTTTAGAAATTGTAAATTCCGTTGGACAAAAGGTATGAAAAGAATATAAAATGTAAGAAAAGCGCATAAGGAATAATATTAACCTTCATCTCTGTCGATGCTCTGGATGCTTCGAAGGAACGAGCTTCCATGACCCTTAAGGTTCTAAGACCATCCACATTAGCAAGGATCTTGAATCCATTATCAGCAGTAGTAACAGCAAGAAGGTTTCCTTCCTTGTTGAACCTCAAACGGGGAAGGCTCTGATACAGGCATTACATTGCACAATAAGGAACTAGCAAACATATGAAATCACAAAAAAAAAGGAAAAAGAGAAAAGATTATATACAAGGAGCCAAGATCAATGGCTAGAATTTTATACCGGAAGTCCTCCATCAGCCTCTACAGTTGTCAAGAGATTAGTACTGTCCATATCCCAGAATTTTATTTGGGTATCTTCTCCAACAGCCAAAACTCGGTTCCGTGTTGTATCAAATTGAACCACCCCTGCGGATTTCTTTCTAAAGCCCAAATATGTCCTCTTTATGGCACCTTCACTCTCATTCCACTCAACCAGGAAAGAATCTCCGTCTTTACTTGTTCCACAAGAAAATAATCTGAAACAATGGCAAGCGTTATCATATACTATGGCTAGAATTTGCAGCAGATGACCTGTTAACTTCTTTATAGTTCAATAGGTAACTAAAATCATTATAAAAATAACCCTCCAACCAGGAAATAACGCAATTTATTATCTTCTTTCATATAAAAAAGCCGTCTTACATGAGCTACGTCAGCTTACGGAGTCTTTTCTATAGTTTTTCAACACAAGGTTGCGAATCAAGGGATATCTAATCTAGGTTTCAAGTTCTAGCTCTTTAAAGTAAGAAGACCGTACCTGCTACCATCAGCACTGTATAGCATAGTTGTACACCATTGTCCTGGTGCATCATAGTCAACTCTAGACCCCACATTATCATAGAGCCAAGCCTTGATCTTACCATCAAGAGCGGTTGAGAATATAAACTGCATGAAATAAAAGAAAAGATAATTAATATGATACTCAGTCCGATGTAGCCAAAATGGACGAGATCGCTATAATTAATGGAGAGAAAATATTTCTTCTAGACTTAGCAACCAGAGATGGCTTTACCTGGATATTTTCCTTCTGGTGAGGGCAAATGGAGTAAACTGGTGCCTCGTGCCCTTCAAAGGTGTAAAGTTTCTTTCCACTCAAGTCCCAGACCTGAATCGTAAAGTATCTGTCAGACAGCTAAAAGAAGAGAAAAGCCACTGAGAGAAATCATACAACAGCCTCAGAAATTTCCCTGTTTTTTCTTTCAATACTTACCTTTATAAGTTTATCATCCCCACAAGTAACAACACAGAGCTGCTTGTTTGGGTGCGCAAAGGCCAAGTCATTCACACAGCCTACATGAGCGTCCACCTATAGGCAGAAAAAAATCTTTGTTCACGTCATGCAGATGCAATAACAACGTTAAACTAAGAAAAGAAAAAGGATAGACATGCCTCTAGATGTTGACGTAAGTCAGACCCTTGGTAAGCATATACATGGATCAGATGTTTAGTAAACGCAACCCCTGTACAAGAGAGAGGATAGGTATCAGACTCAAACATCTGTGTCAAATTGAAAATGCAATTATAGATGATGATCTTCAAATAGCGTACCAATCAAATTTCCATCTGGACTCCATGATACACGACTAACGGAGATTGATGGGTCTTTGACAATAGAACCCTGGAAAATTGGACATGCGAAGATGTCATCATCACATAAAAGACTGATGGTGCATTACTAAAACTTTTTCTCATAGAACAGAACATAAATCACTCAGTCATGTATCAGAAATAAAGCATCTTTCGCTGTGCACAGGTTAGTTAGGCCACAAGTATAAGGTACAAATAATAAATTATGAAAGGAAGATGAGAGTCTTGATAAAAAATTTGAAAAAAAAAGAGAGTGAAAATCAACCTGGAACATCACAGAACAAGTCGCCATATTCCATATCTTGAAAGGCTCTGTGACAACCTTCTCCCTGGATCCAACTTCCCATAAGGTGACTTCGCCGTTGGAACAACCAACTAAAAGTAACAAACAGTTATAAGCAGAAACATGAGCCAAACAAAGCTCAAGTCTATTAGTCTCTACACGGGTGCATTACACTAACCAGTGAGCAACGTATGATGGATAGGGTGAAAATCCATGCTTAACACCACCGACCCTTGCCGCATAGTACTAACTACATTTCTAGGGAGGTCATCGATTGAGGCACCAGGCTGAGAATGAGCAGGATATGTGACCTGCAATACAAGAAAGACGAGGCATATACTTGACGTCATACAGACATGCCAAAACAAGAGAGTTTTCTTTTCGTACTAGGCATGAATCTTACTATCACAATCCTGAATGATTCCTTTTTTTTTTACAAATGTTGGTTATATCAAGTAAATCGCCAACCATAAGAAAAACAATCACCTCATCACCAGTTGGTCCAGAACGTAAACGTTTCATAAGTTGTTCATGATCGGCACTTTGATAATCCATCATTCCAAGGGAGTTAGAGGGTGGCCGAGGGTGTTTCAGCAAAGCAACTGCCACGAAATATAGCAAGAAGAATTCAGAGCTAAGAATAAACTACTAAACTTCACTTTCCAATACGAAAAGTAGATAAACAACTATTTAAACCATGACAAGTGCTCTTCATACAGTATTATTCATGACCAAAATATTAACTCTGCACATCATTACCAGCAGTATATTACCACCCGCCTAAACATTGGAACAACAAAACTTACCTTGATTTGGTTGCATAGGAAATGGGGAAGAGGCTGCAACACCGCAAGGAACTGATGCAGATGGATTTGGGTTTGCCATCCATCCAGCTAAAGCATTTGGATTAGGAGTCGGAGCATTAGGCTGAAACGGCTGTACGTAATATGGATACATAAATTAGATCAAGCTAACAAATATGTTTGTAGGTTACTGAATATGTACAAATAATGTTATTGTGTGGTATGTGAACGTACTCCACCATGTACCCCAAGAGGAGCATATGTTGAAGGCTTTGCTACAGCAGAAACTGGAAGAGTCACAGGAGTGGGTGCTCGAGCACCATTTTGTGGTGAGCAAGTGTGATCAGTGAACAATGTTTTGATGTCTGGGTTAGGCCTTGGGTTTTTACATAGCTGGTGTTGCCAATTCAAGCTGCAAATTACAAAAATCATAAAACCTTAGCTGATGTCAAAGACTAATATGACACCTTTAGTTCATTGGCCGGTTCGGATGACTGCCAAGATAAACTGGCTTCAACCATTCCACTCGTTAAGTATAATGAAACGGACATGTTCTAAATCCAACCTAATGACGGTTTTCTATTTCCAGGTAGTTAAAAACAAGAAAGTTAAAGTAATAGCAGAGTTCGATATCATAGTTTTCTAAGTACCACTTCTGTGAGTGATGCAAATCACCAGAAAAGTGGCATATTTACAAACTTAAACTGTTTTAACATGGAAGCTACACGAACAATTTGGTTCACATGGTCACCATACACTAGAACAATCAAAACCAAGTATGTGATACCTTTGATTGATCAAGGTTCGCAGGCGTGAAGCCTTGAAAGTGGGTAAAGCAAGCTTCTCTCTAAACAGAGGATTTGCCTCAATCAATTTTCTCAACTCCCCAAGCATTATACCCCTGGCTGATTTAGTATCACCATATTTCGACAACTGTTCATTTTCCCTGGAAAGAAAAGCACCACATTTCAACTCCAGATGGCTGCCATTGATACCGTTGAGCTTTAAACAATCAAATACACAGATAAATAAGATTATACCTAAAGTTCTCCAGAGTTAGAAGCTGAGTGATTTCCTTGTAAAGCTCCTCGTTGAATGTCGCAAATACTTTCAAGTCCTTAGCTAATATCTCAACAGCTTTTGCCCTGTCATGTCTGGAAACAAGAACAGCAAAACAAATGTATAAGATAATGAAAAGACCATCCTCAACCGGAAACACGAGAAGAAAATCAACAATCCACCCTAACGAAAATTCCTTAAACGAGCTCTAAGCCAATCAGAACAAAAGCACTTGAAAGAGCAGCCAATAGAAATTCCGAGTTACCGATCTAGAGCTTCGAGGTACTTTTGCTTCCTGATCTCGAAGAAAATTTTCATCGAGTATCGATTATCATCAACCTTGGTGAAGCCAGAAAGATACTTCTCCACTTCGTCCCACTCTCCGAGGAGAGCTTTCTCTTCAAAATACTTCAAATTGAAAAAGTAGCCTGATTCCTGCTCAAGCCTGCACCAGCAAAGGCAAAAACCCATTAGAAATTTCGCATATCCAAACAAAAGTAGCGAAAATCTTACTCCAAAGGCGAAATTTCACGAGAAATTTCTGGAGGCTGTGATTAAACACGAAAGCAGGACTTACTTGTGGACAGATTCCTTGAACTTTTCTTCATCTAAGAACTGAAGGATTAAGAAAACTAACTCTCTGCTCAGAGATGACATTTCGTCAATTCTCCAGGCAGCGAATCGGGATTGTGAGAATTTAGGGGATCTAGGTAGTCGCGAGAGACGGTCACGCTGATTTTCTCAGATCGGTGGTCGTAGTAGAAATGGATTTCTAGGGTTTGTGGTTTCGATTTCTTCGCGTCTCGAAACTAAAGAAGAAAAGCTCTGACCCAAAGGGAAATAAATAAATCAATTCAAATTTAAAATTTCCTCTTTTCTTTCTCTTTTCTTTTTTTAAAAAGAAAAAAGTGTGACTTGTTCTCCACTTTCTTCGATGCGTTTTGCAGGGTTTTTCTAACACCGACTGTGATTTGATAAGTAGGATCCCTTATCATATATAGGCACACTCTCTTATCAAATGAAGGATGATAACCTCGTTTGTCGGAACCGCTTGTTCTCATCGCTATGCCCTTCGCGTTTTTCCCCTACAGCTCAGCCCACTGAAGCAGGAGTGGACGAGAAGAATCTTTTCCTGATTTTAAAATTTTTTACATACCTGACCTTAGATTTATTTATTTATCTTTACTAGAGATTTTGGGTGTTTGGAAAATAAATTAAATCTATTTGGATTTTTTCTTAATTTACATAGAAATAAATAAAAGTGACATAATATATTTATTAAAAATTTAATAATATTGCGATCCTATTAGTTATAAATGGACCACGTGTGACGCGTGTACCATTTTATATAATAAGTAGTAGTATCATTTTGACTAGCCAAACAACGATAAGTTATTAAAAACTCATATTAATCTCGAATAAAAAAACATTATTTGATTGTTTAATTGGAAAAGAAAGTGTTTTGAATTTTTTTCTTAGAAAATACGTCTTTAGTGGTTGAGTTGACAGTGGCAAGATAAATGCCACCAAAGAAAAGTAAAATACGAAACATTATCGTGTCGATTATTCAGATTATATTTTCTGTAATAAAAAAAATTATTCAGAGATTTCGCCGGTATTTGTTTCGAGTTTGATTTGTGAAATACCAGATTGTGACTTGTTTGGGAATCGCGCGGAATCGAAGGGTCTAATTGGAATTCAAATTTAGGATAAATTAAGAAAAATGGGATTCTAATGAATGAGAATATGGAATGTTGGCAGTTACATAAATAAATGAATGAAATGAACAATTGCAGAGAAATATAAATATGATAATAAATGGTAACAATTTAAAGGAATTGAGTGGAATGAAAAATAAATATATTTCTTTTATTCATTTGTTCCATTCTGTTTATTCATAAGCCATTTTTATCATGAATGATTTTTAACTATATCCCTTATTGTTTATCCCACTGGAATTATATGGATAATTTTTTTTTATTATTCCACTTAAATGATAGATGTTTTTTGGAATTTACAAGAATGAGACATTTCACAAAGTTTTATCTCACAAAAGACACATCCAGTTGCACCCGAAATATGAAATTCAACTATATTTAATAGAGTGACGTGGCGTCCGCTTGTTGTTGCCTTTTTGGGTGAAAATGACTTGGACTATTGTTTTCGCGAGACGTTAAAGATCATATCGGAGAAATTTTCAAAATATTAAGGGAAGCTTGAGATATCGTGAGATGTAAAGAATTCTTCGTTTAAAACGATAATAATTGAAAGCGACGGATATCGCTGCAAGCAAGTGCTTCTCGTTTGATCGGGACATCTTATAAAGTTGGTGTAATTTATTACACACCCACTATATTACATTATCCATTTATTATTTGGGCCACTACAGAAGAAAAAAATGTCTTAGCGTAAAACAAAAAGAAGTCATTTGTTGAGTTCATTAAGAAGATAATCTATAGATTATATTTATCTACAGAATAATAATACGATAATAAAATGTTAAAAAATTGATGTTGATTTCGCATATAGAGAATTCAGTGGCTGTGCTGATCTTCTTATCACCAAGAGAAATTGTTTTTCTTTTTCGTAAGAATATAGCAATTTACTACAATAGATAATGTTCTAGAAGAGAAAGAGAATAAGTTTTTGTTGGGACCAAGCTTTAATAATAGAGCACTTGCCTAAAATGGGTAAATGATTTCGTTAAAGGTTGTCGGTGTGAATTTGGATGCTACTAATAATTCTGAAAAAGACGCATTTGTAACAATAGTCTATCGTAACAATAATTCATCCGGTCAATATTAGCCCATTTTTGCGAGATGCTACAAGATGCAAGAATGAATTTCATAGATAATGTTCATCTCATAAAATTGCAATTTAAACGTTTAAGGGGACTCCTATTTATCGCGATCCATGTGATTTGGGCCAAGAAAACAAACGTTTCGTCTATATGTGAATGTGGAGCTCTAGTTATGTCCTCTGTATTCATCACAATACGTTGAACTAATGGCCTATTTGGATTCAATAGTGACCGCTAAGAAAGGGTACTATAAGTCTATAATATATGCGTGTCATTGGTTCGTTTAACACTTTACTGATATTACAGTGGGATGTCCTATGGAAAGAGGACACATCATTCATGGTGCCACAAAATCTCTGTTGGAGAAGGACTCGTCCTAACTTATTTGACTTGTACCATTATTGCATTTATGGTCATAAATACATTACGAAAGTGTTTAGGGATGCCATCAATTTTACTGTAATATTGCTGGATATAAAGGTGAAGATCGTGATGCATTTAATTTCGTATTTAATTTATTGGTTTTTCATTTATTGTTAGCAAATTGATTTTTTAAGTCCTACTAATAACTTTTGAGATTTAGTTTGAGCAAACAATAGTTGGAAAGTACTACTCTTATCAGTTTTTTTCTTCTAAATTCTCTCTCTATGTTTTTTTGTTAATGTTGAAAGAAAATAAACAAATACTAGCTCTCTTCTCTAATAAATGACCTTTTAGAGAATTTTATTTGTTGACAAATAAGTGGATTTTTCATAAATCAGTTCAAAAATTAATTTTTGTTATTTTGACTGTTTGAATTATGCAGATTAGCTTTTTATTGGATTATGTTGGAATTATGATAAAACATGTTTTATTTTGAAAAAATAAAAATTTATTGATTTCTTAATCTACGTGCACTAAAATGCCACTTATTGGAGAATAGAGTGAGTAAGTAACAAGAAATTTAACAACAATAATTTCTATGAATTGGAAAGCAAAAAAAACTCCAATGCTTTATTCTTTTATCAAAAAAAAATCCAATGCTTTATTCACTAGAAATCATTTTGATAAATTTAATTTTACTAAAGTTTAAACTGGTGTGATACAATACCAAAACTATAGTTCGTTCTAACCAACTAACTTCTACACTGACAAAGTACCACTCACCCAATCGTAAATCAATGAGAATGACCGAATGACACTCACATCTAAGCTTGCCAGTTGAAAAGCTTCAAAGTCACGATCCCTCATCTTGTGATGTTTCTAAGTGTTTATGGAACCTCCAAGTCCAACCATACACTTATTTTCCATGTTTATCATTTCCAATACAGTTGCAACGAACATTTGTTATTCATGTAAGCCTATGTCCGCTCCCGCGTCTTTGTCTTGTCGTCCACTGTTTTCCACTTTCCCAACACAACATATCATGCATCTTCTGATCCTTCTAGCTTTAGTCTTCTGCTATTGTAAGCAGCAGAGAAGTTTATCTATTATTTTGGGATTGGGTTGAAATAGAGAAGTTAGAGAGAGAGAGAGAGAGAGAGAGAGAGAGAGAAAAGTTTATATAGTACAACCTAAGTAGATGAAGTCTACATGTTATAATTGTTGCTTCTAGTACCAAATGAGTGTTCATGAGTATTGATGGTCAATATAATTAGTCTACTTTTAATTATAGAGAGTAGAATTCGACAGCTTAACATATTTTCATCTTCCCCACAAATCCATCGTTCGAGACCACCATGCATTTGAGTTTTTGATCATATAGTATTCATAATACATCCTTTTTGGTAACCATTTTTGTATTTTTGTATTTTCTTTGTATTGGTGTTTTAAACTAGTAATTATAATGACTGTAGATTTAGAAAAGAGTTTCATACAGGTTTACTAAAATTTCAAAACTGGTATTCTGAGACCTTTCATGCAAAGTGGTAAGAAACTCAAGATTGTCATTTCATCTTTCTAATTTAGCTTTTAAGAAACAAATTTGATTGTAAAGTCGTGAAAGTAACGAACTTGTTTTGTTAATAATACACAAGAAACACAGTTTTATAATCAAAAGCAATCGTGTTTGATCGTGTCCCATACTCCCATCTTCCAACACCATTATTGCAAATGCAATTGGATTTGGAGCTTACTGTTTTTAGCTTAATAAACGAATTAGTGGCTAATGATCCTGATTAGAGTGGGAATCTCAATGGATTGCTTTAAGCATATGAATAAAATCTATAAAATTCCTAACGTGCCTTCTCCTTTCTTCTTTTCTTTGACTAACCTTAAATGGTTTACCTACTTATCTTCCCCAAAAAATTCCACGTCAGCCAATAATGACGGTAATGCCCCTGACTCACCTGAATAGATGCTGACGTGTTCATAACCTTTCTAGTACTTTCCTTCTCTGCGGAAACGTTCCTGGGATGCACAAATCGGTTGATTTTTGGATAAATCGGAGCTTCGATTCATGTATTGCGACGGATTTCTGTTGAACGGTTTCGAAGTTTGTGGAGAATCTTCGTTATCGCGTTTCGTTTCAGCGAGAGATAGATTTCCTGAATCGTGTTGCGTTTCTAGATTCCGCAAGGAGTGAAATTGGTTTGTTTTTTAACGATTTGCGATTAGGAGGAGGATCGGAATGGCGGCGGGTGCGATGGTGACTGCCACGGGAGCAGTGGTGGTTCTGTATTTACTGAGCCGGCGGATCGTGTGGCCGAGAGATGGGGAAGATGATTCAGGAGGCGAGTTGGCGAAATCGGGGAGATCCGGAAGGAGGAGGATTGTGAGGAGGCCGGCTCAAGCTCCGGCGACTTGGCTTGAGACTATTTCAACTTTGTCGGAGACGTTACGGTTTACGTATTCAGAGACTCTGGGCAAATGGCCCATTGCCGATCTGGCGTTTGGTATTAACTATTTGATGCGTAGGCAGGTTTGCGCTTTTGATCTCATTCTTAATCTTCTTCTTCTGGGTTTTCATTCGAGTAAAGGATTGAAATTTTCCAGACGTTTCACGAGTTGTTTTGTTTTCAATATACTCTCTGTTCTTTCATCTTTGTGCTGGCTATTCTGAGGAATCCTATATCCTTTTACTTTCCTGATAAGTCATATTTGAGCTATATTGAGAAATGTGTGGACTTTTGTCTTCCGTGTAATTTCATTATATTGTACGATGGTTTAGTTGATCATCCTACTTGTGGGAAAATGTCAAGTCACGCATGTAATCTGATGACTAGTGAATATTGATGCGACCTCGTGTGTGATTTGCTTTTTCAATGTAATCAGAGACAGTGGCCAGTGTCTGTGTAGCAAGTGACATCGCTTGCTTGCTTTTTTATTTTATTTTTCAGGGGAGCTTTCAAACTGCCAGTGTTTATGCTGGAAGTAACTGTATAGAGTTGAAAGGACCAGAGGTTATCATGGAGTTGACGGAATTACTGAGATTTTTGACCCTATGTATGCTTTTCTCCAAGAAACCATTTCCCGTTTTTCTGGAGACTGCCGGTTATACTCATGAAGATGTCCTTCTTCAGAAGCCTAAAGCAGGGGTAGGTCATGTCAATGTGATTATTTTTCGTGGTATTACTCCTGATTAGCTTGTTTGCAGTAACTGTATAGTTTCTTTTCCAGACTAGAGATCCATTATTGAAGCACAATGTATTCATACCTTTTGAATAATCTCTTAGGAAGATATGTTTGGGAGCCTACCAAGAGTTTGTCTCTCATGGATAGACTAGTAACAGTATACAATCCTAGTTATGATTGGTCTTATGACCTATTCGTGTATTTAAGATTGGACCTAGCTTGTTACAAAGAGTTCAATTCGTTCATTTGTCTTAATGCTGGCTTAACGGAAACTAAAAGCATAGTGGAAGCTTGATAAGAGATTAGCGCCAAGTATTTTAGCCTGATTGAAGTTTTGATACTTTTGAGTTTGGATTTGTTGTTTTATTTTATTTTGGGAACCATGACCAATTTATTCTGGGAACCCTGCAGATTTTGCAGCCTGCCTTCACGATCATACGTGATACCAATTCAAAATGTTTGCTGCTATTGATCCGCGGCACTCATAGCATTAAAGATACATTAACAGCAGCAACAGGCGCAGTGGTCCCTTTCCATCATTCAGTTCTGCATGATGGTGGGCTAAGCAATTTAGTTTTAGGTTATGCACATTGTGGAATGGTTGCTGCTGCTCGATGGATTGCTAAACTTAGTGTTCCTTGCCTCATTAAGGCCCTTGATGAGAATCCCGGTTACAAGGTTCAGGTAATGCTCTGTGCCATTTGGTGATACATTCTTGATTCACAGTTTACTATTGCGTTTTGGTTTTACAATTTGTTCTCTTGTGTCGTTGTATAACACTAGGTGTAGATGTCCTGGAAAAAGAATATGGTTTTACTTATATGACTATTCAGATGATAATTTCTCTGAACTTTTGGATGGTACACAATCATTTTTGCCAATAGCATTCCTATAAATTATATAGGCATATGGTAACATGTACAAACATCAGATCAATTCAATTTATTCCAACTCATTTGAACATCTGTGTTTATGGGATAATTGTTAGTTTTCAAATGATAAGTATTTTATCCTGAAAATTATACTGTTGAAATAGGAAGTCCTTTACCTACTGCTTCGTGTCTAAGGAGCATAGTTTGTTTCAGATTGTGGGTCATTCTCTTGGGGGTGGGACAGCTGCACTTTTAACGTATATTCTTCGGGAGCAAAAGGAGTTTGCCTCGGCTATTTGCTTCACTTTTGCACCAGGTACACCCAATTTTAATGCCAAACTATATACATGTCAAATAGTTCCAAGTGTCGCAAATCATATGCTTTGCACTGAAATTTTATGAACAACTCGCAGCTGCTTGTATGACTTGGGATTTAGCAGAATCAGGCAAGCACTTCATTACTACAATTATCAATGGATCTGATCTAGTCCCAACATTCTCTGCTGCTTCAGTTGATGACCTTCGTTCTGAGGTACGTGACTTGCTTTATCTCTATGTGATGCTAATGTTACATAATTTCTCCCTGTCCACCTAAAGATTAAATGGTCCTGATTTTGTAATGGTACAATATATAACTAAACTTGGTAATGTCAAATAGTGGATACAAGCCTGCGAGTTTTATTAGAAGCTGTTGTACCAAGGTATCTATAGAGAAATCATCTTGCCTCTGGTAATGATTGCTTCAGGCAACTTAGTTATTGACCTTTTTTTTGTCACTTTATCAAAAGATTTCTAGGCATCTCATGAGTCATGCAACCCTGATTCGACTTTCCTCATGAATATTACGAAGTGCACACTCATTAACCTACAAATAAGATCTCCTTTTCTTTCATTTGTTGGCAGGTCACATCGTCCTCTTGGTCAAATGACCTGCGTGATCAGGTCGAACACACTAGGGTCCTTAGTGTTGTTTATCGGTCTGCAACTGCCATAGGATCTCGTTTGCCCTCTATAGCCAGCGCAAAAGCAAAAGTGGCTGGTGCTGGGGCAATTCTGCGGCCTGTCTCAAGCGGTACTCAGGTAAATTTTGTGGTTGACGATTAGTTACCATCATGAGTAAATGGTTGTGGCTTCTATGAGTGAATAGGTGTATTTGAGCTTCCTCGACAAGTCTTTATCTTGTCATGTTGGTAAATTTGTCCAGGTCATGCTAAAGCGTGCACAGGACGTAGCTCAGGCCGTTGTGCAGACCCGTTCAACTCTTTCATCATGGTCTTGCATGGGACCACGTCGCAGAGCTATTAGCTCTCAACTTAACTCTAAAGTCACAGACTTGCCCGAAGCATCTGCTATTATACCCGACAGAAGGAGCACAGAAGCTCTACTGGCTGAAACCGTAGTGATAGGCCGTAAAGGTAACAAGAGAATAGAGCATTGTTCTTCAAGCAGCAGCGATTCTGATCGCGATGATCCAGAAGAAGAAGATGAAGATGAAGAAGAGCCGTTGATCTCAATCGACCAAGTCATTACAGAAACATCTTCAGTAGAAGAAGACGTGACAGAAGGTGAGCTATGGGACGAAATAGACAAAGAGTTGACACGACATGAAAACGAAAGAAACAGTGAAGCCATGGAGGAAGAAGCGGCAGCAGCAAAGGAGATAACAGAGGAAGAGACTGTCATTACCGGTGGCGGCGGTGACTCCTCCACGGGAGAAAACCAGAGTCCGGTTTCAGCATCTTCAACGGACTTTATAGAGAGCCAGCGGTTCTACCCGCCGGGTAAGATAATGCACATAGTGGCGGTGACCGAAACAGAGTCTGAAACAGAGTGTGACGAGGTAATGGTGGTGGGAGCAACGACGACGACGGTGGAGCGTGTGAGATTATACGAGACGCCAAGAGAATTGTACAGAAAGATGAGGCTTTCGAGAACAATGATAAATGATCATTATATGCCAATGTATAAAAAGATGATGGAACTCTTGATTACTGAGCTCGAGTGTGACAAACACTCGTCATGAGCTTCACACACCTTCATCAACAACTGTACATTATAAAATATTTATTATACACAGATCTTACAAATCTGTTTTAGTCCAATTGTTAGTTTTGTGAACTTTAGGTTCAAAATTTAGACCAATGAAATTGATTAAAGCTTTCCAGATGATGAATAGACTTGTTATCACTGCCGAGCACCACCGAGAGAGCCCTCTGTGAAAGTAGATCATATCATGTGGGCAAATGTCGACCCAAGTTGGACGACAGGGTTCTACATCACATTTGCAGACCAAGTCCCCCCCACCAAAAAGGGTATGTTGGATGTGTGTATGCTTTCACAGGTTTTGTTCATATCTTGCTCATGCCAGGACTACAAAAGTGAAACCACCCTTTTTTTGTTACTTGAATAGATCATACATATTCGACCTTTTTGGATGCACAGCTGAGATAACTTTTGATATAGGTTCTTATTAGTGAGATACTTTCTTTCTTATCAATCCGCATCTAATTTGCTGTATCATTGGTCTGGTTGAAGGCGACGGAAGAAAGGAGTCAGTACCAACAAGTTAATGCAACTTGAACCCACAAGTTAATGCAGAAGAGAGTTGATTTAAGCATGGAGAAGCATATGGCCTCACTTAGCGTTGATGAATACACAAGCCAAGTAATCTTCTTTTGTTTTTCTTGGTTGTTGATCAACCGCCATATCTGGACTTGAGAGCTTCTGGTGGTTCTTCTTCCATGATACCAGAACCTGTGCTGCTTAAAAACTCTCTAATGGTTGTTTTTCGATCTCCCAAGAATGTATGATCCAGAAAGTTATTGTAAGCTTCATCTCCCAGATTCTTTGCAGCCAACACGCTGAAACAAGAACAAAAACAAATTGGTTTCAGCACATGAAATTCTTTGCTAGAAATTCATTCACATGTAACTCAAGAAACCAAGTTTTAGTGCAAAGATTATCAGTTGTTCACCAATAAATCTACATATCGTTTCATTCGAAACAAGTTTGAAAATTTGGGAGTGAGAGAGAAGCTGAAAAAGGAGTCAGTACCAGTGTCTTAGATAGAGACGACAAGGTAAGATGTCGTCCCGCCATATCTTGTCGATGTTGAATCTTCCATAATGTTGAAAGTAAATCTCTTTGTTTCCTGCAGTAAAAGAAATATCCCACCTTATCAAAAGTTTGAAACTTTTGAGACATTTAGATACACTGAGAAGGGCCCCAACCTTTGCATCTAATCTGAAAAAACTCCTCATCACTGTATCGAGCACAAAGCACCTGTTCACGCCTCAAAAAACTCAGACTTTACAAAGAAGTCGCAAAACAGAAAAAATGTCGCTGAGAAGTGAGAACTATGGACGAACCGCAGAATTGGTGAAAGGTTTGCCTTGCATTGTTTGAGGAAGAACCTATGCGTGAGGAAGAAATGAGCAGTGTGACACAATAAGGCAATATCAAGAAAACTAGGGGAATGAAGAAGAGGAACTAAGTGACTCACAGCAAGAAACCGGAACTCAAGCTCCCTCTGTATAAAAGCTGGAATCTGTTTGTTTGGTGTATCGAAATCGTCAGAGTCTTTCACAGGATTGAAGTAAATGGAAGCAGTTTTCAAGTTATCTCTGTACCTCTCTTCTTTTGATCTCAAAGACGCTCACTACAAGGCTCTCTCCTTCACATGGCTCTACACTCAAGCTTGAGATCTCCTGTTGCAGAATTGTATCAGACTAACCAAACACGAACAAGGAAGAAACCTTTTGGCATGATCCATTTCTAGAGATTCAGAATCAGTTTCCATGCTATTCTAGAAGCTCCATTTTCGATTTCAGAAAGAGTAAAAAAGACGAAGAGAGACCTTAGTTTCAGGATTCGCGATCCCGCGTTCGAAGAAGATGGGAGCGGCGTGGGCGAAAACTCGCCGGAATCCTTCCAGTTTCGCGATTCTGAAATTCTCCAACTCTGGGAAAGTGCTCCTCGCGCTTCTCTCTAATTCGAAAACGAGAAAACAAAAGCAATCAATCATGTTCTTCCCGATGATCATGATTCGTGATCAATCGAAGCTGAAATGTACGCACCGGAGAGGAGAGAACCGAAGCCAGTGATGGAGATCCGATTCTCCGAAGAGAGAAGCTTATCGAAATCAGATTCATCTACCAATTCCACCACCTGCTGCGGCAAAACGGAACTGCGGATGTCACGAGACATGGCCTTAACTGATCGCCGGCGATCCTGTCGAAGAAGCTCCGGTCTTCTCGAAAGAGACAAAGAGGCGGTGATACACGGAGGAGAGGCGCGTGATTTGCAAGTAGTCGAGGAAAGCGCGTATACGAGAGGTAATGATTGAAGTGTGAGTGAGAGAGCAGTCATCGGAGAAGAAGATGACGAAGAAGAAATGTGAAAATGAGTTTGGTAAAAACGTCAATGTACTAATGCTATTTAAGTCCTTTAAACTAAATTAGATGTATTTAAGTCTTTCAAATACAAAGTTATCATTTTGATAAGAAGCTAAGCAGAAACTGAGTTTTGGTGTGGTTTCTCGTGATTTTCCATTGTTTAATCATTGCCAAAGTCTTCTCCACCTTCAATATACGAGCTTCAAGCTTCAATACTAGCTCATCTATCGCAAGTTTTCTCTGCTTCAATCGTTCATCATCAGTGACATCTTCTTCTTCTTCCTTCTCAGCTACTCCATTAGAAGCAACGGGAGGATTCCAAGAGTTGTTTTCATCATTCTCTTCGCTCCTTTGCTCTATCTCTGGTGCTGCTGCTACAGTTTCATCTCCATAAGCAAGCTTTTGAGGAAGTTCCGAATCATTGTTGTCAAGCACCTCAAGTCTACTTCTTTCCTCGAGCTCTTCAGAAGCATCGCCTCCTTCAGCTTCAGTATCCTCTACAACATCATCACACTGCTCTCTAGATTTGATTACATGAGCAATGGTAAGGCTATCATCTTCTTCCTTCTCAGCTACTGCATTAGAAGGATCTGAAGACTTGTTTTCATCAATATTCTCTTCACCGCGTTGCTCTATTTTTGGTATTGTTACAGTTTCATCTCCACAAGCAAGCTTTTGAGGAAGGTCTGAAACATTGTGATCCACCTCAAGTCCACCATAAACATCTCCTCCTCCAGTATTCTCTACATCATTGAACCTCTTTCTTGATTTGATGATCTGAGCAATGGTTATGCTATCATCTTCTTCCTTCTCAGCTACTCCATTAGAAGGACCTGAAGACTTGTTTTCATCATTCTCTTCACTCCTTGCCTCTATTTCTGGTCTTGCTACAGTTTCATCTCCAGATGCAAAGCTTGCAACAGTGTGATCCACCACAAGTCCACCATAAGCATCTCCTCCTCCAGTATTCACTACATCATTGAACCTCTTTCTTGATTTGATGATCTGAGCAATGGTTATGCTATCATCTTCTTCTTCACTTTGTGTCTGACAACAATCCATAGCACTCTCCTTGTCATCCTCACGAGCTCGCTTGCGTCTCTTGTATGTCAATTTCTCAACTTTCTTCGTTCCATCTCCCAACTTCTCAAGGACTTGGCTCAATGGCAGTACCTTAAGAGATACATCATCATCATCATCATCATCATCATCATCATAGTGATCAACTGTATTTCCTGCATTGAAAGTTTCGCTTCCTTCTTCCCCCATTTCGGAAACTGATTTCATCCACCATTCTCTGTACCTGTCAGTAACGGAACCTGTGGCAAGGCGAGAAGGAATGTATAGCGTTGAACCATCAACAGACCTATTGTAATCCTCCCAAGCTTCCTTTTTTGTGAAGCTGCCGCTATGATTAGTAACCAAACCAGGAAGATCTTGAGCCAAACCAAATTGCATCGCCACTCTATCCGGATAGTAGTTCTCCATACAACCGATCCCAACAAGCTGAGAAACTCTCACACATCGAGCAAACGAAACAAACTCATCATCATCATCAATCCTCACACACTTAGCTTCTTCGATGTAAAACTGAGGTGGGTTCCAATTCTCTAAGGGTTTAGTATACGGACGCCAATCAAAATCATCAGCAAGAAACAGTCCCACGTTGTCAAATCTCTGTTTCACACCACTCCATTGAGCAATCCTTGGTTTATTACGCTTTGGTAAAGCTTTAGCCTCTGGTCTTACGCTCTTGAATCTCTCCCAAATCCACACTTGCACTAATTTAAACAGAGAGCTAAGCTTAACATTCTCTGTAGAGGCTAAAGCATGGATTTTTCCCAAATCTCTGTATAGGCAAGCGAGAACAGCAGGAGCCAGAGCAATCTTTTCACCTCTAGCTAGACGAACGGCGATTGGGAAAACATCTTTCGAAATCGAACGGCGATGCTCATCAGGAAACACGAAATTCGAAAGCCATAGCACAAGGAAAGCTTCGTGCTCCAATGGTTCATCTACAAAGCTCGAAATCCATGAAACCTGCGTTATACTCTCCCGTCTTTGTTTCTCCAGTTTCTCAACGGCTTCTTCCATCTCTGAACTTTCGAGAGGAGCAAAGACAGAGGAACCCAGAACGGAAAAACCCAGAAGCACGGTGACATCCTCTAGGGTTATCGTTGCTTCGCCCCAAGGGAAAAAGAAGGATTTTGTTTCTGGACTCCATTTTTGAGCGAGGGAGAGAATCAAAGACGGATCTTTATGGATTTTGTAAGTCGATGCTGCGATTGCTTCAAAAATCCCAGCTTTTATCCAAGTGGGTTTGTGTAAAGCAGCCATTTTTCGAGCCCAATACTTGAATCTTTTGTTCGGTAACCTCCAGCCACAGAAGGAAACACACAAAGACGACGCCTTTAAGGTAGGAGAAGGAGCTGGACGGAGCCTAGCTTCAGACCCATCATTGGAGGTGACCTGTGGTTTTAGAAAACGGGCTTTTTTGATGATATGATTCTCACTTGGAAACACCATCAGCTCTTCTCTCTCTTCAACGAGATCTTCACTAGTAGATGTTAAATCCATTTGGAGAAGAAGAAGAAGAAGAAGTAGTTTGGAAAAAGGAAGGAAATGCCTCTTTCTTTAGAAACCTAAAAATGTTGTTGTTCTCTTTATATCTTTGTTTTGATTTTTCTTTTTTCTTTTCTTTTAAGTTTGAACATTGAAATTCAAAGCAGAAATTATGTTGCAGGTACGATGGAACATGTTCTTTATATGTTGATATCCATCAGCCTCTCAATTTCCCATAAAGGTCAAAAACAAAAATCTATTACTTGTTCTAGACTTTATCATAATTCACAAGACAACCAATGATCTGGGTCTGTTGTTTTCAAATGGAACTGACCAAGAAGTCAAGAACCACGAGGGATCTACAATTCCAAACAAACAGCCATCGGGTCTAGAAATTATATGCCTCATATTGGGCCTTTTGTTTACATTTCAGCCGCTTTAATCAGTAAAATGGAGTTGGTGAAGTTTTTGGTGGAAAAGAATGTTGCAACATAATTTAGGAACTGAAGAATAAGTGGAATTTACCTTCTTAATTCTTAGATGTAATTTCAGGAACTGGTGGAATTTTAAAGTTTTTCTCAAGTTCTGTAAAATCCTATACTATACTATAAAACTGGCTCATCTCTCTCCAGTGTGCTGACACGTCAGCTCTGGAGAGAGAGAGACACGTGGCATGTTCCAATTTTCTTAAAAAAAACAAAAAAAAATCTCGCTCATCAACTCCCGTCTCATAATGCGTCTCTCCATTGCCTCCGAAACCGTTCGACTACGCCGCCACGGGAAACCTCTTCGGGTCCTCGAAACGTAAAGTATCTGACCTTACAAATCCTATGCTATAAAACTTGCTCATCTAGAGAAGTCTTGGATCAGGCTGGGCCTAATTTCCTCAGGTTTGATTGTTCTAGACAATCATGCTCTAAATCGTCTCTCTCCTCTTCGCCGTCTGATCTGAAAACCCACCCGCAAATCCCCATCGTCGCCGTCTCTAACATTTCAGCTTCTCCATCGATTCCTCTGATCTTCTTCGTAATCTCCCGCCGCCGCTTCTATCGTATAGATGGAAAAAGCTCGGCAAGGTCATCGTAACCTTGAAATTGTTTTGGTTTGGTTTAAAGAATCATCAACATCATGCCCCTAACAATCTATTACTCCATCTTTTCTTTCCCAGACTGTTAGAGAAAATCATTTCCGGATTGTACTTCGGAGCTTTCGTCGAACACTCCACATCCGAGATGCTCGAGTTTGATTTTCTGCTCCTCTCTTTGTGGAATATCTTCAGACTCTGTTGTTAACACATTCTCAGGTTTGTGTATCTAACTCATCTTCTATTCACATATAACACCTTATCGAGCCTGTCCGGTTTCTCTCTTCTTTTTGTCTCCGATTTCAGATCTTCTTCATTACTCGAAACGTTTCAACAAATTAATTGTTCTAGCATTTTTCAGAGACTCATCTCCTTCCTAATCAACGACATAAAGAATAGAAAATGGGTATGATTTTGTAGAAGGAAACAACTGCAAAAGGGCAAAGCATTAAATGGTGGACGATGATTTTTGGCTTTTACATTGGGATTAATCTAAGACACAGTTTCATGCTTGCAAGAATGTTCCAATGAATCGAAGACTGGGATTTTCATGCTTGCACGATTGTTCCAATTCAAATTGGGTTTCAATTTCAAAGCAGGTTCATCTACTCTTTCATGGAGACTGGGATTTTGGAGTTTTCTTCAATATCCTTCTTTTGGGGATGAAACAGATTACGGAGAAGCCAAGAATCAGAAGGCTTTTTAGGTAGTGGCGGAGCAAGTCCAAATGTTGTTCGTCTCACTTTCGACATACTATGAGGCATATCCAACCCCGGTTTTCGGGTTCTTTACCAGTCAAACACATAGCGTTGCTCAAACTGTGATATTTTTATAATACCAAAGACTTATCTTCTATGTTCTTTTTCTTCTGAACAGTAGGGACCTTCTCTGCTTGCTGCTGAACCAAAGGTAGTCTCTTTATCCTTTCTTTAATTAGTACAAGCTTTAGTTAAGTCTATTATTTTCAGTTCCCCGATGCGAGCTGAGCTTTATATGTAAATCTATAGGAAAAAGATATCCATCGGCAACTTGGGTGGTGAAACTGACATCGACATTCAGGTCCAGTTTAATTCCGGTCATTGTCTGTGCTTTTTTGCAGAGTCTAGATTGATTTCTATATCACTTCGTTTTGAAACCTTACCGAGCAACTTCATCGTGTCAAACCAGGCAAATGAATTGCTGCATCACACTATCTCCCGCCCACTCTTTTGGTTCGCAACCTTCGTCATGATAGCAGGTATATTCTTTGCCTTAATTCTCTTCTCTCTTGTTCTTACTTCTGTGATTATTTGGACCATTTCTTTCCACTGCATTTATTGCACCATCATAGATTGATAGCTATGTTAGATTATTTGAACCATATCTTTCCAATGCATTACCATCATAAATTGCTAGATATGTTTGGTTTGGTAGATTTTTGTGTCATGGTAGCAATCTGTTTCTTCTGAAAACTGAAAATTTTCTTAGATAAGAGCTTCAGAGTCAAACACGGAATGGGACAGGAAAAGTGAGCAATCTTATACAGGTTCTTTTAAATATGTTTGTTTGTTACTGTGCTCTGCTTCCTCCTTTTCTAAGTGAAGGAGAAAGGACAATTCAGACGTGCCTTTAAGTAAATACAAAGTGGTGTCTTGCTGCAAATATTTTCACTTGGCCTGTATAATTTTGATGAGATGAGTTTATGTAGTAGTATCCTGAAACCATTTTATTATATATGTATTATGTTTGACTTTTGCCTCCCTCTCTAGAAATAAATTTTCGGTGCTTTTTAAATGATGTAAAACATGTAAATTTACTTTCGAGCTGGTTGTCTGTGATTAGGTACCTAAAAGTATTTGTTTTTAATTGTTAGTTTTGGGCTAAAGAAGATCTTGCTCCCCACAAATATTGCGTGAATGCTTTATGATTGTGGATCCACATAGGAGAAGATAACTATAGGCGCAGATTGTGTTCAAATAGCGTCAATCTGGCCATTGAAGCTGTGACGCATTGCATACCTGTTATGGTTATGGAAGTCGGCTCTCGACGAAAATTCGGTCAGGTCTATCTACCTTGAAAAAGTCTGGTTAGTGTGCCTTTGGTTTGTTTTAATCTTTTCCTACAACGTTCGACGACTAAGTTTTAGATTCAAGAACCAGTTTCAACAATCTCAAGTAAGAGGAATTAAATACACAAATGAATGGGTCATAGTTGTATATGTTTCCCACGTGATTCTAATTATTCTCTAACAAGCTGCTTTAATGAATCTTTTATTTGTTGTTGAATTGGGCGACGTTAAGAAACCAGGATTTACAGTATGTATCCTCCATGCCAAAACTTAGTATTTACGTTTCTTTGATCTTAATTTTGTATTTCTGCACATTAACCTAACTCATGTCCTCTTACTTGATTATTATTATTTGAAAGTCTTTACCAAACTAAATCAGGTCTTTTGCTTAGTTTTTTTTTTACATTCTTGAAGATTAGTTTTGTTAACTTTAAACTTTGAGGTGGCAGCGAAAGAGAAAGTAACTAAAAGAGATGGAAGGTGTGGGACGATAGCAGCAAAGAGAGCATGTGCAAACAAAAGATTAGCCATTCACCTTGGAAGAAGACGTATATTTCTCATATGTAAACCTTTGCTTTGCTTTTACATGATCATATTTGAGGGAATCCGGCAATAGAAAATTTCATCTAGAAACATAAGCAAAGAAATAGTTTAACAAGAATGTTACATTTTCAAAGTTTGTTTCATCACTGTTATTCTCTTCACTTTCAAAGTTTGTTTTAGCGCTATTATTCTCTTCACTTTCATTAATACAAGTTAAATGCTGACAAAGTTATGAAAATGTGATGTGCCTGAACTGACCAACATCACTAAACGTTATTTATTTTATTTTATTTTGATAAAAGAAAACCCTTTCAACCTCACTAAATGTTATGACACTGTAAGGTCATTGATTCCCTCTAAAGCCTAACTTTCACCGCACGCATGATATATGGCTGAAACTCAGCTCGGTCATTTTGGATCAACTAGAGAATTTGCAGTTTATTTTCATATCGAGTCCTTCGGCAGCGGTGTAAATCAAAAACTAAATTAAAAAAAGAAAACTCAAAATAATTTTTAAAAGGAAATATCATTACAAAAAAACCCGCGCATAATTGCCATGCTGGCGGATGTATCTTCAAACGGTATCATTTTTATGTTAGTCTTCCAAAAATCTATAGACATTGCTAATTGTTAGGTTTGAAGGCTGCATATTTAAGATCTTAGAAATTTCAGCAAAAACAAACACAACAAAAAAATACCTTCTCTCTTTTTAAAAGAAGAATTCTTAAGAGTTTTTAAACATATTAAAAATCTACATTAAATATAAAAATAATAAATAAGAGTTTTGAAACATGGAACTTCAGGTTTTGGTTTTGGGTCAAGTTTTTTGGGTTTCGTGTGTTTTCGCGTTTAGACATAAAGAAATTGTATAGGTTTTTCAAAGTTTTACTTCCGAATTTGTTTCGGGTTTTTTGGGTTCGTTTGGAGTTTTTCCGGATTTCGGGGTTTTTTGTAATTTTTTCAGGTTTTTTGTTTCAAGTTTAGAGATATAAAAATTATTTCGTTTTTTTTTCTTAAGTTTCAGTTCAGGTTTGGTTCGGGTTTTCTAGGTCGAGTTCGGGTTGAGGTTTCAGATAAAATCATAAAAGTCAGAAACCGAGGAAAAACTATGATATATTTTTTTTCTCTTCTAAACAAGTAAATGAGAAAAAATAACAAAACTACCCACGCGTAGCTTATTGATGACCTCCAAAATAATATTAAGAAAAGACATTGACCCAATAGAACCTGTATTTCAAAAACAGAAGCTTACTATCTTAGGGCCTCAGGCAAGTTGCTCAAACTGAGAATAGCTAACCAAAAAAAATCTTACCAAAGAAGAGAGAAGACGGACAGGCTCTATACTCAAGAAGATCTAACTCAACTCAACAAAGAAACAGAGAAAGCCTAAGAAGCCTAAATCAATGAAGCAGGGGAGTGAAGAAGAAACCGTGAAAGAGGCGAGTGAGTCAACGAAGAAAGAGAGAAAACCTAAGACGCCTAAAGCAAACAAGCAAGAAGATGAAGAACTAGAAACCGGGAAAGAGTCGAGTGACCCAATCATATCATATCGTTGATTTTCTTCCAACATCTTATGTCCTCTACGATTATTTGGTTTACTTACCTTCTTTTTGTGCCTCATAACAGGAGATTTCTTATATGGAAGAAAATCTCTGTAGTAGCGAAGATTCTGATGCCGACTACAAAAATATCGGGGAGAAAACAAATTGAGATGACTTAGTAAAGCAAGGACCAAAAAAACTGAACAGTATGTTTTTAGCTGGCAGGTTCAACTAATGAAAGAAAATGTGGAGTTAGTTTGGGCTAAATGAGCTATCCATGGTAGCCTGAACAGGTGTTTGATGCACTGGTTGCAACAAAAAACGGTAAGAAGTATTTCAACAAAGGAATATCTCAATATCACCTTCATTGCACTTTTGCTTGGAATGATGTATGATGTATCCTAGATAAAGCCTTATAATCACCATCAATGGAGAAGCAGAGTAAGTTGGTGGAGTTCTGTGATGCTATTGATTGTTTGTGCTTTGGAAGAGGTGCCCATGAGAGTAGAGTTTGGTTATCTCAAAGGAAGCTCAGACCAAACAAACACTCTAAACTTCTGTTTCATAACATTATCAATCCAAAGTTTCACCTACAAAGTTTGTGGAATATAAGATGCTCAACTTTTATAATATTCAAAATGACATTTGGAACAGACGAGTGCCCAAAATAGTTTTTTTTAAAGAGAACGTAGACAATGGACACTTAGAAATGGCAAGGGAGATACAACATGTGAGCCTCTTGAACTGACGATAGCCAACGAAAGAGTAGGGTTTCTTATATTTTTATAATAGTTATCGATGAGCAGAATATATATTCAAAAGTTCATGAGTGAGAACAAATTTTCATAAGTATTAGTCTGCTTATCAAACTTGATGAAAAAATAGCGCATTCGTCTACAATTGAATTTCTCTACATGGCATGTATTTTAACATGGGTTTTCTATGTATGATACACAGAAAAGTCAAAGTGTGAAGAACAATGAATAACGAAGAGGAGGGATACAGTCAAGCAATTATAACAATTTTTTTTACTAATTCGACCTTGAAATTTATGCGTTAAGACAAAACTCCAAACAA